TCAGGCTCAGTAACAACGATTATGCAGTGTTAGTGCCATAAACACTGAGTACATGTACCTAAATCACTACAGCACTCGGTGGCCTTTGCGATACGTTTACATAACACATACATCTACGGCGAGCTGTACATACATGGAGTGGCACTAAGGTAGTGGTTGCGCTGGCCGAACCTGTACGTACCTGATAGGCGTCATAAAGGAACATCTGACCCATCTTGTAGACTGGTATAGTGGCATACACAGGACATTTGAGGCCCAGTTTTCCAACCAAGTATGGTAACGCACCCAGGTGAGAAACATCTGGATACGTCAGTAGCACTGCATCAATCTGATTGATATGTCTGATGTTGAAGAGCATGAGAAGAGAGGAGGAGGAGGAGGAGGAGGAGAGAGAGAGAGAGAGAGGAGGGGGGGGGGGGGAGGGGAGAGAGAGAGAGGAGAGAAAAATAACTTAAATGACAAGGAAAATATGCCATCTGCAGATAGTATGTGATAAAATCCTACGGACTAGCTCAAACCACTGTTGATGGAAGAACATGGACTGACTCAGTGTGTAAAGTAGCAGTCCTCGTCTTCAGGATGATGACTTTCACGTGCCTTTCCTAAATTCGAAGTTAATTTAAAATCGTGTACTGTAATTGATTGTATTGTGTGTGCACAATGTGTAATCGAATGAATCAAATCGCTCTGCTTAGCTGAGACAATCCAACACTCAACGAGAGCGTGTCTATGAATTGTACTGTGAGGTGCTATTTATCAATATCCACCATACTTTTTTAACGGCTCCAACAGGGCGTCGGTTGTGTGTCCGTCCCAGCCACAGTCCAGCAAGAATGTAAAATCATCAACCTGCAACAGGTAGCAAGGTGGAGACTCGTCGCGAGCTCCGGATATCACTGACAGCTTTATAATGGACGTCATCCTGTCCACGGTACGGCAGCAACATTAACTGATGTAAATACTTCACCGCTCGGCGGCTAGGCCTGCTACAGTAAAAGGTAAAAGTCAATCATCCTTCTCAAACAAGCCAAGGGGCAAGACAGTGTTCTTTTCAAATTTCTTTTGAAGAAACATGTTGCAGTAAAGTCAGTCACGTGTGTCATGACACTTGGTCGAAAGTGTAATCTGGTAAATACGGTACACGCACCGGTCACCCAGGTCGCGTCGGCGATCGGTCTTTTGGCGTCCTGGCGACTTCGACCAAGCTGCAAAGACTTTTCGAATTTTTTGTCCTCGAAACATCCACCTCCTTTTATTCTTCACCAAAACCAGCCGTAGCAGTTCACAGGCATGGCAGGTGGCACTACTTGTAGTGTAGTAGTTGCCACCTTCCTGTCCACAGTGTCAGACAATTAGCCCTGGTTTTGCCAGCCGCATCATGTGATGTTTGCAATCTGCCCTTAGTAAGAGTAATGAGCCAGGATTTTTGCTGGACAGTGTGTTTGTGAGTACTGAGTACCGAGTCATTTCAGTTTCCTCTGCTCGTACACGTTTGCAAGAAGTTCTAGTATTCACTGCGTTCGTGGAGAGTAGGCCTACTCGTCGTGTGGCAAGGCCGGAGAGGGAATCCTTTGCTCCACTATGGCGAGGTACTTGTAAGTCAGTGTAACGCGCGTGAAGTTTTTCTTGTGGAATGCCACGTGCAAAGAAACATGTTTCCAGCAGGATGGACGGGTTTGTGTGCACTGTATGATTATAAAATGAACTGGCTGCATCGTGTCGTCATTTGGTTTGTTTTCTTGCTACTCGTGTGTTTTGTAGCTGCTCACACACACACGTTTATACACACACACACGCACACACCCACACCGTCACGCACACATACTGTAAAAGCGTGAAATTTTCGCGGTGTTTTTAGTTCGCGTTTTCAGAATCCGGACAGGTTTGCGAGGTTTTAATTTTGCGATTGCAGAATGGCATTCTTGCTAAACCTGTGGCATTCTTGCTAAACCTTTCATGGATCTCCTTTTCGCGCTGTCTAAATTTCGCGATTTCCACGCGGTCGCGAATTTCGCAGAAATTAGACCATCGCAATAATTTCACGGTTTACAGTACACACACACACACCTCAGACACACACACACACACACACACACACATACACACACTGTCACATACACACACATGCACGCACATGCACGCACACACAAGAGAGAGAGAGAGAGAGAGAGAGAGAGAGAGAGAGAGAGAGAGAGAGAGAGAGCGTCGGATTCATGCATACCATTGCGGTGCGATTTGCTGCGTTGCGTCTTGACCGATTCTTTTCTAATGTCCTGGTTGTGATGTGAAGTCATCCTATCCACAGCAGACTATTAGTAATGTGCTTTGTTGTTCACTAGACCCCATGTTGCGATCGGTTCAGCTAGTGAATCCGAGCTCCGCTGATGGTTGAAGGTTGAAACAGCTAGCTGTCCGGAGATGGAGTATCATTAGTGTGTCATTGTACAAAATGTGTTCTTGTTCAAAACGTTCCAGAAATAAAACCCTGCTTATGTGTGTGGTTTGATGTGTGGCATACAAACGCATACTGTGCGCAGGATACATCGTACAGCATGAGCAACTGGATTACGGCACAATGTCTGTCGACTCAGGCCCAGCTCTTGTGGAGAAGATAAACAAGGTTAGCCTAGTCAATGCACGAGTAGGTGCAGCCGCAAGCAGTCTTTGCCCTAGAACCACTCAGGTTCAACATTTTAGGCTAGGATACATGCTCTCGGGTGTTCTTGGCTTTGGATCAGTAATACTTCCTGGATGTAGATTGCTAGTCTGGTGTGTAGTGGCAAGCATGCAGCACACAGTTGTGTGTGTGTGTGTGTGTGTGTGTGTGTGTGTGTGTGTGTGTGTGTGTGTGTGTGTGTGTCTGTGTCTGTGTGTGTGTCTGTGTCTGTGTGTGTCTGTGTCTGTGTGTTTTTAGCATTTGATACCCATACCTGTATGCATTGCCAGTGAGCATGCTTTGATGGGATTCCGTTTACTTCGACGTATGAAAATGCTCATGCCATGGCCTTCCTGCACTGGCTACTAACAGTGGTTCAGTTGTGGTTTGCCATTCAGTCAACTATCTTGGGCAAAATAAAACACATGCCGATCAGAAGCCATATAACTTTCTACACCTGATCACATTTGGATGATGTATCAGTTGATTCAAGAATCAATACCGTTGCCGGTTTTGTTGTCTCTGCCATCGCCGGTGCTGTTGTGTGGTATGCTGGTGTGCAGGTGTTGCCAATCACACCATCGGCATGCTGGAGCCTACACGGCGTGGAGAAGGACTTCTCCGTTTGGCAGTGCCATGACACCGGGCTGACGGCCGATGGCTCGGTGCATGCGTGCTGCGCCGTGGTGCGCTCCTCCGTGGAGGTGAGTCCCTCACTGGTGGCGCTGCTGCTGCATCTTCTCTCCCCCTCCCCTCTGTGTGTGCGCTTCCAGAGAGTTTTACTGGTGTGCCTATTTCATTTGTGTATCAATCAGGTGCTGAGTAGCAGTGGCGAGGCTTCTTTGTTTGGTTTCTAATAGTTCACTCCTCTTGTGGTGAATGCTATGTACCAAGCACTACCCCACCATGTATTACTAGTGAGAAACCAAACCCCTACTGAAGTATCTGATGACACCTGCGCTGTGTATATACAGTATGTATGCGTGCAGTACTAGCGCTAACTACCTACCAGAAGCCTGACAGAATGTGTGGCATGATAGACTGTAATTTCTGCACATATTTCTAGCACATGAGGTAACATACTAATAGTTATAGCAAAATTGGATAACACCAAATGCTGGCCCTTATAACTGCTCCTTTACAGACTTGCGCACCGTACTGCAACTTGATGATGTCAATTTGCCAAAACCTCCTTGAAAAAGATACTGAGTTTTGAACTTGAAGTGCTGAGGAAAAGAGCATGTGTGCTCAAGATTTCTCTTATCCTACAATGCCTTGTGAGGTGTCCTACATGTGTCTATGTGTCCTTGCTGACATGCTGTGGGTTTGTTTGTAGAGTGTTCTACAAACTCTAGTGGATCACAGCCAGCGTGTCAACTGGGACTGTACGGTAAGCAACGTGAAAACAGTAGCAATGAGCACCGGTCCGTGCATGTCACAGCACTCCGGGCGTAACGATGTCGTGGCTGTAACGCCGCGCGTCTGGACGCGCTGGAGCTTGCTGCGCAGCCCCGACGCCAGCATATCCATGGCAAGGTGGGTAGCCCCATTTGAAAACATCTAGGAGTGTGCGTGTGTGTTCTCGCTCGTGTGTATTTCTGTGTGTGTGTGTGTGTGTGTGTGTGTGTGTGTGCGTGTGTGCGTGCGTGTGAATGCGTGTGTGTGTGTGTGTGTGTGTGTGTGTGTGTGTGTGTGTGTGTGGGCGCGCGTGTGCATGCAGGGGAGGTGGGGGATGTTGTCCATGTAGTTGAATACATGTACACGCATACTTGAGTACTTGAGTTTCATGTTTGGGGAGGAGAAGTGTAATGCGTTTATGTCTACATGTAGGCGTTGTGCTGACTATGGATCCTGCATCATGCCTTATTCATCTGCTTGGGAAATAGCATTCTCGAAATAGCTCGACCTTTCTTGGTTTGGTTTGGCATGCTCTCACTGTAGGTGGTGGCAGTGTCACAAGCGGAACGAATGGGCATGGATGCTGTGGAGATCATTAGATGAAGAAGAAACGGACATGATGTGGATGTATGCATTGGTTAGCCAGTACCCAATACCCGGTAAGTTTTATGCATTGCTTTTGGGCAGTACAAAATGGTACATGTTGCAAGGCAACTGGGTTTGCTGCATATGTTTCTCGGTTGATAACGCTATCTCATGAGTTCCTAATTTAAGTACTCAGCATCTTCGGTATGGTTTACGGTACGGCTATTGCAGTTTATTGTGTCCTGTGTACGTTCTATGGTCTCTCTCTCTCTCTCCCTGCATTGCCCGCCCATGCAGACCACTGTGCGCTGGTGATAGTCGTCGGCTCGTCGGTCACCACCATTCCACAGCCGGCCACAGCACAGCAGATGTTGACGGGTCTACATCAGTATCTAACAGTCTTACAGATCTCACAGCACATTGTGGTGCCTGCATCTGAATTTCGTCTGGAGAAGTCGGGCACGGACGATGAAGAAGCCACACCTGCTATCGAGAGGACCAAGTCACAGAGTTCTGCTTCAAGCTCTGTGGGCCATGCGACTCCTCGCAGTGAGGGAAGTGGACTATCGCCAACCGGTCTTGTCTCGGTTATCAGTTCTGATTCGTTGAGGGACAGCAAAGGCAGCAGCGGTTATGACACGGACTCTCTTACAGACCAGCAACAACGGTATGTACTGCGTGTATCGCACCATCAACAGCGAATCCCTAGTGTATGTGTGTGTGTGTGTGTGTGTGTGTGTGTGTGTGTGGGTGTGTGCGTGCGTGTGTGCGTGTGTGCGCGTGCGTGTGTGTGCCTAACGCTCGGCACTTTACAGTGGTTTTCATTGTTGCTGTGTGCGCCTTCCTTTCCCTTGTGCTGTAGGTTTGCCGGTGTACTGGGTGCGGCATGTAGCAGTGTGCAGCGTGCTATAGAAGAAGATGCATCTGATGGATGGGAGCCAGTTGTGACAAGAGGGTAGGTCTGCTCCACATTGCACATTGATTGTGTAGACAATGTACTGGCGTTATTGTCTTGGTCTAGTGTATCGTCCAAGCAGAGACCTTCAAGCACCCATGCCTGATGTATGTCACTTGTAAATGTTCCAATAGAGTTCACACACTGCTGTGGAAACAGCATAACTTAGAAGTTGGACATGCAGATGGTTGCAATTGGAATGGGTTATTGTCTACTAATTGATATGCAATTGTAAATGTATGGTAGTATCGATGATGCAGTAGAACTTGTGCATGGGATGAGTGTACATCATACGGGCCAGTGTGTGTTTGCGTGTGTGTGTTTGCGTGTGTGTGTGCGTGTGCGTGCGTGTGTGTCTCAGGGGCTTGGATGTGATGAAGAAGTCGCTCGGTCTGTCAATCAGTTGTACGCGCTGCTCCATCATCATCGATGCTCCAGCCGAAGTCATTCTGGAGTGCTTTGAGGATAATTCCAGACTTATGGAATGGGACGAGATGATCAGCGAAAGTATGTGCATGATTTTTGTGTACATATGTGTTCATGTCCCTGGTTGTTGTGTTGGTGACGGTGCACACTATATTCGTAGTGCTAGTACCTGTACTCGTTCTGCCATACGTATGCCTATATTGTGCATTACTGGCTCAACTGAAGAACATGGCTGATCTCTGCTGCTGGTTGTCTGTTGCAGGCCGGACGGTCGAGTATGTAACCGAATCTATGTGGGTAAGTAGAGAAAGTACGGAATCCAGACGTTCCATGTTAAACTCCACCAAAGTATGCCTCCTCGATTTGCCAAGTTTCCTTTGTACATCATGTGATACCATTAGAGACCAAGTGGCCTGCACATTTGTTGTCCAAATTCTACAGCCCGTCCATAATTTTCAAATATTTTTGTTGAAATTATAACACCGCGTGCGCTGTTCAATGAGCATTGATTTGGAAGAGCACACACTGAATATGTGCTGGTTTCTACTGTCCCGTATTTTCTATCATTTTCTTGCTTCGAAGCCCGTTTTGTGACAGCATGAATACTATTCACAGTGGTCACTCTATTGGAATCCTTGGCATTCACCATGTGCATTTTGGTAGCAGTTTGCATGTGCAAGCGCGTGTTTGCTTTGTGTCGACTGTACCAGTGGTTGTACGCTGCCGTTCCTGCTTATCTTGTGTAGGTGGAACACTGGACCCACAAGCCCGTCTGGCCAGCCACGTCCAGGGACTTCTGTGTGGTCGCTGGCCACGCACGTCGTGAGAATGGCGCTGGCTGGGTATCAGCTGCCCGATCTGTGAGTGTGGGCACTTGTCACACACATTGACAATACATGTACAGTGCTGCTCAATGAATCCAGTCGTGTCACCCGAATACACGCCGGGCGTTGTGCAGCCCTAGACCTGCGAACAACACTGGGCTGACGCAACTGGATTTCATTGAGCAGCACTGTACATAAGCAAAGTTCCCTATGCTGTGCGTCCTACGAGGATACGGCATGTTTGCGAAATGACCATGACCTTCCGTGTGACCAGGTGACGGGCTTCAGGTAAAATGCATCACAGTGTGTGCATAGCGATGTGCTTTCATTGAACAGTAATGTGTGGTTGGATAAGAAAGCATCGAGACGAATTTTGAACTTGTTACCGTTGAAGAAAGCGTGGAGAATAATTTTGAAGTTGCTACCACTTTCTTTTGCTACTGTTGCTACTGTTTGACTTTATTTCGTGTGCATTTCAACTGGGTTGTGTTGTGTGCAGGTGGTCCATCCAGCATGCCCTGTCCAACCAGCTCATGTTAGGTATGTCTTGGTGCGAAGTAATAGCCAGGAGTTCTGCCCTGCTGGTTGTCAGCCTGCTAAGCAATGCAGTATTACCCCTGGGCAGAGGACTGTCTGTTTGGATTTTTAAACCAGCATTGGCAACACAATCGAGAGTTCATCAGTTGTACCAGCCGGTGCTGGCTGCATCCCTGGTCTCGGTTAACAGTGTGGAGGAGAGGAGGGCGACACTGGTTTGTTGGAAGAGGGGACAACGCTAGTTTGTTTACATATGTCTAGAATCAATATTACGTTGTGTTATAGCCTGGAAGTCGTCTGTACGCAGCGTTGAACGCACGTGTGTTCTTGTATGTACGTGTATGAGTGTATACTAGTATTTGTTTGTCGTTGTGCGTGCATGTTGAGTGCATGCGTGTAGGCGTGCGAGTGTACATTTGAATGGATGCCGTTGATTTGTTTGTGCTTATTGGTGTATCTGCGTGCTTTCCTGCTGTCCGGTTGTAGGGGCCATGTCCTGGAGTGTGGTGCTGTCATTCGCCCAGTCGGTGACAGTTTAGAGAAATGTCTCGTATCCTATATCACGCATTTTGACTTCAAAGGTGAGATATTTCCCATATCCTCATATTGTACTTCTGTGTAAATCCCATACCTGTATCACTTAGTGATTATTGGTTGATCATTTTACTCGTCATAGTGCACACCATACCCGGGTTTCTTCTCCTGCTGTTGGTGATGTTACATGGAACCAGTGTAACACCATCTTGCAATGCTCATTGATAGTGGATTGTGTCTCAACTTGCAGATAGTAATGGCAGTAGACCTCACACATGCTCTCTAGCTGTGATTTTTCAGTCTTCCAAGTTTGTTCATTTCTTCTGTTTGCTTCATCCCTTTCCACGTATGTGTGTGTGTGTGTGTGTGTGTGTGTGTGTGTGCGTGCATGTGTGTAGGTAATGTATCCGCCGTGGTGGCCCATCGCATAGGCCAGTGCGTACCAACCTGCATGCAGCTATTACAGCGGCTGTGCATGAAGACGCACAAGCAGATGCAGGAGGACCTGCGTAAGCAACGTCAGTCGGCCGCAGAACTGGCCGCGTCGGCTCTCGTCTCGCCGCTCAGAGGTTCGTTCTTTACCGGCCTATCTGTGACTGGTCTGTTGCATTGGACTTGTAGCGGTGGTAACGTGATACACATTCATTTGTGATACGCTAGTAGTGTATGATAGACCTATTGCGCATTGCCAAAAATGGAATGTATGAGTAATGCTTGTGAGTACGCTGGGATCAGGAATGCACTGTTCAACACCCCAGACGACCATGCCCGGGTGGCTGTGAACTATTACTTGCGAAGGGTTTATGGTACAAATTACGTCATTGCGCAATGGATCCATTCACACGATGCAATGTACGCGTGAAGGGCTTCACAACGAAGCAGACACACCAGTCCCCTTGACCTTTCTGTGTGACTACTTTCACAAGTTTCACGGTTACCCGCATGCCAGTAGATGAAGGCACGCACTCAGAAAACTGTTCTGGATTTTCACCTTGATCAGTGCTCTTTTGTGGTGTGGTTTGAAACAGATGCAGATTTTTCATTCACATTTGTAGCATTATCTGCCATGCAAAACTCTGTGTATATTATATTATGTACCATGATTGTGACTTTTGTCTTCACTCTCAATCTCATGTTTGGTTCTGTGCTCTGTGCAGCTCCGGACGACTCAAGAAATGGCGGCATTGCTGCTCATCCTCCCACAGTGAGTTTGCTGATACCCTGTACCGAGAGTACATGAAAACCAGAGTGTGCGGCTTGGGGCCTTTCTGCTATGGGTGTCTGTCACGGCGGAATTCCGTGATTACATCATATTTGGCGCAGATCTGAGGCGGGAAATGGCGTAGTGCGTACAACTGAGCTGCAGTTGTGCAGAAAGAGACCTGCTTGAATCCTGCTTGTAGTTGTACACACTACATCACTAAAATGATGTAATCACGGAATTCCGCCGTGACAGCCACCCATCCGAGCTACACACTCTGGTTTTCGTGTACTCTTGCCTGTACATGTATTTATTGCCCCGGGCCGTAACTCATAAGTGCCTGTACAATGTACATCTCTTGCAAACGTTGTTTTTGCAAGCGGACAGCTGGTGGCGGGGGGGGGGGAGGGGGGGGGACGGACATGACTCAAGCTGAACATCATGGCAAGTGCCTGTATCTGTCTTTTTGTACCTGTACAGCAGGATGTTAGTGATGGTGCTGCTGCCGATGGTGCTTCAGCAGCCATTGTTGATGGTGCTCAGGAGGAAGGTGAAGACCCTGAAAGTGTTCTTGCCAGCCTTGCTCTGGAGTACCCCATGGGTGAGTGTCTTGCTTTCTCTTTGTTTTGGAGCTGTTTTGGACTCTGTCATCTGTGTGCACTTGTACTTGTCATGCACGTGCCAATTTTCATGGGACTGCTGACAGTCATGTGTGTGTGTGTGTGTGTGTGTGTGTCCGTGTGTGTGTGTGTGTGTGTGTGTGTGTGTGTGTGTGCGTGTGTGTGTGTGTCCGTGTGTGTGTGTGTGTGTGTGTGTGTGTGTGTGTGTCCGTGTGTGTGTGTGTGTGTGTGTCCGTGTGTGTGTGTGTCCGTGTGTGTGTCCGTGTGTGTGTGTGTGTGTGTGTGTGTGCGTGTGTGTGTGTGTCCGTTTGTGTGTGTCCGTGTGTGTGTGTGTGTGTGTGTGTGTATGTGTGTGTGTGTGTGTGGCCAGAAAAAGTCACTTCAAACAGCTGTGTGGTGGATACCAGGCTAAAAATAGTGGCGGTCAATTCATCAGCCTTGCAAGCTGTTGAATGGTGTAATCCCAGCACAAGTTGCGATGTCTAACATAGCTGTTCGCTATCATCGCTTCCGCGATGGGCATGTCTGAGGTCTGAGGTGTGTGTGTGTGTGTGCACATGTATGTATCTACGATTCTTGCAGTGGATCAATCTCACGTTGATTACAGAACGCTAGGCAATCAGGCAGCCGCTGGGTTCCTCGGCGAGGTGGGTAGCTAATCGCTATACGCGGTCTAGCTCTATGTGCAGTGAGCATGGCTATGCTCAGGTGTTATCATGTTCATGAGTTGTTCTGCTGTCACCTTTTAACAGTTGGATTTGTGAATACAGTATAACTCTTATACACCATTGACTGCAGGAGAGTCGGCTGTGTTTGTGTAACTTCATGAGAGTCCGAACTACGCTGTTTAGTTTATGTATTGGTATTGTGTGGCGTGTTGGTTTGCAGTTGCTGCAGGCGTCCGATATTGATGTGTACCAACCTCGAGACTCCGGTCCGTCGGGCGGATGGCGGTGAGTGAGAGCTGTGTCACCACATTGGCTGTGCCTGTACCACTTTCTCCCCAGTGCCACGTCGTCTGTGTCTGTACCACTTTCTCCTGCAATTGTGCCACATCAGCTTTGTCTGTACCAGTTTCTCATGCATGATGTTTACGGTCAGGGACTATAGGGACTGTGCTGTAACACACAGCATTCATTCATTCACTCATGTGTGTGACATTTAGGGTCCCTGTGGTGAAACTGAACCTCCGTCAGTAGTAACGTTAGCCAGTGGAACCATTATGGCTCTCATGATACACACGCTTCCCGCAAATCACCCTAATCATCCACATTTTGTTTGCCTGTACATATATCTCACTAGGTTTGACGGAATCGAGAAGGACGTGGTCATTCTGAGGAAGGAAATCCAGGCGATTGGACACAGCCTGTATGAGTTCAGAGTGTTGCTGTATTTTGGCTTTTTTTCTTTTTGTATGTACCGGGCGATACTTTGAACACCTGTGCATGGGCTTGCTGCTGACCCCTTCATCACTGTGCGTGCGTACGTGTGTAAGTGTGTGTGTGTATCTGTCTGTGTCTGTATCTGTCTGTGTCTGTGTGTACGTGTGTGTGTGGTTGTGCGTACGTGTGTGTGGTTTTGCGTGCGTGTGTGCGTGCGTGCGTGCGTGCGTGCGTGTGTGTGTGTGTGTGTGTGTGTGTGTGTGTGTGTGTGTGTGTGTGTGTGTGTGTGTGTGTGTGTGTAAGCTTAGGTTGATGCAATGCCGCACAGCATGCAGTGTCGTGCATGTACATATTGATGCACTTGTGTCTATTGTGTGGCGAGCACGCCTTCTCAGTCTGTCTTCCATTCTTCTTCATTTATTTACATCACACCAGTGGTAGTCTACGCATCTGCCCTGTATGCTAGCCATGTGGGTGCTTGTATTGCGTGGGCTCACTCTGTAAACTGACTACTAGTATGCAAGAGCCATGCACTGCAACGCTGTTCCTGGAACGAAGCTGATTTGTGTGTACGCTGTCTGTGTAGCATGCAGTAACGTGTGCTTGTGCTGTATGTCTATTTGTATGTCTATTTGTATATCTATTTGTCTCCTATCTCAGGTTCATGGGCAAAGGCATAATCCCGCTGCCGCTGAGCAGAGTTTGGAAAGCGCTGAGAGAGCCACACACTCGTTTCGGCTACGACCCCATGCTGAAGGTTAGAATCGCCATTGCATGAACATGTTCACATACAGTCGATAGCGGTGAAAGCTGTGACAAATCACTCGGAGTGGATACCATGTTTTTTTATGAAACGCGGCCAAAGAGAGTACTGAGCTATGTGGCCTAACCAGCCGAGCTCGAGTGATTTGTCGGTTTGTTTTGGCGTTGACAGTAGGAGCAGCGATTTTCTAAGAATTACATTGCTGTGTCGTATGGCATGAGTGTGCATGACCTCTGCTCATCCTGGAGAACTTAATCACTTTTGTTTAGCAGACCCGACTTTAACTGATGTAGGTGCACTTCATGGATGTGTGTGTGTGTGTGTGTGTGTGTGTGTGTGTGTCGGTGTCTTTGTCTGTGTGGATGTGTGCGTGCACCTGCGTTTGTATGTTTGTGCATCTGTGTTTTGTGTTGGCAGGAAATGAAGACAATAGCGAAATACGGAGAGCGCTTGATGATCAGTATGTGGAGGAGTGTCTCACATGCATGTACAACATGATCTAAGTTGATGAACTTTGTTTGTTTTGTTTGTATTCTTTATTTAGAGTGGGAAGTCCAAAACAGGCCCTAGCCTAATAACAATGGTCCCACTAGTGAGGGAATGCTGTATATCTGTACATAAGGATCAGTGAGTGTAACAGCAACTAGTAGGGAAAGAAAAAGAGAGATAAAAAACAACTCAAAACAGGAGTTGCGACTTGCCGAGTGCATAGGAAGAAAATAACGGAATGAGCAGACTTGATTGTACAATGTCAATTTGTATACTAGTAGTCTGTTGGTTGGTGAAGATTTTGTTACAATAGAGTTTCCAATCTGCATTAAAAGTAAAGTTCGCACATCCGTGTTACCACTGGCTATCCTCAGAATGTTGTGCTTGTCAAGTCTGCTATAGCCGTTGACGTCTCCATGACAGCACCAGAAACCCACAGGAATTTGTTTTCTATAAATCAAGGACGCCTACAAGAAATTTGAGTTTCGAGTTCTTGCATGAAACAATTTTCATGATCATCTGAAACTTCTACGAATCCTACACTACGTTAACATGTAGGATGACCCCACGCTGCGTTAAAACCATACTATGGAAAAATTCGACACAACTTTTTTGGAGCACAGAGCAGCGTCATTTCTAAAATAGTGTGCATCAGAGCTCTCTCATGTCAGAATTATGCGATAATGTATGCCCGTGCCTGTACTCATCCTGCATGTGTGTGTGTGTGTGTGCATGTGCATGCGGGTGTGTGTGTGTATGCTCGTGCGTGCACATGTGTGTGTGTATGTGTGTGTGTGTGTGTGTGTGTGTGTGTGTGTGTGTGTGTGTGTGTGTGCGCACGCACGTGCATGACTGTGTGTATGTGTGTGCATGCTCGCGTTTTCTGGCATTGTAGTGTACATGCTGCTGGAAGCCCGCCACTGCTTGCTGGCTCAGGCAAGGGACTTCTGCTTTCTGCACCATGAACGCGTCGAGGTAAATCCCAAGATGTACTGTCGTGGACATGGAAATCCGGTCGCACGTCTAGCGGCCCCAGGGCGCTGGCCATGCAGCCGTGCGAAGCAGTACACACATCCATGTATGCACTGCAGCGCGCTGGTCCCATCGGATCAACATATGCACTGCATGCAACGTTCTGGACGCGCTGAGGGCGCCGGCCCCAGTCATTCGACTGAATTTCCATGTCCGCGACGGTAGGACTATGGGTTTGAATGTTGTGCTGCTATATCCATGGGAGTGGTTCTTACCAGCCACGACTCTACCACTGTAGCTCAGAAATTGGAGCTCAGGCAAAACATGATTCAGATGCTTTCGAAACCTGTAGAAATTTAAAACCCAGTTAGATTTCTGGAAATTGCCCAGAATGCTAGAACTTGTAGAAGGCTGAAGATCAGGAAGTGGTGAGATATTCCCTGGCTTGAGTCATGGTGGTGACAGTCGATTGACTCGATTTTTCTTCAGATTTTTTCCCTTTTCCATTCCTTCAACTAGTGTGTTGACTTTAGAAGCCTACTGCCTGGGTATTACTATGAGCGGCTATAGAGTTGTTGTGTTGTTGTTGTTTGGCTTTATTTAAAGTGGAGTTAGCGCAGGTATGCCATTGCACAGGCCCAGGGCATTGCCGTACCACCTGTCTTTGCTGTGTCTAGTGACCACTGCTACAGCAGACCACCTGTTTTGTGACATGCCCTTATGTGTGTTTGTACATGTATATACTGTATGGTGATGTGTAGGGTCAGAAGCACATCATAGCCGCTCAGTCCGTGGATCATCCCAAGTGCCCGTGCAATCCGGATATTCAGCGTGGCCAGGTGTGTACAGTGATTGACTTGGTCTGTTTTATACTAGACCCATACATAGGCAATCAGTGCAGCCCCAGACCTGTGAACACTGAGCCGTGTATGGCCCTGGGTGTGAGGGAAGGGGGGGGGAGCGCTCATGCGGAAAACGAGTCTCACGTCGAAATTTGGCGTTTTACGGCAATCGATGACCCATTTTATGTGAAATTGCGCGTCACTTCAAAAATAACGTGCAGCTTAGCCTCTTTATTGAGCAGCACTGTAGTGTGTGGTGCTTGTGTTGCAGTGGTTGCCATGGTAACAGATCAGATTCACATGTATACAGTATTGCGTTCATTTAGCAACTGCCTTTCTTCAATGCTCCTTTCTCTATGAATTGCTACTTTCAATGGTCATCTGTGTTATGATAAGTCAATCCAAGAGTGCTATCCTAATAAGGGTTGATCCCTTGGTTACCATGGTAATTTCGGCTATCGGCGGCGGCCGTAATTAGTTTTTTTAATATGTCGACTTTTTGTATTTGCGGGTGTCATTGATAGTTACGGTGGGGTGTGTCTGAATGATGGTGGTGTAGCATTTAATTTTCGTAACTATATCCACTGATGGTGAATCCTGTATAAATTTCGTGGTCCTTCATTGAGAAGCTTCATACTTACCTGGCACAGGGGACGCCGTGATCATCAAGGCGGCTCCCTCAGGATGAGGCCTCTCCACTGCACTCCGTTGGGGCTGAGGCTTGCGATTTCCCCAAACGTGGGAAACTCGGGTGCACAATTTATGGTAGAGGGGGTTTGCGTTCGCGCAGCCCCTGCTATCTATTATCTAATCAAAAAGAAGTAATTGGTGTGGATTATGGAGTGTGTGTTGTTGGTACACACATACTCCACACCAAATGCACATACCGTATTATCTATTATCTCTTATTATAAGCACGGTCCTTTATTTTTTTCAATGTACCTCCGCCCCGTGCTATTAATGGAGACGTTCCTTTATTGGAGACTATTCCATTATTATTTCAACCTCATTTCAGAGGCATGTTGCCATGCCAAATTTATATGTCAGACACACACATTACAGGGTTTTTCCGCCGGTACAGATAATGAATTTACACAGTGTGCTTATAATGGAGACTGAGCACTTTATTTTTTGAATGCCGCCCCAAGGTGTTCTATTATTGGAGACGTGCTATTATTGGAGACTGTGCTTATTAGAGATAATACGGTAGCACAAAGAAAAAAACACATGTGGAAGCGTAACGGGTTTGCCAGTATTACTTGTGCAGTTACAGCTCAATGCAATGACACACCCCTCTTGATTGAGCAGCAGTCATGAAAAATGCATCTTCTAATGATGGATGAGCTAAACCAATTGGTGTCCAGGGAAAACGGACAAAATCAAGGGAATTCAGCCTCGTTGTCCGGGGAACTCAAGTAGGCATGGGCGGGTAATGCTAGTTATTTGCTGCGATAATGCTAAAGGCAATGCTCATAATTATGAGGATATAATGCCACTTATAATGCTCACACTACTCCATAATGCCAGTTTGAAAGTTGGAAAGGCCGTCTTGGATCAAGGCCAAAGCGTAGAAGAAGAAAAACTTAAACAGCAGTGAGCATGTTGTCTGAAACAATCCACTGAGAAGGTTGATTTGCAACGTCAAGTCTCTGGACGAAGCCGGACGGGTTCAGATGCATGATTTTCGGAACTGGACCTAGCCAGCTTCATGCATGACACCGTTGTCGTCTCGACCGGCAATTATGCTTGTAATGCCAATTTTGCATGCGAAATGGTGTTCTAATGCCAGCATTATGCCACCTGGAAAAAGGGACTATAAATGCCAGCCATAATGCTAGCATTACCCGCCCATGCCTAAACTTAAGCCTCCAGGTTGGCATGTATCATGAGTACATGAAACCCAGAGTGTGCAGCTTGGGGCCTTTTCTGCTATGGGTGTCTGTCACGGTGTAATTCCGTGATTACATCATTTTTTGGCGCAGATCTGAGGCGGGAAATGGCGTAGTGCGTACAACTGAGCTGCAGTTTTGCAGAAAGAGACCTGCTTGAATCCTGCTTGTACACACTACATCACTAAAATGATGTAATCACGGAATTCCGCCGTGACAGCCACCCGTCCGAGCTGCACACTCTGGTTTTCATATACTCTTACATGTATGGTTTTCCCGTACTCCAATTGCACAACCTCCGGATCAACCGACTTTCGTAGCTTTTTTCGTGGTTGCCTGATCCGTCAGCCACTAGAAAACTTTGTTTTGTGCACCCTCTCTCTTGTAGTGGTTTTTTATAAACTGTATTGTAGGCTGATACCATAGAGCCAACTCAGTCCAGAATGCTTGTGACTCAATGTGCGTGTAGCTGAACAAGTGCACCTAGTTTGGCAGCTCGCGTCACGTGGTCCACCCAGCCTGCTGCATGCGGTAGGCCCAGACAGATTCTGCTCCGCTCGCCTCGATATGTTGCTGCGAAATCTTTCGATATTTTGCCTACCCTGGCACTAGAAACCCGATATTTTGCTCCATTTTGCTCCGGAAAACATATCTTTTATCCACTTCCCGTACAACGTTTCATTAAATCGCACGGTCGGTTTCTCAACACGGGTTTTCACACATGTGTCCCTGGGTTCTGCAAAATCATGTTGATCCACAGTGAATCCCAGTGATATTTTGGTGACATGATCTCGTCCTTGGCAGCGCATCAGGCTGAACGGGGAAGAAACGGTAGGACATCCAAGTATCAGGCATCGATTTTACCCAAAATCTTGATATTTTGCTCCGATTCTGCCGGTAATTTCCGCTTTTTAAATTCTTCGGTATTTTGCCGAAAGAATTGCTGGCAGGATCTATCTGGACCTAGCGTGCGGCAAGCAGCACCGAAAGCGCTTACTCTGCCCACGAGCGTTTGCTGCGATTAGCGCGCTCGTGAAATACACAAGCGTGCTGGACAGAATGTTTTGACATTGATGGCTTTTAAGGTTTTTTTCTTTTTTGATAGTAGCGCTCAGACCGCTCACACAGGCGCCTAGGCTTCACTCGTTTCCTCTTCCTTTTTTGTGTATGTCAAGAGGGCGCTAGTCGCAGCAAACGCTCGTGAGCTAGAGTTAGCACTTTCAGTGCTGCTTGTCGCACGCGGCAGGCTGGGTAGGTCACGTGACGCGAGCTGCCTAACCAGGTGCACTGGTTCACGTACATTGAGTCACAAGCGTCCGGAATCACCTTGCAGTAGAATGTTCAGGCAAAGTACGAGATGAGATACTATGGCCGTGATTGTTTTATCAGATCCAGATCAATAGGATTCCTCCATTTGTGATGGTCAATTGGTGTAATCCAGATCAACCAGATACTACTACAAAGTAACCCTGTCCCGGGAGGAGGGTTGAATGGATCTATTCTTTAACTAGATACTATATACAGTGAGAAAGTGCAACAAATAGGCACAAAACTGACAGAACGCTGAGACATTTGACGACCTGGCACGCTCAACATCCAAGTTTCGTAATGTAAGTGTTTGTTTTTTATTTGTCTTGTCATGTGGCTGCAGATATATAGCAGTGGTTGGTGTGTGGAGCCAGCTGAGCAAGACGGCAAGGACTATTCAATGGTCACTTATCTTGGCAGGGTATGTGTTTATTTATTTTACTTATTTACTGCAACACCTCAGGGCGCAGTGGGAACACTGGCCAATGTGTAGAGAGTGGATGCTCCATCTTGTATAAGCTTGTCTAGCTGCTCTTGGAAACAAGCTGCGGCTTGTCGCTTGGGCCGAGCCGTGCCGGTGTGGTCACTACTGGATTCAGGCTCTGTGGCAGATATTGGCTCGGGTTCAGAACTCACTTGTGCTGGTGTTGACGGACATTCCAGCGGGTATACATGACAGAGTGACCGTCTGACTGTCCTGTCAGTAGAAAGTTGGATGGTGGCCGATCTCGTCTCACCAACTGAGGATTCATGTAGCTTCTCGATGCGGCCGATTGGCCAGCTAACTCGTGGCATTCCTCACGAATGACGACGACTGTGCCAACGGCTGGTTCCTCAGTGGCACGGACACACCCTTGTCAAAGTTGGTGATCGCCATGCTCTCTTAGCGATGCTAGGTAATCATCGTGCCACAATTGCCAGAAACAATTCAGTTACTGTTGACACACATTGAACTTCTGTAGAAGCAGATCACCAGAGGCTTTCACACAGAAATCTGGATCGTTAGTGTCTAACTGCTCACCCGGTAATGTCAAGTTGCTGTTAAGGCACAAGAAATGAGCTGATGGGAGAATAAATCCATTGAAGTCTTCATCCGCGTACGTTAGTGGTCTGCTGTTAAGAATTCCTTCTATTTCTGTTAATAGTGTGACAAGTTCCTCAGCTTTCAGGATTCTCTTACCGAGGAATTTGCGTAACATTCGTTTCACCGACTGGACGAGGCGTTCGTACACCCCTCCCATCCATGGTGATAACTGAACAATGAATCACCACTCAATGCCCATAGCAGCAAACGTCGAGAATACATTAGCATCAGCATTGATTGATGTCCACAATTGCTCCATTGTAATATCAGCTAATTTGAATTGTTTCGCGTTATCAGATATTATTGTTGCCGGTGTACCTCGGCGGGCGACAAATCGCTTAAAGGCCATCAAGAAGCTGTCGGTTTTCATGTCAAGTACGAGTTCCAAGTGCAACACCTGTGTTGCAAGACACGTAAATACCACACAACCCAGACCTTCTGGTTGTCTCCATTCATCTTAGCAGTCAAGGGCCCAAAGTAATCGATGCCTGTCCTGACGAATGGTGCACTGCAGGTTACACGTTCCTTGGGAAGAGGTGCCAACTTCAGCATTGCAAAGTGGCCACCCTCAAACCGCTTGCAAACCTTGCATTGTTGAACAACTTTCGTGGCCTCCTTTCTGCTTCTTGTCACCCAGAAACGTTGCGTAACTCCATGAGCGTGTGGCTAGCGCCAGCATGAAGAGCTCTCTGGTGCACATCCGAAACGATCAATCGCGCGAGTGCGTTCTTTCTGCAGAGTAGGATTGGGAACTTGGCATTCGACGGCAGTTCTGCGTTCTTCATTCTGCCTCTGTCTGCACTTGATCAGCCCATCTTGATCGATGAAGAGCCCCAACTTGAACATCAAGTCGCTCTTCCTTTTCTTGTTGGTCTCAATAGCTTCTACTTCTGCTGAGTAATCCGTAGCCTGCGCATTCTTCAGCCAGTGTGTTCCCGGGTTTCGGCACCATAAATGCCGCCAGTGTGACTACCCTGGTAAAACGTATGCCACTAATTTGCTTTTAAAAATAAATAAATAAAATAAATTCGACGGATTCGCGTACCGGGCAGGTCAAGAACAAGGAGTCGTACAACTCCCTGGTCAAGAACCACCTTTCCGCCACTAATTTGCTTACTTCACACAAACTTGGACTCGCACAACACGAGTGACACGAGGTCGAATGTTTGTGTTCTAAAAGAAAAGGCTGATTTGGAGTGTGCGTGCCAGATTTATATGGCTAAAGATCGAGCATGCCTAATATGCGCGCGTACCATGCTGCGCATGCCTACAGTCATTCAGAATATGGACTAGAAAAGGCAAGGGCAGGAAAATAGGCTCTATAGCGGTACATTTTACGTCAGGTTTATAATTACAGAAAAAATACGATCTCGTTCGCGACAATATTGCACTGTATGGCGCTGATGGATGTCAGCATAGCCAGTCAAGAGCAATGAGAAATGTGGGAGATGTGGATTCTGAATTGGCTATGTGATGGTGATTGTAGCCCATTCATAAATTAAGGTAGCTGGAAACTAAATCAGATTTTCAAATTGGCCCGAAATGTTTGGGATGTGAAGTATGCAGTGTAGAGATGAAATGGCCAAAAAAGTAGCTGGTCACCATCAATATTGTGGAGTAATGAGCACCCCAAAATTGGATATTTTCGGGATTTTTGCTCAAATTACCACTTATTTTGCTCAAAATAGGCAGTTTATGAGAAATTGGCCCGAAATATTTCGTATATTTTAAAATTTTATTTTTTATTTTTACAAATCAACTCGACCAAGCGTAAGATACTAGTAAAACCAAGAAAAGTGACTGTTCACCACAAAAAGTGTTAAGCGCTACACCTTTCCGGCACCGTCCCACGCAAGCACACATATCTCAATGGGTAAACAGATTATAAAATTTTCAGCATTTACTCCTTGGATATACCCGTTTCAGAAACAGCAAACATAAAGCCAAAGATGCCATCTATCTACTGTTGGCATACATGTGACGGATCTGTTCGCAAAATCCGCCGAAAGGTTCGCCTATAACCACAATATAGAAGACCATGCGTCCTATGCAATAAAATGAGTGCCACTGCAGTGTCTCACACACACATGGCAAGACATTGAACCAAAGAAAGGGGACACCAGCAAAACAAGCCAGCAAGTGCAGGAGATTGAGAAAAATAGAACGATAAGCGCAAAAAATAACAAAAGGTTTGACCTGTGCTATCATGAGCATATGAAGAGCAGCCCTCTGAAACTTCGGTTCAATGTCTAGCTAATGCTTCACAGATTTCAAAAATGTATACTTTGTTGGGTCTGCATGCCACGGTTATCTCAGTAGCTTGGTTAAGAGTTGCGGGAATAACCAAAAAAGGGGGGAAATTGCAGTATAATACCGTATTTTTCCGGTTGTAAGTCGACCTTTTACGACTAAAAATAGAAGGAGAAAGGGTGGGGGTCGACTTACAACCGGGATTCGACTTATAACCGGGAACTATCAGAATCTTACACAAAATGATCTGCCCTACATGCATGAGTGCACCATGTGTACACATGTTTGCCAGTTTATTGGCCTTTTTTCAAGGATTGGGACGTTATACCCTCCAATAAGGAATGTTTACATGATTTGTTGATGTGTTAGTAGCAGGGAGTGGTTGGTAGTGCTTCGTTGGGTGAAAACTTTAAAACGCAGAAATGAGACCTCGGATACAGGGGTCGACTTACAACCGGTAAAATACGGTACATGTATTTACACTCTGTGTCCACCATGCCAGCTACTTTTTAGAAGGCCCCAGTCTCATAAGTGAGACCTTCGTCATCAACAGTCTGCTCCTCCACACCCTTCCTCACTCTCCTTCGCCTCTTCCTTGCACTCTTCACTTCATCTGATGATTTCCTGGCTGCATTCTTGGCTTGCTCACGGTCCAACTTCTCAAGCGCTGTCCGCGTTTAGTGACCAGCTGTCAGGCCCATCGCTTCAAGAATCTCCTCCAAGGCCTTGTTCTTCTCGTTGAAGCAAGCAGTGGCCATGGCAACAGCTGTCTGGACAGTCCTTGACGAGCAAAAGCCAGTCTTTGGACAAATCTGCCAAATGAGGCCATTGATGCACTCGTTCCGATTCTGAGTAGCGCCACGCAAGCATTTCTCGAGAAGTTGCCTCTCAGTCAGCCGCAAGTACACAGGCTTGATGACTTTGAAGACTGCATCCGGCAGGCTCTTCTTATGTTGGTATTCAGGGCCACCAGCTTGATGACTCTGCCACCTGCACCAACTATCTGGTCCAGGGGGGGCAGAACTGATGCTGCAGCTTGTCATCTGTTGAAACACAATGCATGACCGATGCCCATATCGCGCGTGCCATGCCTTGCAGGTCATTGCCATGTCCACGTACTGCCATTCCGTAGTAGGCCTGCAGCCGGTCCATTTGGTCGTCAGTCAGGCGACCCTTGCCACCAATGCCCAAGCCATCGTCCAGCTTCTTGCCCCGGAGTTCCTTCTTCAGCTTGCGGAGATTGCTACCAACACGCTTTTGGACATGTCCAACGCATTCTTCTTTCTTGATGGGCACATCCGGGCCATATGGAGTAGCATCACACACACGTTTGAAACTCTTTGAATCTCCATCTCCAATGAAGGTGGTGTAAGCTGCCTACTTTCTACAGATCTACTCCAAATGAGCTCAGCCGACTGGCTCTCCATAGCTGGTGCAGAACAGGAGGTATTAGCGGCACAGTCGTGAGAGGACATCTTGGCAGTATACTGCTCCTTGCTGATCTCATGTTTGCTCAGCTTCCTCTGGAATGCTGTGCACTGCTGGCAGTGCCGGGAGAGGACTTCGTAGTCGATGACTTTGCCAGTATCCCACGAGATGGCAAGAAACGCTCCATGTAGCGAGGTAAAGCCGCGTCGCATCCACGTTCCGTCGTAAGTGACGGCAATATCAGGGGAAGACGCCAACTCCTTGACATTCGCAGCTGCACGGCTCATGCTGCTGGTGGCAACAACTCTACTGGCCTTTGCTAGTACTTTGGTGTGCTTCTGGTATGCAAAGACATTCATGGGTGCAGGCATATTCATGACAGTGCAGAATTTCACATGGGATTGATGCCCACGTCCTATCCATGTCATTGCAGTAGCCGATTTTCTGTTCACATCCCAGCAGTGCCCAGTCTTCTTGGACATAGCTTCACGGCTTTCAGCCTCGCAGCTGTCACAGGCCAGCGATAGAGTTGAAGCCAATCCTTCACGACGTACTTCACATAGTGTAAGGGTGCCATGGCACGCTGAGCAACAGGCACTATCAGCAAGTAAATTTTGTAAACATTCTAAATCAAAAATTGGGCTCCCGGATGTCAGGTAATCATCACCGTCGCGCTCATCTCCAGAGCTGTCACTGTCACTAGATGTCTCACTCTCACCAGAATTAGACTGTTGGACTTCGGCATCATCCCTATCTTCTGGCAACACAGAAGAGTCCTCTGCCACGACAATTTTTGTAATTTCACTCGACAATTTAGCACATTGGTTTCCATGGAATTTGCGCTTCTTTGGACGACCAGGACGGCCTACGCACTACCGCTTGCCCATAGTGATCAAGGAAGGTTCCACAAAACAGATGAAAGCCAACAAAGCAGCTAAACTGATAAAGAGCTACAGTTTGGCGATTTAGAGATTGCTGGTATAAAAATATTTACCAAAAATTTGAAGTACGACAGGCGCACTGTGTGTGGTGACTTGCGCAATACCATCATGTTTGACCAAAGCAACCAGCTCCTCGCACCCCAATACTTCTTCTCTTCCCAAATTGCAGTTGATGTGGTGCTTTAAGCTTGTTGAATATCAATCCGCCCACTTTGGTACCAAGATATTTCCTTGTTTCTCTCATGCACATTGCTGGTCCATAGGTTTGTGTAGAAGTACTGCCCTATTGATGAAGTACTGCCCTATTGATGTCACCAAGGGTACATCATCATCACAGGGCGTTTACCGGGCAAATGCACCCTGAAGAATTCACTCAATAAATCAAGTCCTTTCTGAATTTTGATTCTGGATCAGAGTGATGTTGGCTGTCACGGCGTGGCCGCAATGTAGATTTGGGCAACGGATGGATTGTGGCTGGCAGGTCGCCGTTTGTTGATTGCAGCATTGTTTTGTTCTCCACCTGCAGATCGATCTGAAGGGCAGTGTGCCGCGCCGGCTGACCAACTTCATATGTCGTCGTCAGACTCTGGCCATCCACTCCTTGTCTAGGTACCTGCTTACTTCCAACTCCGGCTAAGGACTCTGTCTTCCAGCTGGTGGACTAGAATGCTGTGCAGTTTCTTGCGCTGGTATCCAGTGAAAGGAGTGTGGTCGACAGTAGTCTCTGATGCCAAGCAGCTCTGAACTGGTTTGTATTCCACTGCCATGTTGCGTGCTCGGAGTGTAAGTCAATACGTGCCCTGTGCCACCATGCATCGGTGTGCATTCAACCCCCATTCATTACATGTCGGACGTACTTCTGGATTCTATCCAGCTGGTTCATATATATATATACGTCTCTAGTGGGCAATCGGCTAACTCGTTGTCGCCGAATTAGCCATTTTTGTCTCTTTTTACTTGGGCACTCTTCACTCGTGTGTCCTGCGCAATGAGTCGCCTAGTGCTCACTACTTCCCCTGCCCCCACCCTCCGCAGCATGGACTCTGGTCTCTGTGTACCAAGTACATGCCACTCTCTGCCAGTGTGAGTCCCTGGGTACTCACTACCCTGTTCGTGTGTGCTCTGGCCTATGTGTACCAAGCACACACCACTGTGAGGTTTCACCCAGTGTAGGTCGTTTGGTGCTCGCTGGCCTCACCCGGTACCAGGCGTAATGGCTATGACTCATGTTGCTCTACAACCCACGGTTACTCTCTCTCTCTCCCCCCCCCCCCCCTCCGGTTAGGCTGTGATCCGTGGTTACGTTACAACCAGCGACTATTGCACTCCTCGATACGAACTGGCTAAGCTTCCTATACCTCCTCCGTTTATCCGCAACGAAACTGCGACGGCCAATGATTCTTTGCTGGGAGAAGATATTTTCTTTCTGTCTACCATATTTACAAGCAATGTGCGGCTTCCAAAAGAGATTCACTGATTGCACTTCAAAGTATTTTTACACGATAGGATATTTTTACTGAACCAATTTTTTAAATGCATTTGGCACGTCATATTCTAGGAAATTTGTTCCATGAAAATAGGTTCCCACACATACCCTAGTGAGGCTGACACAAGTTTTTAATCGCACTTTCTAAGAATTCCGGAAGAACCTGATCATTTTACATTTTCTATAAAGAACATTTTTCTTTTAACCCTTTGTCCTTTCGCCCATACTTGAACCGTACACCTGTGTACGGTTCAACCCACGCATGTTCAAAGCGACCTGGAAGCTACGCGGATCACCCGATCCACATGAAAATTCACGTGCACACAGCCTATGCTATGTAGAGGATGATACATGGGTCGCTGGGGCTAGTTGCCATTTGAAAAATTTCAGGAAATCAAAGCCGAAGTTTGCTTGCGCCGTAACTTCCGACATGGCAGCACGCAGGTGGCTTGATGCAGATGAAGCGCTTGTTTGAGGATAGCTAGAGTGACCCAAGCGACAATCCTATGTCCTCTGATGAAGAGAACTAACTGGACGAAGCCTTAGTTGAAGGTGTTGATTCTGATTTTGATGACGACGCGGATTATTGTGTCGTAACCGTCGACCCAACTGTCGGACATGTCGACCGCTCCGATTTAAGTGCAGGATCGGCAGAACAGCACTCGAGTGGTGAAGAGAGTGTACCACCGCTGTGTCTTATCCGTCGTGGAGCGGCAGGGACAGCTAGAGTGCCGCAGCACGTGGAGCGGGAGCGTAGTCCGATCCCAGAGAGGTCCAGATCTCCGTCACCTGCGCGCCGTCAAACTCATGGTCGACAGCCGCGCAGAGCGAGGAGAGTAGCCGCACGGGGCCGAAATGTCGAGCATGTCGCCACTGGCACTCCTCTGGCTAATGCTCCGTGTTTGCCCAACATGCCAGGGCTTCTACTCCAGGTCATACTTGTACAAATTGCACATTATTATACATAGGAAAGAACTTGAACTTTGAAATTTCGCAGATTTTTGCAAAAAAATCATTTTTGATACTCTTGTTTAGCCACGCCTATCTGAGGAATTCAACCTAAACTGCATTTTTAGTTCACAAATATCATAAGCTTTCAGGAAAACATAAAGTGTACATACAAAATATCAGCTGCTTGGGTATGGTGAGTGGATTTGTTGAAGCAGGTACCCCTCACATACATTTTGGGCAAAAGGACAAAGGGTTAAAAAGACACGATCTACAGTATCTCTACTTTCTTGCTCCTCATGCATCTGAGTGTAAGTAGGGTTGGTTTTTTGGTGCTGCTGGTTTCACCACCTTTGACAAAAAGAAAACCTTTCACTGCTCTTTTGTCTGTTTGCGCTGTCCGTTTCCCGGTTGAGCTGACTCTAGCTTTGCAGTGTTTACTGCAGGCAATTTCCAGTGGGTGTTAGGGAGTTGAGTAAATACTCGAGAAACGAGTACCTAGTACTTCATCATCGAGTTCTCTGCTTGAATTCACAATATTGGCCAGTAATAGCGCTGGAGTCAACCGCGGTGGTGTTCTGCAGCCTACGTTGAGAGTGCCCTAGCTACATTGTACATGTCCTTGTGTGAAATATCGCACTGCTGCGCACCACTGTGCGCTGTCTGCTGTTCTACAGCAATACCTGTCAAAGGAATCACTCTGATAAAGCAACCTGTAGCAGGGGACCACTAAAACCAGGACCGGACCAGTTCGTGTCCAGTCAAATTATCCTGGATAAGCAAGCCATCTGTACACAGCAGTGTACGTGTGCAAAATGGATGCTGTTTGTTGTTTGTTTTCATTTTACTTCATTTGATATATAGGCACTTCTGCCATCTCAATTAGAGTTGAAGAATACTTCGAAAGTAAAGCGAGGCATTTTGAGTTAGACATGAACGAAATATGAATGAATTCAACTTTGCTATTAAAGTACGTGAACCTAAACTATGGCAGAGTGGGGCTTCGATACTGTTTTGCTCAAGTATTTCACAGAGGTATTAAATAAGACTTAGTTCCATTTTAACTTATAAATTTTATGATTGATTCACAGCGTGACCAGACCACAGAGAATGGCCGACACCTCGAGTAACGTCCTTATAATGTCCTTTATCCAAGCCACGCCAGGAAAGGAACGGAAAATCGCTGCTCACGGCTGACCATCGCGGCATAGGCAGAAATACTGGTGGATGTCTTGGTCAATATGCGTGTACCCCGTCACAATCATGGTGTTGGCAATCAAGCCACGGTTATGACTGGGCTCTGAGCTCATCATGAGGGAAGGACCAAGGCTAGCCGCTCGTGCTGGTCCTTTTTTAGCGCTCAGCTTGTGAGTAGAACTGCCGGTATCCTCTTCCTCTTCCCGGTCCAGGTGAGCAGCACTAGATAGATTGGACTGCGAGATGCTCCTGCCCAAGCCCAATCTTGCCCCTCTGCTGGTCGCCACTGTGGCATGAGTGGAACGGGTTACGTTTGGCACGCCGATTTCACGCCTTAATGCCGCCGTCGCATGGCTAGCCTGGCCATCGATGGCAGATGCTGGCACGGACTGTGGCCACAGCAATGAGTCACCAGTCGGTGATACGAACCATGGGTGTCTCAACGTTGTCGATGGCAATGCACCTACGCTTGCACAGGTATGAAGCTGGGGAAAGCGGATTGCCACGGGCTTCGCGAAAGTGCTGGGTGCGGCTGGTGTCGCCGCCCTGGACCTGTCAGTCGTGTAATTCAAGCGCAGTGCTTGCAGCTCACGCTGGATGGCACACTGGCGGAGATGTATCTTGATGGAGCAGTGCGTGTACCGGACGGACACAAACTGGATCAGCTTCGCAGTACTGGCAGCCTCTCCGCCGCTCTTTGCATTCAGCAGTCCCGTCACCAGGTTGTACGCGTCTTGATAGACCTCCGTGCGGCGTGCGGTGTCGGACACGCGCAGCCACTGTCGCAGCAACTCTTGGTATTCCCAACCCATTGTTGTTCGCTGATACTCGTTGTAGCCCACTGGCTCCACTGGTCCCCACCACGAGCTAAACGACGGCCTGTACCTTCGCAGGTTGAGCCTCGGCAGCGTCTCGATGTCCGTCGGTGCCTGGACCCAGTCGGGATACCGGCACGGGGCGTGGGAGATCCTGTGCAGCTGCGTCAGTATTGTCTGTTCGCCGTTGCCGGCACCATGATTACACCTGCATCGTGGATGGTTAGTGTAGCCGAGCATGCCTGGCATGGCGTTTTCCAGCCTGTGAGCGTGAGCGCAGGTGAACATTCCCGGGGGGTTCATGCGCGGCGCTGCTCCGGTGGTGCATGCCCGGAAGGCTGGCCTGGGCATGGCTGCCATGGCAACGTAGAGCACTGTGATCTCGTCAGTGGGTATGCACTCGTCCAACTTCTCCATGATGGTGTCCAGTTGCTTGACCAGTGCCTCTCGTGTTTCAAAGTACCTGGTCAGCGTGTCCAGGTATTCCATCTCACCCGACTCCAGATATTTCCTGTGACAAAGAAGAGAGCAGCAAGGAAGAGAAGATATAAAATTTAATGTTGGAGTACCTCACAGCAGAGCAAATTTCAATAGCCTTTTTCATAAAAAGAAATGAGGACCAAGGAACTACAAGTTTCACTATATTGTCCACTAACACCACCGGTTACGTTACAATCAGCTCATGTGATAACATTGCACGACACTGACCAACTTGTTCATAAACGTCTTCTTTTACTGCAGTTTCTTGACTTGCATCGCACCCTGCGCCTGTGGATTCTTGGTTGGCATCACTACCAACGTACTGATGGTTAAAAAAAAACCTTACCTCAGGGATTTACTAGTACTTGAATGTGGTATATGTATCTGAGGATTTTTTTCAATCATTATCCGTATGTCATGCATGACCCAGGGTCCTGGCTGTAATGCAATGTGCAATGTTCTATCAGTATCAGTATCAGTACAGTACAGTACAGTATAGTACAATCTGCCCCCCCCCCCCCTACACACACACTAAATCATTGTCATGTGGCTCCACTGGGAAAGCTTTTTTTTGTCACCGAACCAGGTGCCCATGGTTACAGTACTTCGACACCGTGACTGCAAACTACATGCATGTGTTCTCCTGATGTCTTGCTTCAGCATTCCTATACATCTTCATGTTGCTCTTGTGTCCTCACTGCTCTTGTGTCCTCACTGCTCTTGTGTCCTCACTGCTCTTGTGTCCTCACTGCTCTTGTGTCCTCACTGCTCTTGTGTCCTCACTGCTCTGGTTCCTCGACTGTATGCTCTACTAGTATTGCAATGCAATGTGCACTGAACTGTAGTTGTTGTGTCTGGTATGCCGTGAGTTGTACAGTTGCATGCATTGTTGATTATTCTCAAAGACGCATCCAACAAGTACTGCGACATGAATAATAGCGGTGCTGAACACCAACCACGATCTACTCACCCGCAGGCTACATGAGCTGTGATGACACAGGATGGCCGATGGTGCCACATGTACTCCATACCGTGCTGAGTCTGCCACTTCCAGACGGCAGCAATGCGCTTGTAGTAGCTCTCCGCCACGGCCAGCATGTCCGGGATACTCACTGATTGCGTCTCCAGCTGCTGAGCCAGCTCCTTGTGCATCAAACATAGGCACATGGAGTAATCGCGAATCTCCATACTCTCTCGCTGGCACCAGACCTTGTTCAGCACATACTGTTGTATGATGTCGCACGCGTCGACGTAGTGCGCGACTGATTTTGCACCGAAACGAATGTGACCGCAGCGATACATGCGCAGCAGTGGGTGGATGAGGAACATCGCTTCGTCACGTAGTGTGATCTGGGAGTGTAGGCTCTTGAGACCGCCCTGATACAGACCAGCTAGCAACACATTCTTCCGTGTTGGTACTATGGCCAAGTACTTCACCAGGCTGTGCTCGCGCTGGTCCATCTGATGACGTACGTAGCGGTCGTGCACACTGCTGGTTATGCGATGGTTCAGGCATCGGCGAATAAGATACTTTTGAACCTCCAGCGTGCTACCACTATGCAGCGCTCTCATTGCCTGCAGCAAACACGAAAGTAGAAGATGAGTCAAGCTTGGCAGAGTAGTGCAGTGCAGCTTGTTCCAACGTGTCATGCCATTGGTGCTAATGGTTGGCTCACTGCAGTGAACTGATCGGGAAAGTGTGAAAACATTTGTCATTCATTTCTACGTGAGTAGTGTGCAATGGCCAGGTTCACTAAAAATCTCAGCATTCAGAAATTGTATATCAAACTGTACCATGTGATACTCTGGCATCACATTGAGGCTCACTGCACAACCTTGTTCACTTGTACATGTACGGTGCCGACCAGGAAAATCCCCGGGATGGGGGGGGGGGGGCAACATTCACTGGCCGGACTGTAGAAGAATAACCCTACTCAAAGAGCGATACCCGGATATAGGTGGTCGAGGTAAGCCGGGAGGGTCTAGTGAAGCCGTAATCAGGAAGTGTCATCGAACGGTATACATTGTATGTGTATGTGTGCTAAGCAGGTCAACTTACGTCCACCACGTCACGCCAGGCGAAGTGATTGACGATGCGGCCGCCCTGGCCAATCTGTCCCGTTGGCACTATCTTGGCGGAGCTGTCCATATCGTCCAGGGAGAGACCCAGCATGCGCACCTTGTTAGACGCCACCGTTTCCCAGCGCTCGACCGGGCACTTGGCCCAGCAGCTAGCCATAAGCCACAGCATGTCCGTCTCCTTGTACAGGTGGTCTGCACACGTGCTAGCAGCCAGCTTGTGCACTTTGTAGAACAGAATGTAGAGATCAGCGTAAGAGGCATTCTTGCCACGGGTTAGCACGTTGAAGTCGCGCTGCGAAAACCAAGAATAGAGCACAAAAAAGAGTCTGGTTTGTTTTTGCTGTTGCTATAGCAACCAGCCACAATTAAATGTGGTGAAAGACTGTTTAAAGTGAATGCATGGTAGTCAATTTTAATGTGTCAACGTCACTATTGTAGTCTAGGTACTATGTCAGGGGGTGCGTGCCTTCGCTGAGCTTCTCCACTCGTTACTACACTGCGTTGCTAAGACTAAGAGCCATTCTCGCACAGCGATAAGCCACACTCGCTACACACCAAACAACAGCACATTTGTATTGCGGTTAGGAGGGCCAGAAGTGTGACACCACGTTCTTTTACATGGAAGGATGCGGAATTGTAGAATAGCGGAAGAAGGGACAGAGCACATGGATATTCTGTGAAAGCAACGCAATGGCAACAACTGAGAGAGCAATGACCGAAAACCAGAAGCACCACTTGGGACCGTCAGATTAATTCGTCTGGGCCGAGCCAGCCGGGAAAAAACCCTCGCGCCGACGGACGCATTATTTTTTTGAGGGAAAAAACCGGGTGTAAAACCCCAAGTGGCTAATCTGACAAGTACAAAAAGCAGGGAGGGAGGGTGGGTACCTCAAGACGACTGGCCAGTCGTGCTCATGCGCAGCGGTTTAGAGAACATGTGAAGATGTACGAGTAAAAAGAAATTGATCAGATGACTGCTCACTTGTGAGAAAAAAACACGAGAAAAAACCGCTGTGACGAGAAAATACTTCTCGCCTCTGTCGCTGCGCTCTGCCGTCGAGAAGATACCAGAATCTATCAGGATGACACCTGGATCCTTACACAGCACACGGCTCATACCCCCCCCCCCCCCCCCCGAGAAGCAATTACTTGGTAGATCTACCCATTATACTCATTACTGTTCACTTTGTGCAGTGTGAACTTCAATATACGTCCATGCGGAAGTCTGGACTTTCAGTTTTCTCATTGACTGTATGACACTACAGTTTGGTTTTGTTTTCAAGTGCAGTCGCATGCGGTGCATAGTTACTTAGTAGTTAAACACAGTAAAAGTACGTATGTAAGCCCTGTGACCACTGATGACTGCATGAGCCCACATGGATTCGCCTTGCCTTGGCTGTCTCGTCCGTGGCGTGGTGACCGCTAGACTGGTGGCGGTCTCAACGCAGTGTTCAGTCAGGCCTGTTTGTAGTGTAGCCAGGTATAAGTAGTTACATGTACAGTGTAGTTACTAGTACTTGAAGGAAAATTTACGTTACGTGGCATTGTATTGATGTACATGTACATGAGAAGTTGATTGTAGTGTAGCTCCAACGAAGATAAGAATTCATGGCTGCATGACCCAGGACTAATATTAGTTTGCGGTACAATCGTGTACACTCGTAAGTCTACACGAACACGTACAGTAACAATGATCGTTATGCCGAATATGGTGTGCCACGGCTCTACAGTGACTTGTCATTGTGGCAGTGGTGGTCAGGGTATGCATTGCTGGCTTCTCCGTTCTACTACTTTGGTTCGGCTTGGAGCTGAAACCAAGTGCGTTGAACTAACATGTTAGTTACATGTGTCGGTTCATTGTTGTGCATTGAGAATGATGTAGTGGCAAATCGACCCACTAGTAGTTTAGGGTTGTTGTAGCTGTACCACCTCTTCGTCACTGGTGGTTTGGTTCACGTCGGAAGTGAGACGCCAGCAATGAAGGGTCGGCAATGGAAGACTGACCACGACTAGTTGGCGATTGGCGTTGCTACCTTCGCGTTAACTTTACTGCCCATAAGCCTGCTAAAGCTTCACCGACCCATCGCCAGTTGTAAGTATCGGTTATTAGACCAGTGGATCGTAGCAATTATTGCCAGCGTTAGTCACTGGCTGCCTGTCGACTAGTGACTAAGTCACCGAATCAGCGCTGACAAGTATTACAAGAAGAAGAAGTATAGTTCACAACGCGTTGAGCCGGTGCTCGCCGAAATGGTCACTTTGGCACGTCACACCTAGAAGTGGACCATAAAATCACGATGGCAAACTGATGGATGAGGATGGAGTATGAATGTCACTTAGACCCCCCACCCCCACCCTTCCCCAGGTTCTATCCCATACTGGGGGGTTATGTGCTCTTGCACAATGTGGCCGTGGGGATTGATGCAGTAGTTCAAGCTGTGTGCATACATGTGTGCTGCACGCGCGCGCCCAGGTGGGCTGTTGGTCGGCGCTGGAGGTGTTATGACGGAATGTCTGAAACGCACCGTGATTCGATTTGGGAGTGCCTAAACTTCGGTTTGAACACGCCCCGCCGCATTGATTGACAGTGCCTGTATTTTAAAATTAATAACGTTTACCGGTACAGTATTTGCTATTTGGTGTTCCTGTAAAGCAACTCCTCCCCTCCATTCAGGACATCGCAATCAGATAGTGTGGGAAACGCAACATCGGTGGGCATGACTCCGAAGTGCCTCGCGAGTCGTGAGCATACCACAGGTGGTAGCGATGCACTGTCGAGTGTTGATACTCGATTACTCCTACGTGAGCTCTATACTGTAGTCGGTAGTGCTTGTTGACGGCAGTCCCCATTTGGTCAAGATGAAGTAATAGATACTAGTGTTAGTCCGTCCCGGGCCGAGTATGCCCTGGCCCTGTCCGACACATGCAAGTGGAGATTTCTCATTGATGAAAACATCCGCCAGCGGTCGGTATCTCTTTGTCCCGCCTGCTCATGCTCTGCCACCGCTAAAACGAAATACTTCAAATCGAAGCAATAACGTTACTTACAAGTTACATACCCTACCTGCCTGCTGTACGAACATACTAGTACTAGTAGTCTTTACTACACGCAGCAGGGAAGATGATCCGGGACCAGACAGCAGGCAGGCATGCTAACATTAGCTGCGTGCGCGTCGTACACTCTCAGTTCCAGGCGTCACACCTCTCCGCCCACTTTTGACATGCCGACACATTTCCGAGCCACACAACGCCGACGCAGACGGCCGTGCATGGTCATACAGACACACACCTGTACTGCAGCGCTACCTAGCACAGACTCAGGCCGGGAAAGAACGGGTGCATGTGGCCAAACTCAAACTGTCAAAGGCAGTCATGGTCAACCAGTTGCTGGTATCGACTCGACCCTCACTGCATGCAGCACTGGTCAAGTCACAAGTGGATGAAGCGCGTTGCCGCTGCTCAGGGTCAGGTCTGTATTGTTCACCGCAACGCTCGCTGGACCCAGGACAAAGCAATAATTCCTATCTCTAGATTTGCAATGGTGCGAAACTTTCCTCTTTAGTCCCAGGCAAAGTAAAGTTAGCAAGGCACTCATGACTGCCTGACGCGCGTCCATGACAAGCAGCCAAGCTGAAAGACAGCTCTTGGGCCTTCTTGTTTGCTTGAGAGAGGTCAAGGCTGAAGTACCCTTTCTGCACGCTATGTCGCTGCATGTTCATGTGGCATAAAGACAGTACATGCCTGTGCATGATTCGGTGCATACCTGGCTGTGCATGATTCGGTGCATACCTGTGCATGATTCCGCAGTCACTGGGAATGCACAGCTAGATGCACAGAACCCTCTCCAAACTCAGCGGTCAGCAAACACGCTCTGCCGACGAAGCATAATGTACCCGAACACGACGCGGCATTTAGAGAACACTGCACTACGTGATACTACTAATAAGTCTATTGTAACCACGCACGTTCTTGTAGATTCCTGCGAGCTGCGCGTGCGTGCCTGGGATGCGAAAATAGTCCGCATCCTAAGTCTGTTGACAAGAACGTCTAAGAGGATACCGTATAGCCTGAGTGAGTGAGGTACTGCGGGTATCTCTGCTCTAACGTTATTGGTAACAGGTTGCTGCCTGGACAGTCAAAGAATGGCTTCCCTACTGATTGGCTGGGCCCGAATCATCCTTGTTTGGTTCAACAATGGAAGGGAGAGCCGCTCAGAATTCGCCACTGCTGCTGATAATAATTATCACTTTCAGTATCGCTATTGTTTAGCTATTGCTGTTCACTAGTACTGTCTACAGTGGTACATCGTTGTCGGACGTATCCCTATCTAGATCTTGACCGTGGAGCACCTTGTGCGGATGATCCTGCCATCGGAGGGGTCCTGGTCCTACCTCAATGTAATCATTATCAACACACTTCAGCATACCGTGCCATACATGTACATGTACTGCTGCATACACCAACAAACAAAATAACCTACACGTTTAAATACATGTACAACGTTACGTGAACTCGTACATGTACGTATGTCCTTACCTGTTCGCAGCCACTGACTCCACATCGCGATAATAACATCGCACACGTGTATGCTTTGCATGGATTGGCAAAGCAGTGCTTATGATGCCACTGCATACAAAACATCCAGTGTGTGATCCTTATTCTTAGCCTAAATATTAGGGTACATGTATTATGTAGTGTGTAGAACATAGTAACTGATCACGTAGAGTCTACGCATGCATGTCTCACCTTGCACAGGTATTTCCACAATGATTCTGCCTCTTGGATTAGGTTGGCAAAGTAACAGCAGGTCTGCGCAAGCCTCGATAAGTCTTCCACCTCCATATGGCGGCAGATCAGGAGCTGCACCTCAGAACTGAGACCGGACATGTAGCAGTGCACATCACACTCGTCGCTAGAATCAGCCGACATGCCAGAACTGGACTGTGCCAATTCTGGCTCATCTACATGTACATGACTTTCCGCATCAGAGCTTGCCACACAGGTTTCCGAGCACATAGACTCTCTGACGCCGTCCAATACTACATCACTCTGGAAATGTGACAGGGGTACCTGGCTTTCACCTTCTCCATCAGTGTCGGAAGCTTCATTGTTGTTGCGGTGGTCTTCCTGGAGCACGTCCCGTAACTTTTTCAGAGTTTTGTCTGCAGTAAACCAGGAAGAGGTATCTGTCAGTCTCGCCTCGACCGGACGGGGGCCATAGATGTTCACTGGTGGCACTGGGTCAGGCTTACCGATGCCACAGTGAGCGAGGCTGGCATGGTGACCTTCACGAACAATGCTATCACTGGAAGGGAGAGCTGCTCTTGGGAGAGTGCTAGCACTAGCAGTCAGGGCTTCTATGTCTAGGCTACTGCAAGATGTAGAGCTAGAAGGGCTGTCATGATTGCTGGTGCAGCAGCCGCCACCACCGACGCTGGCTGTTGTCACAGGATCACTGGCGACAGATGCACCATGGTGATCATAGCGCAGTGCTTGCGGGTCACTGGCCTTGCGCTTGCCAGCTAGTATTACTGGCTTCAAGCATGGCTGTCGCATGTGCTGTTCTTCCGGAGGCGAGGTCGTATTCTCCAACTGGGGATAGCAAATGCCAGGTCTACGCACTACAAAAGCACTGGCTGTCATGAAACGGTAAACAGAGCCATCATCAGCATCACTGTTACTGCTACTGCCATTGCTGATGCCGTGACGTTCGGCAACTTTTCCTCCTAGGGTTTGGCGATGCGGGCTGCCTTTTTCGGATCCAGCTTGAAGGTGCATATCGGCAACGAGCCTGGTGGCAGTGGAGCCAGCCTAGTTCTCTCTTCGCCTCTATCACTGGTAACGACGTAGTCGTTAGCTGACAGGCCAACGCACAGTGCAGTCCAGCCGCTACGCAATGGCACAGGAAGAGATCAGCAGCTCTGGGTGACCTCCGCGCTCTCTCCCTCTCCCTCTCCGTGTCTCTGTCTTGCAGAACAGTCAGCAGCAACAGCTACACGAGTAGAAAAAGCAGGAGGGCAAGAACAATATTGATTAGAGGAAGAGCAGAATGTGTTTTCTACATCTGTTTTCTACATCGGTCACACCTACTCACACGAGAGAGGGACAATCTGTGTAGTCCAATCTAGATAGTGGCGAACACTCACTAATATCAGTGTCGGCTAGTCTAGGATTTCAAACGTTCAAATCACGCAACCGGGTCAGAGCCAGGTACATAATTCAAGTGCGGCTATTAGTAAAAAAATAGTATTGTACATCAGGGAGCCTTAGCACTCCCTGATTGAGTCAAAACGTGTTCTTTTTCCAAGCGGGTCTAAGTACTAGTAACCCCAATCGGGTCAGTGACCCGGCTCTGGAGCAGACACTGCCACTTATAACCCCATTATTGGATTTCTTCATTTCTGTACACAATGCGGACGTAACGTTGCAAGTCATGATTGACAAACTATACATCTTTCCTTTTAGTAAGCCAGCTCCTCCGTGATGCTTTCACACTCATCACACTCCACATATCCAGCGAATAGCTGGTTGGACCCGATACAGTGATAGTCGTCTGATGAGCGTTTCTGAGCACAAAGAGTTACGGAAAGGTATTTGCTCTGTTCTTTTTCCCGCTTTGTGTCGATGGAGATGTAGTACATGTAGTTATAACTATACAGAGTACAGAGTACATTTTTTATAATCAAGTCCCCAGCTCTACTCTATATCATTCTCACCGGAACTGCTGCTGCTGCATAGCCTCAAGTCTAAAGACTGAGCAACTTCGCGCCTGCACCTGACTCGTGCGCTATGATTCCCCTCAGTATTTCTCACCTGGCTCCCCAGTTACATGTATGTTCAGCCTGTCCGTTTTGGAGCCATCAGTTGCCTGATGGAGTGATGATCGTAGTAATACGTGAAACTCAGAGTTGTGACACAGCTTCCAATCTCTCTTGTGTAGTTGCACTTACAGATCACATTTGGTGCTACGTTTACCCACACGGGACAGTCCATGCACTGTTGATTTCGAAGTAACAGGACAGCAACTACATGTATGTATCATGGCACCCATTTGGATCCGATGATTTCTTCAGAAAGGTTTCGCCCGCTTGTAGTGAAACCCGGACCTACAATACGCTACATACACTTGCAGCGTAGAAGGCCACTCAGCCTTGCGCACGTACATGGCGTCATTACAATGGCGGCACTGTAGCACGGAAAACCTGACATCATCACCAAAGCAATTGGTCTCTTGTTGACTCGAAATTCCTATTTTATCTCAATCAAATTGTCGCCCGGGAGCCATCATGAGGATTGAGGAGAAGCTACTAGTACTTGTGAGTTGGACGTCTATCTTTAATATAATCTTGTGTTGTACAATGTACAATGAAGGTGAGGTGCATGATTGTACGTGTATTTCGAAGATGACGCAGCCCAACACTACTGTTTGAAGGAGAACCCACCTGTTTCCAGTGACAGTCCACGGCGTAGACATGGCTGTACCAAGGCTGAGTTCACAACCTTGGTAGATATCTACACTGTACTTACATTGTAGTCCGAATAGGCTCTTGCTACTTCTACCGGCATGTTTTCTTCACATCTATCCAGGAATCCAAGACGCCGTGCAGTTAGGGATAATCCGATATGTGTCAGCTAATACCTTTCTTTGACGTATGTGGGTACAGTGAGGGCTGCGTCCCACCCGCCTGTGTGGATTCACAGGAAGTGTGAGTTACGAAGTCTGAAGAAAGTGTTGAACGGTCTCTGCTGGGATGACGACTACACCATAGCTCAGTGGTTAGAGCATCGCTAGCAACAAGCGAGGGTCCCTGGTTCGAGTCCTGGTGGTGACAGTCAATTTTTTCTTCAGACTTTTCCCGTTTGTGTCTTTCCCTCAAACTAGTCAAAATAATACCTTTCTACTTAGAAGTAGGACATACTTCAGGCTCTTGAACATTTTCGCTAGTATACTTTCATGCCTTATCATAAGACAGTAGTATAATTGCATTCTTGTCTCCAAGGAAATAATACCTATCTAATGTACAGTATGTTGCCTAGGATATACTGTAAAGTACTTTTTGGGGGACCCTGTACTTTCTTTTCCAGGCATTTGACCTCGGGTGTAGACTATGCATGACGGATGATGTGCCCCGTCCATAAAGTATCAATTGTTATATTCCAAGCCTTTGATGTACTGCATGTAAAATTTAAAGTAAGTTGTCTCATTTCACAGAAGTATACCTTCACGGCTTCAGTCTTCAGTCCTGCCATTCACAGCCGGAGACTCTCAACTCAAGTCTAAGATCTGTGACCTACATCTACACCACGTACCTGGTGAGCGTGTCCTAGATCCTGGCTTCAGCCCCGGAACCATGTAGATCTACCAGCGAGGCTAGAGCCAATACGGCTGGAGGCTGGAGACTGGTGTCACTGCGACTCTCCGACGCTGGCGACAGGCTCAGCAGCTGCTCTGAAACTAACTTTCTTCACAGCTTTCTGCGTGCACATCTGGTTACTACAATCTGCGACTACACACTGCAACAGCACACTGTAGTGTGTAGAGTCTCATGTCTCAAACTCAAAGCTTCCTTGCTGTGCCTTGCTTTACTTCTAGTATGTATAGTACTATAGTACTTAGTAGCGCATACTGCAGCACGGTATTCTACAGACTCATTACACTACTACAATAAATACTCCACCGTGAGCATGAAAACCTAGCTGACTGATATTATTAGAGAGCGTCTCTCTCTTGACTGGTTTGACCCTCTCTCCATCTCTTCCTCGAGTAGATGTAGAACTGGTAGTGCCAGCTTTCGGAAGTGTTACATCCTCGGCACGTCGTGTACCGCTCGCAGAACTGATCGATGTCGATCAATACGACGACAGTATCGACAGTATCCTGCACACGCCGAAAGCCTAGTACTACCTCGCATGGGGTAAACAATAGCGTTTGAAAGGTGACAATCAACACACGCCTTCACCTGTCATCAATCTATCAGGATGACCGCTGGCTTCTGACTGCCAGCGCGATAGCTGCATGTCCTGTTGCTAAACCGTATTCGGCATCCCGAGCTATGTTACATAGTATGTAATGTACTTCAGCTGCCTTGTCTACTTGTTCAAACGAATTGCGTCCGTTGCTCATTCTCCTTGCTGGTGCCGTCCCCGTCTCGTTTCAACACTCCACTCCAGTCAGCTTGGCGGGCCGCTCAGACGCGATCCTGCACCAGCATGTGGAGATCGATTCATGCTTGACAGTGGTGTAAGTGTTCTGCTAGCCTACACGACATATACAGCCAAAGCGTGTGAGAAGAAACAGCCAGATCTAATTAGTTCGTGGGAAAGCTGCCCGACCAAGACAAGGTCCTGCCTCCGCAAGATCACATGATAGCTACATGTAGTCGATTTCAATCACACTCCGTGCGACGCCTTCGTCCTGCTTCGTCTGCGGCTTTGTCAAGACGGCTTTAACAATTGATGGCAGTAAATCTTCTGTCTTTTCTGATGGAGTGCTGATGACGGCGCCGATAGTTTTACATTCCGTCACCACTCTGCGAGATATCTAGGAATCGGAGCATTCGGAGGAAAGCAGTTGTATTTCCCCAAAAAGTAGTTACCCCCACCGAATAAACCCGTTTTGACAGTTACCCCCACCGGGACCCAGTGCCAGTGTAATGCCACCTTGCACTGTACCTGAACACGTGGAGCAAAATATCACGGGGTGCTATGGCCTAGGCTAGGCCAAAATAGGACGAGGGCTAGGTCCCAGGCCATCATCACACACACACGGTACGAACCCTCGAACGCGGCGCTGATTTTAACCCATTACTCATAATTATCATGAGGTCGAGCTTTCTCTGGCCAGGATTGCACTTACAGTTACATGATCATGTGACACATTGTAAATCATACTGCACTGTATACTGCACTGTAGTTTATCTAGAAAGTAAAATGAGAGGACCACTCAACGACCTGATGCTTAGCTGCATCACGTCTGGAATGCGTTAACCAACAGCCTTCTCCAACTTGGAAGGTTCTACCTGAGAAAGAGTTACTTCTTGTACTTGTATGAAGTAACGTAAGAAAGGAGAAGGTGACCGTACTCAAAACCGGTATCCTGCCTATCCTAAGCCCGTCTCCACCCGAGTCTAATCTAGAAAGTTGGTTGTAAAATGCAGGTGCAATGCATGTCCCAAATGACACGTAACTGGGGACGGTGTCACCCAACTCACCACATGAACACAGCGCATCAAGAATATCTTGGCGGTACCCGACCAGACCTCTAATCTCCATCCACACAATCCACGCCGTCGCTCACACACCGTTCTGTATAAAGTGACGCTACGCAGCCAGTGACGTGCAGTTATGTACCTGTCCTTTAGCGTTTTGGATAGAAGAGTACCCGCTGAATCATCGGAAACATGCACTTTCCTTCTCTCCCTCTCGCTCTCTGGCTCTCTCACACTCTTTCTCCCTCTCCTCTCCTCCTCTCTCTCTCTCTCTCTCTCTCTCTCTCTCTCTCTCTCTCTCTCTCTCTCTCTCTCTCTCTCTCTCTCTCTCTCTCTCTCTCTCTCTCTCTCTCTCTCTCTCTCTCTCTCTCTCTCTCTCTCTCTCTCTCTCTCTCTCTCTCTCTCTCTCTCTCTCTCTCTCTCTCTCTCTCTCTCTCTCATTCTCTCTCTCTCTCTCTCTCTCTCTCTCATACTCTCTCTCTCATACTCTCTCTCGCGCTCTCTTTCATTCTCTCTCGCCCTCTCTCTCTCGCCCTCTCTCCCTCTCTCCCTCTCTCCCTCTCCTCTCTCCCTCTCTCCCTCTCTCTCTCTCTCTCTCTCTCTCTCTCTCTCTCTCTCTCTCTCTCTCTCTCTCTCTCTCTCCTCTCTCTCTCTCTCTCTCTCTCTCTCTCTCTCTCTCTCTCTTTTCTCTCTCTCTCTCTCTCTCTCTCTCTCTCTCTCTCTCTCTCTCTCTCTCTCTCTCTCTCTCTCTCTCTCTCTCTCTCTCTCTCTCTCATTCTCTCATTCTGTTTCTCCCTCTGATTCGCGTATATGCACACACTTTCTCTTTCTTCTTCCATCTTCGGTATATACACCCCCCCCCCCCCAGTTTCCTATCGCTCTCTACAATCACTTCAAACTCCCCACGCTGCCAATGTGCCGACCTTTCTCAGTCACACATACCATAATATGACCAACGCATCGCATGACCATTAACCAACTGTATGCATGTTGGGTTTGTCAGATCGGGAAGGTAAGTGTAGGTTCTGTTGAGAAAGAGCTTGATAGCAGACCAGCACACATGTATCACCAATCAGAAAGGCTGTCTTCTCTTTATACTACTGCTAGTATATTCCAGGGAGTCACGTCACGTGATTAGTCCTTGTACCCCCCCCCCCCCGCTCTATCTCTGAACTACATGTAGCTGTGCCATTTTTTCCTTTTCTTCCTCTGGTACATGCCAGCCGCAGAACAATGACTGAGTGGGCTATGAACCCACCAGTACATGTACCTGGCTTGACCGGGTAACAGAATCTATCAAGGGACATAACCTCGGCTCCGGGCACGGGTTATGTACTCTTGCTGATATTTGTGATAACTATTGTACTTGTACATAATACATGTAGCAGTGGTGCTAGCACTACTACAAGCTGACTGTGAATACACTAGTACATGAGTACATGCAAAGCGAACAGTAGAATGTGATTTTCCTGTAGAGTACTACTAGTAATCAGTATGACTACATGCCCCGGTTCCTATCCCACAGACTTACGGACAGCAACTACTAACTTACTTACTTACGGGTTCTGAAACCTTCTGTTGGCGGCTGTCGGGAATGCGAACTTCAAAGCAACACTGCGAGATACTAGTAAGCACCTGCAACGCAACGCTACAACTCCGAAATGACTGGCGATGCACGAGCAAAACGGGGGGAGCCGGGCACAACCCTACACTACTACTGAGAACTATGATCACAACGCACTAGCAGAAATCCCCTTACAGATTCCACGGCTATTCAGACACACTACAGTAGCAGACTACTACAGTACAGACTACAGTTGTGATGGAAAGAACTGTCCAGTATGCGCGCAGGACCACAGCTATAACTCTACTACTCTCAGGAAGCCTGACACGACACGAAGGATGCTAGCACCTTCAACTAGTAATACTTCTGAAGCAACGCTCTTGCCCGGGATTGCTATGCTGCTGTTGATTTCGCTCTGGATAGCAGGTGAACTGATTCCAACTATCCTCACAAAGTTTCTCACTCACTCACGCTGAGTAATGAACTCCACACCCGTGCTCACTGAGTCAGTCGCCCTCGAATACAGGCTACTTGTCACATGCAGAAAGAGGAACTAAAATGGCACTTCTTCGGTCGTTGTGTTTTATTATGTCAACTAGTAACCTCAGCACAAGTCACAGTCACAGTGCTATTGCAAGCCACCGCCACAGCGCATCAAAACCCTGTCGGCCAGGGAATAGACCGTGAGGGAGACACTGCACAGTCGCCCGCAAGCTCTAGCCACAGCACTGTGACCGCAGTGTAACTGTCTTTCTACCCCCCTGACTAGTCGACTGTACACAGTCACAGGATAATGTGAGGGCACCACAACGTACAATGTATTGTAGGAGCGCTGGGCCTGCATCTAGCTTCTCGTCAAGTAAGTTTGTTTGTCAAGTGGACGTGGCGAGGTCCAAGAGGTGTCGATTCGCTTGAGCTGACCTTCTCTCTTGTTCTAGTTATAGCACGACTGAGCGTGAATAGAAACTGGTGAGATACTTCTTACGCTCTCGGCACAGTAGCTGTGACTTCGGCCGTGGCTAATTTAAGAGCGCCGCACGTGCATGTACGTGGCGACGCGTCTCTTCCTAGCGTGTGCAACAGCAAGAAACGTAGCGGTCTGGACGAAGATCACCGACCAGCCAATACTAGTACCGAAGTCTTTGGTGGATGTATCGTCTTTCCTGCGGGGTCATCGGAGTGACAGGAGCGGTCCTCTGTGCGTGCTCTACCAACCATGCCACAGCAATAGTTCTTGAAGCAGCGTCACTTTTGTTGTAATTATCCGTTCTGCCAGGGCTAACGCACAACTATCCAACCCCGCTCATGCGAGAGAGAGAGAAGGGGAGAGAGGCCAGCGACGCTAGCTTGCGTCTCCTCGCGCTTGACGTGTGCCATGCTCCCAGGGATACTCAAACTCAAAGAGCAGCATAGTCGTTAATGGAGCGACGGAACACGAGCCCACCCCCCGTTGTATGGTGAAAAACTCACCTGCCTGGATCCATGGATGGCCTGCTACAGACTCGACGGCCAGTGCATAAATAAAGTGGTTAACCCATTCTTGTATCCACTTGGAATAGACTGTACCCTGGTCTGGTGCAAGTTAGCAGTGGAAACCCTTTTAACGAACGATTAACTTTGTTCGTGGAGATCGAGAAAAGAGGCCTGCCCGTCTACAACTAATTACTTACAAGTAAATAGGCGTTAGCATCTACTTGTACTATGGTGGTGGTGGTGCGTGCGTGCGTGCGTGTACATTATGTCATCTGAGGTCCTTGCTGCAAATAGTGCTACTAATACTAAAGTAGTACTAACAAGGGTAGAGTGTAGTATTATTAAAAGATCTGAATAAAAATAGGGTGATCCCTACACCAGGCAACAACAAGGCCAAAGGCCTTTTTCGATAGGGTACCCTTGATAAGCATGGCCTCGTCGGGACATCACCAACCTCGTCTACAGAGAGCACCTTCTCACGAGAGTGTCATGGTGGTGACAGTAACTTTTGTCAGCTGACGAGCTGGGAGATGGACGCCATGGGCAGAAATTAGAAGAAAAAAGGAGTTAAAACAATTCAGATTAGAATATGAAGTTGATTGTTCCAACCAGGAATACACTCTTCTTGCCGAACTTGACACTTGACTGACTCACGACTGCCATCCGGAGCACACGAAGAGCACGTCGCACCTTCCACTCGGCAAACCTTTTATGACTATCAGGGCGACATCCAGGAGCGATCAAGGAATACACGACTGACATTAGGAGAAGTCTAAAAACTCCCCTGGCGTAACGAGGGTCAGAAGTTCAGAACCGGGTTCAACATCCATAAAATATAATTATAATGGTTCAGATGGTAGTAGTAGTCAGGGAGTAGTACAATACGGTATTGTGTACTACTCCCTGGTAGTAGTAGTAGTAGTAGAATTTATTATTTTGATAGGGAAGGCCCTACAGACGTTGCCGTCCCAACTAGGCGGATAATGCCGGCAGAAAAATTGGCAGAATTCGGTACTTTTTCTGGTAAGTTTCATGCATGTTTGGTATGTGGATAAAGAAATGGAGCAGAATTCGAGGAATTGCCCGCCATAAGGTTTGTATGGCTCTGCCAATTTCACTGCTTTTCGAGCAGAATCTGCCACCTTTTCGAGCATTATCCGCCAATGCCTAGTCCCAACGGACCGGGGCTCTACCAACCGTGGATGGTTGTAGTAAGGTCACTGTTTCCGAACACGGACCGTCGGTGTCCTCCACCTTGTTTCATGCTGTCAAACCAACAACGTCATGTGTGAACTATAACAAGGTTTATCTAATGCTGGTGCTGTACTGTTGTAGTAATAGTAGTATTGGATTATCATAATTGTATCTGGTGCAGCTAGTACATGTACTGTACTAGTACCGGTATTGGATTATCTAATACATGTTTATTTCTCGTTGGCTGAGCGAAGCGAAAGAAACGAGAAATCTAGTTCTCTGTTAATATTTTTTGCACGTGCGTGCGGAACGGGTACGAGGGCAGTGTGCTGTGGTTGAAAGTGCTGTTGCTGTGATTCTGCAGATCATTGTTTTTCTTCTTGCCAAGTGTGCAGCTGCCCAAAATTTTTCCTCCGTCGTGTAGATCGGCCTGGTGCTGTTCTTTTCTGTTGCCAACATGAGTGGTCGGAAAGGAAAAGCTGTGAACTCTGGTCGTGGTAGAGGTAGAGGCAAGAGAGGAGGCGCTCGTGCCTCAGCCGTATTTGAGTTTCCCGACTCCGATAGGGTCGGAACCACGTCGTCGTCGTCCGAGTATGAAACGGCAGTGGAACACCAGCCCTCGGCACCCCCAACTGCAGCTCCTCAACAGGCTGGTGCTGCTGCGTCCAAGGCAGCCACGGAGTTCGAGAGCGAGCAAGAGCTCTTGGGCATGAAGATCCGAATGCTGGAAAGAGGCATGGAAAGGTTGGCAGAACGAGGCAGGTCGCTGAAAAGAAGACGAGGGGGAAATTCCCCTGATGCAAGATCATCGTCGTCCTCGTCCTCGTCCTCCTCAGAGTCGAGATCAAGATCCCGCTCGCCGAGGCAAAAAAGGAAGTCCGGAGCACCCACGGAGCTGAACTGGAAAACGACCAGCTATGCAAAACAGTTTGCATTGAACGAGGAATTGCTGGACATCATTGCCTCAATGAAGTCGAAGAGAAAAAGGAGAAGAGCAGCGAAAAAAGGTGAGCGTGTACTTAGAGAGAGGCAGGAGTGGCTTGTTGTCGCTGAAAACCATGGCCACCAGGTGGCGACTGCATTCCAAGGAGGCAACCTGCTCATGGACCTGGTGGCAGGCTCCAAAAAGCAGAAGCGGCTGCAGGCCGCAATCCAAGCAGAAGGGGTGAAAAAGAAAGCGGCCGGAGGTGTGCGTAGCCTAGGTTCGGTCGATGCTAATGTTCAGGCAGGGCAGGGGATGGGGATCCCACCTCGTCCACATCCAGGTCCCATTCAGCATATGCCAGGTAACTTTCGGCCCCTCCGGTGTGTCACAGATGTGGGCAGCCAGGGCATTTCGTCAGAGTGTGCACGCAGCAGCCGACGGCCGCTGGCCAGCAAAATCGGCGGCCAATGTAAGAAGGATACGAACACGTCGAGGAGTGCAGCAATATTTGACATAGCTATGTTGTATAATTCATACTCTGATTGATAAAATAATTCAGTGTGGCTAGTTCTAGACCGATGTCATATTGTGCGTCTGATTTCATAAATTGTGAATACAATACAATACAACCATCAAAAGTTTATATAAGAACATTTACTGCGGAAGTGCTGCGTGTCTTTGTGTGCTGTATGTTATATCTGCAGGTAGCACCGGGTGCTACGCTAAGCTGCTGGGATCCTGGATCCGAAGTGCCGGGCACCAGGTGCCATGTTGTTGATGCTGCTGTGGCTGCTGGTGAGGGATAGTGATCTGCCCGTTGAGACGCGAACTGCCACCGGGTAGACGGGGACAGCGCACATCGTGACTAGCCAAAGTATTCGGCGACCTCTACCGAGTCTCCTGCTCCTATCATGGATAGGGTACTAAACCCGGCTATGCTTTGTGCGTCTTGTGCAGCAGGTCTGCATTCACCGCATGTTCAAATGGCTGCTGTGTGTGATAGAGCTGGGTGTGCATGCTGATGCTCGTGCAAACAAATTTGGAGCAGAGAAATGTTTATTTCTCGTTGGCTGAGCGAAGCGAAAGAAACGAGAAATCTAGTTCTCTGTTAATATTTTTTGCACGTGCGTGCGGAACGGGTACGAGGGCAGTGTGCTGTGGTTGAAAGTGCTGTTGCTGTGATTCTGCAGATCATTGTTTTTCTTCTTGCCAAGTGTGCAGCTGCCCACCCACCCACCCTGGTCAACTATCTTCTTAGTGTGCGCTGCCGTTATTCGCTGTAGTGTGTGCTGCAGACTGTAGTCGTGTGACTCATGATGCTCTGGTCTATATGCCTATAACTCTTCGCTTGGCGAGTTTTTCGTACTTCAAAAACGAAGTAGTAAAGCATGGTTCCTGAAGCCTAGCAAATGCTGAAGCTGCCGTTGCCTTAGTTTTCTGCCTTATTCTGATGTATTGCTGACAATAAGTTCGGGCTACAGCGCTGGCTCTCTTCCAAGGCGCATAGCGCCATTATCTAGCTATGGCAAGAAGTTCTTGTGCAGCAGGTCTGCATTCACCGCATGTTCAAATGGCTGCTGTGTGTGATAGAGCTGGGTGTGCATGCTGATGCTCGTGCAAACAAATTTGGAGCAGAGAATAGTACATGTACCAAGTAATAGGCACCGGCGGATAATGCCGGCAGAAAAATTGGCAGAATTCGGTACTTTTTCTGGTGAGTTTCATGCATGTTTGGTATGTGGATAAAGAAATGGAGCGAGGAATTGCCCGCCATAAGGTTTGTATGGTTCTGACAATTTCACTACTTTTCGAGCAGAATCTGCCACCTTTTCGAGCAGAATCCGCCGGTGCCTACCAAGTAACGACTATTTTTTACGTTAGTTGAATCATGTACCGTTAGTCCGTAACCATAGTCATTGTACAGTGTGCTGAATTTTTTTAGTACATGTATAAAGAAAGGTTCTGCGTTCCGGCTCTCCGCGAACATAAGAAAACTAGAGGAAACAAACAAACAGAAGAAGTCAACAATTCATAGGGTACCCTGTAAAAAGGCCCTATAGTATAGGCCTGTGGGGCTGCCCTATTCAAAATTTAATAATAATAATAATAATTATTAAATAAGGAGAAGAAGAAGCAAGAAAAGCAGAAAATATGAGATGTACATGTAGTCATTGTATCAGAGCACAGCAGTCGACTAGCAGACTGGACCTCAACAGTACAGTACAGGGCATAATACTTATAATAGCCTAGGCTAGGGCCCGGGGATAGCCGCCTCGGCAACAACAAGTCAAGATATGCCCTATTAAGTATAGAATAAATTAATGAGGAGGCCGAGGGTTTATGACCAATAAAAACTATTATAAAAACCGAGGTCCCCCGAGGTTTTTATAATTAGTTTTTATTGGTCATAAACCCAAGGCCGGAGCATTTATTGTATTTAGAATTAACCAGTAAAAACTCCTACTCAATCTTCAACAACAAAATTAGTGGACAGCTGTTATTTGTGTTGCTATGACAACTCGACCTCGTGTGCTGGACGAGTATTTTGTTGTCATTGGTTCAATTTCTTTTACTCTTCATAGGCTATCAGATCATTTTCCTTGTTCGGTCTATTTATAACCAGTATCTATATAAATGAGAGTGTGGTCTGTCTCCATGGTTACCGGTGTTCATTTCATAACTATAGCCACTTCTCCTTGTTAGACCTTATGTGGAAGGCCCATTCTTGCATATTCCAACAGCAGCCAAGGGAGCTAGCTCTCTTGGTTATGCGGACTGGTACATGGTCCGATCCTAAACTGTAAAAAGCTGTTTTTATGAACTGTTTTTATTGGATAGGATATGATTATGTTGAATGAACGAGGTTTGTGTGAGATTGACTTGGAGTTTTTACGAGTTGATTCTAAAAATTTAATAAATAATAGGGAGGTTCTGCTCTACGTTTTGGGAACGCGACGCAAAGAATCACGCGAACTTTCTTCGCGTTCCCGTATAACGTATTACGAGAAAGAAATGCTGTTTTGCTCTACGTTTCACCTAGAGAAGTCACGTGGAATGTGTACTGGGAATTTCCCCTTCCATATTTGGCAGTTTTCTGCATGCAGTTGATCGATACCCAGCAAATCCGTACGCATTTTCTCTGCGTGTGCCACAACGTAGAGAACCCCATCTCCGCGTAGAAATCTGGAGCCAAAACACGCGAAGCCGTAGACTCTAACCCAGACACCTGCTCTCTACGTGATTTCTCTACGTTTCACGTATAGCAGAACCTCCCTAATAATTAGGGCTCAAACGGTCACGGTTTTACCCCTGACGGTTAACTGCTAAGCTAACGGTCTGTTAACCGGTTATAACCTATAAGCCACGGCAATCCTGCGGACTCTTTTTTAACCGTATATTTGACTATACTCATTCAAAAAATGTACCCTATTCAGTACAACGCACACTTGTACATTCTCTTGCATGCTCATTCATACATACTCTCACACCAAGAGACCAGATATGACCGAGTTGACAGCCCAGAAATTGCTTACGCGTGCGACAGCCCGCAAAAGTGCACACTTAATTAAAGTCTTTGCAACGACCTGATACAGTACTTGAAAAATTGACTGAAAAGTTACTGCGTAACCGTTATCTTTATCGGTTAACCGTTAATTCTTCGTAACCGGTCTGCAACCGGTTAATCGGACTCACCGTTTGAGCCCTAATAATAATAATATTATTAGAGAGGTTCCGCACTACGTAAAGTTGAGCAAATTTACGTTAGTGGGCGGGGAAAACCCGTGAATTCGCGCGTTTGCACTCCACTTACGGAAAGTTGTCTACGTAGAGTACGTAGAATAGATAGGGCTCTGATCAGACAGCAATGATTACAAAAACGAAAAAGAAGTTAAGAGAAGTGCAAAGCAGAGCTGGAGTGCAGCCGCCCAATAGCGGACTGAAAACTACTACTTACTAGTACAGTAGTAGGATGAAAAGAGCACAGACGAAGCCAATACAGACAAAACCAGAGGCAAATGGTATCAAATGCGAATGCCTGCCTCAGCAACCGCCAAGGTGGGAGGTGAGTCCAACTGCACCGGCTGAAGATTCCGGGATCCGCGCAAACACATCACGCTGGACCGGAGTAGGGCAAAACTCAATTTGCATCGAACCCAAGACATAGCACAGCTGTATGCTTCTCCAGTCTTCGCGGCTTGAAGAGAAGCTATCCGCTTGTAGAGCGACTCCGCGTGTTTGCCCAAACCACCAGTGGTAGAGAATATGGCCGGAACAAACGACGAATGCTCTATGTCGCGGACACGTTGCTCGTAGCAGCGCCGCTTCTCCTTCTCGTGCTTGGTGTAGCAGGAAGCAATGGAGGTGGCGCGGTTTGAGGTCGCATGAGGATTGAAAACCCTCACATCGATGAAGGTGCGCTCAAACCGGCCACCCCAGATGCCACTTGCCGCAAAGTCGAGACGGGCCTGCTCAGTCTGGATAGCGGTGCGATACCGGAACTGCTCCCCAGTGACCGGCTGCAGGTGGGGCGGAGACATTGTGAGCCACTCGCTTCAGCATATGGGCAGTGAGGTCACGCACCTCATTGTGCCGCACCGATGGAAACCCCCCTGTGGGGCAAGACAAAGCGTGAGCGACTGAAAATGTGGCTCCACAGCTGCAAGATGATGGCAGTCGCTGTGGAAGCCAGCCGTAGCGCAAGTGGATTCCGTCGCGGAACTCACCCTTGGTGAGGGTCAAGCCATGCCGCTTCAAGGGTCGACAGGTCAGCCAGGAAGAAGCTCCCTTCTCCGACGCTAGCGCAATGACCCGCTGCAACTCAGTATCCACAGATGAGGAAAGAAGCACAGCATCAGCCCTAACCGAGGCGTCAACTGTGTTCTTCGCTTGCTTCTTGGCAGCGCGTACATCGTCAATGGCGGTGCCTAATTCCATATCTTGGACCAAGATACGGCTTGTCAGGGGTGCGGTGATGTCTCGAGAAGACTGATATTGGGAGGCTCGCGACGATGGGTGGGGCAGCCCGAGACCGTCGAAGCGACACGGAAGATAGGGCTCTGATAACGTACATGTAGCTGGTCCGTAAGTGGATTGGGGTACAAATTTATGACTCTCTCCCCAGGTCAATCTGGTCGTACACTTCCGCGTTCGGAGTTGCCAAGGCTTAAGGGCAGCTACGTGATTTGAAAACTCCGTATGGCGGAACGCAGATGCGCACGCGTAAGACTTTCCGTAGATCGACAACGTTATTTACTAACGTAATTAGTTACGTTATGCGGAACCTCTCTAATAGAGAGGTTAAGATGCACGTTATTTCCGACGTGGCGCGAAAGTTCAGCTCGCGTTATTTGCTCGCACGTCGAAAAATCAACGCGAGTGACCTGCTGCTCGCGTCGAAATTTGGAGTTTTACGCCAAATTTGACGTGAAATTGCGCGTCACGTCGGAAATAACGTGCATCTTAACCTCTCTAATAATATAAGACATTAGTCTAAACGGTCTAGCTAAGGCAGTATTAATAAAAGTCAAGACATAAACTCTCAATGATAAAGTCTCGTGCATGCTAGCAGCTGAGTCCGCAGCTAAGACCAGTGCATAGGCGAAAGGCTAAGGCCACCCTTTCTTTTTTCGTTGTTTAACGTCCGCGCCCGCGTACCTTTTTGCCTCCGACCGGAAAAAAAAACAAGAAAGTAGTAGTACCAATAATATGCGAAGTTGTAAATACATGATTGTGTAGTTTCACAGTGTGCCGATCATGACCTTAAACTTATAATCTTGCCTCCCGGGCATGCCTTTGTCTTGTGTTCTTTTTCTTTTTTTGTTGGCTTTTAAATATCGTACGGTGTGTGTCCAAGTAAAAATCCAGATGTAATGAATTCATGACATGCTAACTCCATGCTATGTACCTGTTTTGTTGGATTCATCAGGCATGTGCTCCAATGTACCATCAAAGAGTGTTGTTCTATGCCTGCAAGTGCCGTTAGACCCAGAAATATTGTATATAATTTTATTATCACATGCTTTACTGGTCAAAATGTTTGATTGGGGTTTCCAGTTTTTGGAATGGGCTTTTGTTTTTTTTCCGCCCTCCCGCGTACCTTTTCGCGAAAAAAAAGGACGTTAAACAATGAAACTGCATGCGTCACCGACTCACCATGGTTACTGTTTCTATGGATATCATGGCGATTGTTGGCGCGGGTCTCTCGGCACCGCGGCCTGCGGCGCCCGAACAAGGGACCTTCGAAAAAATCGTTTTATGATTCAGACAAAATCAGCAAGGAAGCTAAAAGTAAAAAAACAATTGAAACTGATCTGCAGTACAATTATGGTCAACTATTTTTAGTTGTCTGCTGAAGGCAATATTATTCCCGAAGGCATGACGGTGATCTATTTGATCTATTAGGCCTCATGGCTGGACTCTTTGGTCGTCTGTGTGCATCCTGCTGCCATCGTCTATCCAGCAGTGGATATGTTGGACTTCCAAGAGTGACTGCCAACAGCTTTCGGTTCATCAATGCCTGTGCGGATGAGCAGAATCAGAAGGCAAGGGGCCGGATAGTGGTCCGCGTTGCAGATGGCTCCCTGTTCATGAGCATGTACTTGGATCTAGACGGCAAGTCGCGCATGCTGAACCGCGTGCGTACAGATGCATTCGAGAAAACCCTCCATCGCATTGGCCTTGTCTCGTCAGTTGTGAGTGGCAATGCAGAGTATGATGGTGATCATCCAGTGGTCTTGGTGCATGGTAGCGGGGAGAAATCGGGGCAGCCCAAAGAGCCAGGGATTCCGAACATCAAAGCCTTCCTGGACGGTGATATTTTGTCGATTGGTGAGGACCAATACATAGTTTCAGTGAACCCACCAAGTGTGCTGGGAATTTCACTACCCACCTACATTTCAAAAGGCGCAACTGTTTACCCGTCTGTACAAGCAGAGTTCGTGCCGGACAATGTGTTCACGTACGAGTGGCGTCGCATTGTCAACCAGGGAGGCAATACCTGTGAAGTTGTCGTGTCACGAGAAGAAGCGTACACGCCGACCTTGGAAGATGTCGGCTCCAGTCTGTCACTGACGGTTACGCCAGTCGTCGAAGATAGTGCTCTGCCGGCAAGCGGCCGTACGATAGTGTCAGCTGAAGTCGGCGATGACGTGGTGCGGCTAGGTTACACCGAGTTTTCCGCTCACACGCCAGAGCCGCATGCAGTTGACTCGGCGAAGCTGCGCGTAGTTACCTACAACATCCTAGCCGACATGTACCTGACTGAAGGATTCGGCGGATCCAGCTTCTCCTACTGCGATAACAAAGCGCTGAGCCTAGGCTATCGTGATATGGCTCTCAGCCGCGAATTGCCTGCGTATCATGCAGACATCTTGTGCTTACAAGAGGTGGAGGAGAAGCGATTTCAATCGACTATCATGAGTTGTCTTCGGCCACTGTCGTACCAAGGCAAGACAGTCATGAAGCACAATATGCCGGAGGGCATTGCAACCATCTGGCGTACTGACCGCTTTCTATATCGGGACTGCAAGACCTACATTGTGCGCGAGGAGTTCATGAACAATCCACTTCTCGCGGATATCTACAGTTCCGTGCCACCTTGGGTTCGTAGTGAGTTAAGAAACCGGAACTCTGTCTTGCAGCTGACTCACTTGCAGCAGAAGTCTGACGGCCGTGAGCTCATCGTGGCCAACACTCATCTGTACTATTCCCCCAATGCCGATGGCCAGCGGTTAATCTTGGCCTTGTGTATGGTGCGCTTGCTCGACGCCTTCAAGAAGGCCGTAATGGAAGCATCGACGGCGTCCTTGCCCCTGGCGGTCGTGTTCTGTGGTGACTTTAACACAATTCCAGAAAGGACTGTGCACGAACTCATGACCACAGGGCAGGTGGCACCTACGTCTGGCTTCAAGGAAGCTAATCGTGATGGATTAAACTACGAGTGCACAATCCCAACCAAGTTTGGTAGTTCTCTGCCTCACCCGTCGGTACCGTGGACCAACTACACAGGCCTCTTCATCGGCATGCTCGACTATATTTATTACGATGAGAGTGTGCTGAAGCTGCATAAGCTGGTACCGATGCCTAAAGAGGAGGTGGTGCGAGAATTCACTGCTTTGCCTTCGTTCCGATTCCCCTCCGACCATTTGCCAGTCATCAACGACCTGGAGTTTGTGAAGTCATAGCTGGGCAGATGTGGTGCCGTTGATCCTGAGTCTGCGTTCTCTTCGCTAACATTCTTGTTTTCTTTTTTGATTTTTGTGGCCAAGAGAATGTAGTAGTGGAGCTTCGACATGTGTGTGCTGAAATGCGCCTGGTGCGTTTTCTAGAGGAGCATTATATTTGAAAAAAGTTGCAGAAACTATTGAACGTGTGTGGACATGGGTGTGAGTAGGCGCGCATGTTGTACACTGTTCCTGTAGGTCGGCATGCAATGTACTACATTGTACTAGTATTCATGTGTCTTAAGGTCTGTAAATCTGGGCTCTGCATAGTTCAGTGGCAATGTTTGCCATTCACCAACGGATGCTTGAGTGACGGGTGTGCAGTCTGCTGTCCACTACTAAGTCTTGTGACTGTGGCTTGGGGTTCCAGTGCAAATGTGTCACTGTAGCACATGTACATGTATGCTGTTGATAGCGTTCCCTTTGTCAATTCCGATTGTGCGAGTCAACTGCAAGTCCCGGACGCAGTGTTTGCAGGCCCAGGGCTGCAAACACTGCGTGGATGCAGGGCACAGACATGTTCATGAGATTGTACTCAGGTCATTGTAGACACGCTTTATTATTGTAATAATAATACTATGGGAGTTCGTCTGGTACTCGCCCCGGGACGAGTTTTATCTCCGGTTGATAATGGTTTACATGTAGTTTGCAAACATGTGTAACATAAAATTTACATGCATGTAAAGAATATAACTTTCGGATTGATCGCTCAACAACATTTCGCGAACCAAACTTAGTTCGACTCTTTTTAAAATTAGTCTAAACTGTGGCTGAGTGTGCACGTTTTGCAGTGCTCAGATAACAGGGATCCCCGGCAGAGAGTCGTGGTATTTTATGACGCCGCAGTGGTGAGTGAAAAGGCCAGAGACTGCAGAGAGCTAGCACCAAGAGTACAATCAGTCATGACTCGTGTACTCTTGCTAGCACCAGTACTAGCAGAATTTGGTATCTATCACATTGGATAAGAATCATGATTTGCATTATTCAGTAGTCAGTGGGCCAGTTAAGGTGTATGTTGTCACTGTCTCTGCTCCGTTGGGCAATCACATGTATCCGAGGGTCCCGGGCATCGTATCGGCGTAGGAATAGGGCCTTTATAAACAGCTGCCGGTCTTTGCCAGTACGGTAATGTCTGTGTGGGCTCGTTCACCTAGGGTTTTTCTTCTCTTTTTTGTGTTCCAGTTGATTTTACTTTTTATTTTTGTTTTCCAACTGAATTTGAATTATTTGTTTGATGATTATGTGCAGTTCATTTTGCCCGTACAAGAACTTGAGGAAGAGGTTTATCACTACTAGTATTGTACTGACAATACTACACTAGCATAACCATGATAACCAGACTGCAAAATTATTTTTGTGCGGACGTAACCTTGGTGACGTCCTTGATTCGGTCAACATTATTCATTTTATACTTTATTAATTTTTTCTCTATAAAAGGCATATATATGTACATATCACCGAGATAATGCCAGTCGGTAGCCCATATCTGCGGATTCGAGCGATGGAGTACGAGTAGGGAATTTATAATACTTACTTCTTCCTCGCTCGGCTCACTCAGCTCCTTCCTTATCATGGCCGAGCCAACGTAAAGTATTTCTATTTATTCTCTAGTTGATTACTATGCCCGCGTTATCTTCGGTTGCTACAAGTACAGGCTGGGCTGCTTGCGTCATAGTGGCGGTCACGTTATAGTGGCTATGTTTTGTGCTTTGAAATTGTGTAAGACGATGATTGGCTTGCCACCAGTTCGGACGTTGCACCGAGCGTTTCCGTGCAGAACCCTGTGCGAAACAACGGGCGAGAACAGCCGCAGCAATGGCGTGAGTGGAAACAACATAAACAGCAGCGGCAGCACTAGTCATGAGAGCTGCCGTGGTGGTAGTAACTGCTCGTCTGACTTGACGACACTAGGCATGGTAAGGAGAACTACCACTATCCTACAGGACCGTATCTGTATATTTCTGCGGTCCCGGTAGGGGTAGTGCATCTTTTTTTACCCTTCTAGTTCATCATTTTTACCATATTTTCGGCTTCTTCTTCCTCAGATTAAACGTATTGACAGATACTCCCTTGACTTAGGCTAATCGCCTAAATTAAACCTGGCCTCAGCCTAAATCGGATACTGGTACACACAAATACAAAATTATACACAGAAACTCTGAGTACCGTAGTGACGCGCATTTAAGCGCATGTGCCTATACCCGGGCATAAGCGCACCCTCACGAATAAGCGCATCGGCTTATAAGTGAACCTAAATGCAATTCCATCCGCGGCACACAGACACCACAGAAACACCATGTCCACCTACCGGTAGTTTAATGTGCACTGCGTTATCGCACTATTTGCATAATTATACAAGGCACCGGTAGACTAGCAACTCAAGCGCATGCGCCTATGTGTGAGACAAAACGACCCGCAAAATATAGCAAATAATGCAAAAACTCGCTCTTTTATGTGCATCACTATGGTAGTGGCCGACTTTTCCTGTTTTCAATCTCTCTTTGCATTGGTCAGGCATGCAGCGTTCTTCTTTCAGGGAACAATGTAATGCCGGTATACAAAGTTACGCGGCTTTACTAGTTATCTAAAGAAACACAACCGATCCAAAAGCAACAGACACCGTTGTCTTTGCTCAGCTACCAGATGGATTCATTGATGAATTCTGGAGAAAATGTTTCTCTCAAAACAAACCGGTGTCTGTTGGTTGTGGATCGGTTGTGTTTCTTTCGATAATTGTTTTCTTGTTTCCAACCAGAATGTCAACTGTACTAGCATTGATGTATTATAGGCCGAGCGCCTTGAAGTCGATTGTCAGTTCAGAGCTTTCATCAGGTTCTATATGTCATAATGTGGGCCAGGTGTTATTTTGGTCAGTGCTGTACATATCAGCTTTAGAGTGTAGTATGGCTATGTTTGCGAGTGACTATATCGGCAATACCAGCTGATATATGTCGGATCGGTGCAGCCCTGAGGTCATGCGTCGGAGCCGATACTGCCCATTGTCCGCATTAATGGGTGTTTTTTTTACAGCACGGTATTGTGGTGCTCGTGACGAGGGCATTGCACTTCCAACTGCAGTGACGCAGCATGTAAAAGGAATACTCTGGCCGGGATGTGCTGGCTCCATGCTGTTAGCTTCAGTTCACATGACTTGAGGTTCCATCCCCAATCATGTACATGTACTGGAGAGATGTTGTAGGGGTTTACTATAAAACATGTAATTTTAGGTGCATTAAAATTTCGGTGCCAGGGACCTGCTAGGTTTCCGGACCGGTGTAACGTAGAATTAGGTGATCAGCATTCCCTTCACACACTGGTGTGCTCTAGTGCCTTTTAGGTGTAATTTAAAATTTAGGTGCCTGGTTTCTCTACCGAAATCACCGAAAATTACATGTTTTACAGTATGCGACTCTCTTTGGCGACTTGATGTGATATGGTACATGTTGCACTTTAAGCTGTGTACTGTATGTCCACCTGGTACACTGTACATGTATGTTACACAACGCTAGCATGCCACTGTGAACAATTTACAGTCAACTTCGCATATAACAACACTCGGCGGGGCATCAGAAAAGTGTCCTTATTCGCGAAGTGTCGTTATACCCGAAGTCCCATTATATGTATAACAGTTGGGTGTGACTTTGCTCTGGGCATAGAAATTCTGTCGTTATTCGCGAATTGTCGTTATACCCGAAGTCGTTATTAGCGAAGTTGACTGTACATGAGTTTTGAAGGCAAATGTGATGTGCAGTGTACACACAGTTCCAAGTATTGAAATAGTTCATAGCCGGTTGGAAAATGCCGAATGGACTATTAATTAACTCTGTTCGGCCTCGGATATGTTTTATGTTGTGTGCTAGGGAAACGGTGTCAAGGCCTGTCTCGAAACGAAGAGTGGTCAGCGGATAGAAAGTGAGGAGGCGTTATTGTGTATACGTGTGTGTGTGTGTGTAGGTGTGTTTGTGCGTGTGCACGTGGGCGCGCGCGTGTGTGTGTGTGTGCGTGTGTGTGTGTGTGTGTGTGTGTGTGTGTGTGTGTGTGTGTGCATGTGTTCAGAAGTAGGAATAACTATAGTAGGGATATCAGCGAACGCACTGCGCAGCGTGTTCGCGCATGCCTTACGTCATGCAGAAATCTATGAGGCGCATGGCCGACAAGAAATATGGCGATCGCTGAAATCAGGTCGCGGATCAGGCTCAGCGCAGCCGGCAAGGAGTAAAAATTAAAATCGACACTCGACAAGAAGCCTGTTTGTTGGTTTGCTTGAGCTCGATTCATTCAGGAAAGGAGACATCAGGAGCTAATATTCTTCTCCACCCATGCCTGGTAAACGTTCTCAAGTAAAGACATGATGAAGGAAGAAGACGTTCGTAGCTGGATGGAGCTATGTTTGCAACAAAGAACAGTACTCGTGCTTGAACAGGCCACCTGGTGACCTCTGGTTGCGTCTGAAACTTACTTGTTGATTTTGCTCCAGCCACGCCAAGCAAGTTTCCAAGACTTGGGCTCCTACTCCCTTGTCTAGACAGCCATGACTAGAAACTACTTGGGCAAAGGTCCTCGTCACTGTCATTCAAAACTTCAAAAGCGCCATATGTGTGCGGTACATGGTGCCCAAGTAATCTTTCGATTATTTTCGCGCGAACGCCTCCGTGGATTTCCTCCAATCTTGGCACGTGTAGTCCACATGGTCAGGCCAATTCAATGACGTCTTCAAAAGGGAACTTCCCTGGTTAGATCTTGCCAGGTACCAGCCGACGTTCTACGAAATCTAGCTGACGATCGTCCATTTTTGAGCTGGAAGAAAGTGCCTCGGAAAACCTGTGGACGACGTCGAGAACAGTGTAATAAACGATGAATGTATTCGTAATAACCTTTGTAGCCATCGCCCAGCGTCGTAGAGGGAAGCTTCGAAGTAGCTCGGCTCTAGCTGGTCTTCTTCCTCAGACACTTCTTCGCCATTCCGTCCTTCTTTTCCATCCTGATTTACTTGCGAATTTTTTCGGGTGTGGATGGTCACGGCTTGTCGGCCGCGTTAGATGTGCACGTGATCACCTGCGCAGTGCGTTCGCTGATATCCCTAACTATAGACAGGTTTACTGGTACTTGTTAGCGTTAGCGTTTCAGTACAAACATGGGTTGTCAAGAGTCATTGCGAGGAGATGAGCCTGTAGCAATACTAACTCAATGGGAGGTATGCATCTAAGCTGGCCGTCACCTTTTTGCGGGGCAAGTTACCCCATACTTGGCAGGTACAACCCGTTATAGTACATTTAGGAGTAGGACCTCACAAAGTTCATGACCTTTTATGCAGAGGTGGTATCACAGTGTGTACGGTTGTAGTGGACTTGCCCCGCAAAACCTAACGGCGGGAAATGGATGAATACGTCCCATTGCATTAGCACCACTAGTACTCCATTTGGAAAGTGCCCTACCCAATACTATAGCCTATCTTCTTGCCTTTGCTTTTGTACCAGTTGTACAAGGTGATATTCTTGACGAGGATGTTGACGCGATAGTCAACCCTACTGACAAGTATCTTCTACACGAATCAAAGGTGAGAAAGCTGTAGGGTGGCTGTGCTTGGCATTGTAGTTTTACACGTGTGGCCCCAGTCAGCGCTCGCTGTTGTGACAAGCGGTGATCAGACCAGGACGTGACAGAATTGTAACCCACCCAATCTGGCTTAGCTCGAGCGGTGAATGTGTGTATGTGTGAGCTATGCAGCATGTGCCCCGTGAGCATTCCAATGGAAACTCGACAGCAGACACAACTCCACAGAACTTGTGCTCATCAGTGATCACATGCCTTTCAGAGTCTACAGGTTGTTTGCAGTTGTAGTGGATGGGTGTATTTTACATCATGCTACTAGTAGTCGTCACCTGACCCTTTTTACACCATAATACAGGAGAGTTGCGCGCCCAAGAACGTTGTTTCCAAGGGGTTTGCCTGGGACGTTCTTATTTGTCAGCAATCTGGCTGTGTTCTTAGAAACAATCTGTACTGGACCATATGTATCCCACAACTAACTTGGCACAAGCTGCCAGAAAACCAACGCCGCCGTTCTTAGCTTTAGGCTGTGGCGTTCTTAGAATTTCAGGCTGGACGTTCTTGGGCTCCACGTTCTTCAGCGCTCAGCGACTCTACTGTAGTCGTCACGTTACTACCCCTTTCACACCATGCTAGTTGTCACATTTTTAAAATGCAATTTGAAGGTCCACATGCATCAGAATTGTTTGGTGCGAACTCAAAGAAGGTGCTATATTCGCACGTAGTTCTTCGCACCGATAATGCATTCTACCTTGTATAATTGTAGTGAACTTCAGTTGAACTTCCGTGTTTTTGTGAGCAGCTTGGTGGTCTTTTACGACAATGTTCGTCTGAGGTGAGTTTCCATGGAGGAAGGGTTCGATCCCCATTTTTTGGTGTTATTTCCTCTGTGCCTCTGTGTGTTTTGCCAATCTGCAGCTATCTTCAGACATCATGAACACAGCGGGATACCTGGCAAAGCGGCAGAATGAGAAGCTTATTTTGCGCCACTATCAGATCCCCGCTGGCTCGGTGGGCGTAACGACGGGTGGATTTCTCTCGTGCCATTCTATCATCCATGCCGTCAGTAAGTTCCTAGCAGGTTATGCGTAGAACGGAAGCTGCCGCAACTCGCTCTGGGCGTGCCGGGTCATGATCATGTACCAAGAATGGCTCCTTTCCATGTTCTTGTATTGTAGTACTTGCACAGGTCGGTTTCTGACCCACTCTTCAAAATCAATTTGCCCTACTCTCCAAGGAAGAAGACATACGTGTATGAGTCATCCTTGCATACATGTAGATAGGCGGGCGCCTGCGTCTCTCTTGGTTATCATGTTGTTGCGTTCCAGGCACCTCACAACTCTACATGCTGAGCCTGTACATGTACTAAACTACACCACAGTGCTTCGCTTTTCACCAGTACTGCAGTTACTGCAGTAGTTCTCCTAAATTTACTTTGTCTTTACCACTGGACTGTATTCTCAACTCAACAAAATGCTGTTCAGAATGCTGTCATTCTCCCAAGGGTTCAGTTGAACGTGTAGGTCTTCTGGTTGTATTATAGACACGCTTGGTTCTTCTTTCTGGCCGCTTGATCTGTCTGTCACTGCAGCACCCGTCTATAACGATGGCACGGAAGAAGAGCTCGACTACTCGATCCGTATGTTGCGCGCCGTACTGCATTACGCACTGCTGATGTGCCACGACAAGCGCTACTTCAGCGTGTCGATACCCGCACTGGGCGCCGGCTGCAACAAGTGGCCGACGGGCTTGTGCTGCAGACTCCTACTGTACACCACTCTAACCTTCCTGGCTGATCACCCACTGACCCCACTGAAGTTTGTCTGCTTCACCGACTCTAATCCAGTGGTAGTGACCACATTTGTGAACGAAGCGGCAGAGCTACGGCATCCTAATTTAATTACCACTGAGACATTTTTCGAAAAACTCCCCAAGGGAGCGGATGATGACAATGAAACAACCTAGATGAGAAGAGAGATTGAACCGTTATAATAAACGCAATGCAGTAGTGAGTTTTATTAATTTCAGAAGAAGTGTGTGAACGTGAAATGAGCCGTGAATGGCTAGCATTAGTGCAGGGTTTTAGCGTAGCTCAATGAAATCCGGTGAGGTGAGAACAGTTTCCGCCTTGCAACATTGAACACCCGAGTTACTCGACTGGATTTCATTGAGCAGCAATGTAGTTACGAAGCTCCGCTCACTCTTACTATAAGGCTCCGAGTGCCAACTACATTGTAGCTACTACAAACATTGTTATTTCTGTGCAGTGCATTGAAAATAAGCGGCTGGGACGATCCACGAACCATGAGAAAAAAATATTATATCAGGATACAGAGTTAATAGCAGTGTTTATTTTTGGTTGGCCAGCCAAGCAGAAAAATAATAAAATAATCATGATTGCAGCACGTGTGCACGTGCTGTGCCGAAATGGCCATTTCTAAGTAGCGAATAGATACACGGCGGCGGAGATCAAAGATCAACTTGATGATACGAAAATAGATCTTTCAGGTATGAAGGAGGGAAGGAAAACAAGGACGAGAACGAGCGTGCTAACATATTGTTCTGGTATGCGGGAGGAAAGGAAAAACCGGGACGGGAATGGGCAAGGGCACGAGTTACTTATGCGGTCCTAGGATGCGTGTGCGATACGTTTTTGATATGCTGTCCTTGGCTTGATCGATCATGTCCTTGCGCATTTCTCTCTTGATCATTCCATCACTGTGAGATGGCAACAGAGTAGGTGGCACACACACAACCACACGACCAACACACGCACACCCACACACATCAATAAAGACTTATTCAAGAGCCTGTGTTTCGAATTTCAAAATGTTTTCCGACTGCCGCGATCGAATTAGGAGATTCCGAATTTCAGCTCGCAAGCTGGTTTGCAATCCGAAAAGCTCTTTCTGAACCTGCACTATAGTCCATTTCAAAAACATAGACGCATGGTATTTTTGAGATATTTCAAATTTGGCTGGAGCTTTTTGAGAATTTTTTTCGGAATACTGCTCAGGCCCTTCCCGCAATTACTCTCATATAGATTTTTAAGCGATCGGATAGCAAACGCCCAATTTCGAAAATTTTATGCACAAAGTGATCACAGATTTTACGTGGTATAGATGCTGGCCTAACGGTTTTTTGAAATCATGTGTCTATATTTTTGAACACACTGTAGCTGCTTAGGGGTCGTCTATAAATATCGAAGTTTTTTTTCACAAAACGAAATAATTTCGTTATGGGGTGGGAGGGGGTTGACCAATTTCGTTTCAGAAAACATTGATACATGTGCATGGCCATAGGAGCAGTGGCACACTTGCGACTTTTGCATGTATTATGTCAACGTTTTTTACGTTCTGAGGGGGAGGGAGGGAGGGGTTGGGTCCAAACTAAAACAATTCGTTTGGTGAAAAAAGTTCGATATTCACGGACGGCCCCTTGCTATGTGGTTACAGTGGACCTACCCTTATAACGATAACCTCTATAACGACATTACCCTTTTAATGATATTTTTCTGCCAAACCAAATCACTCCATTGACTTTTGTATACAATGGCTTACCTCTATAACAATATTGCTATAACGATATTACCCCTATAACGATATAACATGGGCTGACCAATCGACATTTTCCATTTTATAACAATATCTAGCAGGGAATATGTAGAGCCCACTATCCAGGTAGGGCAAGCTTCACTTGATAAGTCGCTGGGACATGACGAAATGCAATAGGGGCACCAGTGGGCACCTTGCTGTGTATATACTGCGCATGTACATCAGTTTTTTAGGCTATAAAGAGTGTAAAAAATGAACAAAATCCATGCATTATGACGTATGTGTATGAAATGAACCAGTTACCCCTATAACAATATTACCCTTATAACAATATTTCTTGGTCTGACGCAAATATCGTTATAAGGGTAGGTCGACTGTACTATGGGCAGACAAATGATTTAAAAAATCAAACAAGAAGCTGAGAATAACATTCGACTTGACTGCTTCTTTCCATTCAACCTTCCTGAAAGTTTGACTGCTCCATCGACTGTCAAACCCAGTAGTCAAAAATATTCCGAAATTCGAAATGCAGAACCTCTCCACTTTCACCAGGCTTTCAAGCTTTAAAATGACCACTCAAGCAACAGCTATGGAGACATAATTATACGTTAAAAAAATACTTGCAGCAGAGAGTCCATGGGGGACCATGGCCCACTAAGTTACGAAATACGAATGGAACTAAATTGAACTCTCATGGCCGACTGGGATAGCCCTGCTAAGTGTGATGCTGTGCATGAACATACCTGGGCCACATGCCAGCATGATAAGTAGAAACCCTGCAGTTAGGTTAACTCTTTCGGCGATATCGCAACTAACTGTGTGACCATGTAAGAACAGTTGTATGCCCATGAAAATCCTTTACTACAACTAAAGTAGCTTCAGCGCGATCTGGATTCCGGAGAGTAAAAGGGAATTCCATCGCGCAATTACTTGCCCGCTTCACACTCAGACCTTGTTCGAATGCAGACATTGACACAGCTTCAGCCCAGTTTCTTCGACCTATCAAAGGCTCAAGGGCCGTTCATACAGCGTTGTGGCTTTATGTCAATGACTTGCTAAAATTCCAAATAACTCCCTGTACGCCGATGAAACTACGGTAAAAGTCCGTAAATAAAAATAATAAACGTAAATAAACGTACTTTAATACTTTTGAATTTAGTGGTCACACCCATACTAACTAAGGGCATGTTTGATTGGTGAATCCGGATTCAGATCAGAGTCACTGGAGCAGTCAGAACACCAGCTACCAATCAAACAGAATGGCGAATATTTTTGCCGCAAATATTGTAGAACTCATGATAGCTCATCGTGCCGCGAACTTCAAAATTTCCACAGAGTTCAAAGATTTTTACGTTGCTCAAGATGCGAAGGCAAAACAAACTTGAAAGGCAACCACAACCGGAGAAGAAGCTTCGAAGACAGCCAAAATATCAATCATGGACGTGGGGACCGCCGTGTAATGTGCAAAATCACACGTAGACCTCCATGTACATCACCACGCCCTTTCGTAATCACTGACATGCCAAAATCCATTCGAATCAAAACAAAAAACGAAACTCATTGCGCAGTCCTGTCAGGTTTTCATTGGGCTTTGCAACATGCTCCGGCTGCTCCAGCCTCGGGGGTCGGAGTGGTCAGAACATGTTCTGAACACTCCAAAACCAGAGCAGACCAGTGCAGACCAATCAAACGCCCCTGTTCAAAACGATCCTGTTCCGGATGCGACCAATCAAACGTGCCCTAATACTTTCGGGCACAAAAACCTTCGAACCTGACTTGCGTGTAGTGGAGAAGTCATTTTTCATGTAGATGTACATGATACGAGCTGCGTGTGCGAACCGTACTGGTACTTATTTCGGGCAGTATGTTTATCAGGCTCAACTTGACTTCAACAGCAGGAGTCAAATGAATGAAGGGGTTATTTATTCCCGTAGCTATGCAGAAGACGTTACTTCAGTAACGTCTGGCGCTAGCCAGGGTCCACACAGCTTTAATTTGGTATTTGTGTGTTTGTTTGTTTGTGTCACGCCTGGCGCTATCCCGTATCTGACGGCAAAAAAATCATAGGGATGTTATAAATTTTTCAATTCTCCTATTTTTTTCAGGCATATCCTGGGATTCGAACCCGCACTATCGCCCTACATGCATTCCCCCATACGCTTTGCATTCATACCCATTCTTCCAAGTTGCTTCACGTTATGATCTTACGTTTGAAAGCCCTGTTTGAATATTGCGGGCAGCTGTATGTGGCCAGCTGTGTTTGATGGTACGGTACGGGAGACGGTGTCGTATCACCCTCGATCGTACCTGTCCCGTACCTATCCCTACCGTACCGTACCATCAAAGACGGCTGGCCACAATGCATATTCAAATAGGGCTTTCAAATGCAAGATCATAATGTGAAGCAACTTGGAAGAATTAGTATGTATGCGAAGTGTATCGGGGGATGCATGCAGGGCGCGATAGTGCGGGTTCGAATCCCAGGTTATGTCTTAAAAAAAGGAATTTTTTAAAGAATTTATAACATCCCTATGCTTTTTTTTGTCTAGGTCATCAAGGCAAAAAAGCATAGCGTAGGGCCCTGAGCTTCCAAGCTCTCTCGTTTCGGGCAGGTACTTATTTACGGACTTTTACGGTAATGTTGTGGCATGTGAACATTCTCTGAGCGTAGCATGAGATTCTCTGCAGTCTGGAATTTGGTCAATTGCAGAACAGGACGGTGACCACCTAAGCCAAGGTTCCCATTAGAATTCCTCAATTGCCACTCAAACTAGTGTCCTGCATGCAGCGGTCATCATGACAGCATCGCGCGACTTACTAGCCAATTTCCACGAGACCTCCCTTCTGACAAATGTTGCGTTTCACCCGCAACGAGAAGTCAGCGCCGCTCTCGTTCTCCTGGAGCAAACAGGCAATGATACACATGCATAACAAGTATGTGAATGTCTTTTAATTTAGTTTTAAAGGAAGAGAGAATGTGCATAGCAAATGGGAAGCAGGCATGTTCACGAAAGCCGACATGCAGATGTACGAGCTACGGCCAAGATAACCAGAGTAATAAAGCCGTCGCCACCCGCACTCACCCTGATTTCGGTTGGGTCGAGATACCACACATCAGCTACAAGAGCCCAGCTGGTCAGCAAGCGAAACAGGTAGGTCTCGATACCCTCCTTGGACGAGTTCCAAAAAGCATCTGCAAACTGCGGATCATACTGTACACAAAAAGAAGGAAAAGAAACTTCACGATAGGAAATGATGATAGCGGTGCGTTGAAAAAACACACAGTTCAAAAAGCACAATTGAATACTGTGAGTACTACACGGAGAAGCAGGCGATATAAGCAGGCACCACAATATCGTGTAAAAGGAGCATTGACATTCGCTCAGCTGGCTGGAAGGCTCACCTTGATGGCTACCGGATAGATGGGAGCATTGAGCTCAAAACTGCCTTTCTTGAATTGGTACACTTTGGTGTTGTTGATGCATGTTCCTGGCGGGAAGAAAATCATTACAACACAAAACACAAGCAGGATGATAGACTACATGCACAATGACAGGGTGCCCCAGGGCATACACATTTCACAAGGCTGTGTGATTGGTCAATATACTGTAACACTTTTGCCACATAGTATTGGCATTCTGCAAGGTGGTGTGATAGGCCAATGCACTGTAAAATGGCATTCCACTACGGAACTAGACCAGAGGAGTAAATGAATTTTTTATCTCCATCCTGATACTCTTAGTCTCATGACCAGAAGCACAGTAACATTGATTGGTCAAGGCATACTAGCATGCGATTCCCCCATATCACAATCAAACCCCCATGTCACTCAGTCCATTCTCATGCACTACAAGTGCGGCAAGCGCCTACAGAGACTGAAGCAGTACTGTTCATCGAGTACTAGAGTCCAGACTAGACAGCACGAGAAGATATAATGAATAATGATACTGACCTTCTGGGAAGATGAGAATCGGGTTGTTTCTCTTGTCAGACAAGTGATCACGTAATCTAAATAAAATAGCAAGCCAGAAAAGGACAATGATTCTGAATGTCTACAGGTGCACAGACACAGACACAGACAGACAGAGAGAGAGACACAGAGAGACAGAGAGAGAGAGACAGAGAGATGGCATGAGTCTAAAATAACAGAAAATTCAAGCAATTGCTCACCTCTTTCCCACTGCTGCACGATCATTGACCAGCGAGCGCTCAAACCAGACATGGTTCTGTGCCATGCAGAGCGCATTCTGCAGCATGCCCATAGCACCACCATGTCGCTGGCCAACCTGAGCACATCACAGGTACATAACGATATCAATGAGAGAACTACTAGTACTGTGTACATATGGAACAGAAAAATATGCTCAGACATCCCGCATAGACTAACTGTATGTGTACACCACTAATGTAATGTGTGTGTGTGTGTGTGTGTGTGTGTGTGTGTGTGTATGTGCGCGTGTGTGTGTGTTTGTGTGTGTGTGTGTGTGTGTGTGTGTGTGTGTGTGTGTGTGTGTGTGTGTGTGTGTGTGTGTGTGCACTTGTCATCAGTCCATATGCCGCACACACGGTGGCATGGGACAAGGTACAGGGCTTCACCCTATGCTACCTGAGCAGGATAAGCTGTAGGTTGTTCAAGGGTACAGAAAGTGAGCTCTGGAGAACAGGTGGTTGAACCTATATATTATAGACATTACAGACAACTAAAGATCATAGACATCACAGAAAACTGTACTATGAAGTACGTGGTGGACAGGACACACCACCTTTTTGTAGTACAGCACTATGAAAAAGCTCTGTTGGTTATAGAAGACATACGCAAGCAAGGAACTCAAGCCAAAAACACATCAAGAAGCACACACTTCTGTACTCCTCTTTCTCCCCAACCACACAATGAAGGTAGAGTACATAACATCACAACCTTACAAGTGAATAGGGAACTTCAGATGACAAGACCACGACGTCGATGGGAGATGTGTGATTTGCTACACACACACCGCCAGGAAGAGCTGCATTCTGCCTGAACAAGGCAAATACAACAACAACAGCAACGCAGTCATTACACTTTTGGCCATAGCTCAACAAGAGAATGAAGATATCAAATAAAATATGATACAATAGTCACAGCAAAAGCAGCCACAACAACAACGGTGACAACGACAACATGAGAATAAAGAAGTCAAACAACAAAAAACCAGCAGCAGCAGCACACAACAAAATGACTTCAAGAGGGAAAGAAACCAACTGAAACATGCTCTAATATATCAAGCCATGCCACCCACACCGAGGGTGGGAATACCACACTAGGGTGCGTGTGAAAAGTTATACACAGGTACTTCGTATGCGCAAAACTTCACACTTCAGTCAATTGCCCACTGACACAAACTCTCTCTCTCTCTCTCTCTCTCTCTCTCTCTCTCTCTCTCTCTCTCTCTCTCTCTCTCTCTCTCTCTCTCTCCCTCACACACACACACACAATAATGCGCAGACTTTGACAACCCACACAGTGCTGATGAAGATTTCACACCACACCCTGCAATACCAGATATCCTACACCTACACCTAGTACAAGGGAAATATACTTCAAGTAACAGTAGCACAAATACACACATGGATGCAACTAACGAGGTTCGTCCCCTTGTCGGGCATTGGTTGTGAGAGTTACCACCTCACCCTCGCCACTAGGCGCTGCATTTGCCACCCTGGTATCACAGGTATGGTGGTGGCCTGGCACGAGCGAAACTTCCTAAGCTGGTTGTGTTTCTCAACGCAATTGTATAGCCGGTTGTAACGCGGACATGCGAACTTTACTTTACTACAAATACACATATGTGCACACGATAATTGCAGGCGAGGAAATTGCCAACGTTCGCTGCTCTACGTTGCTTACACATAGATCTGATCCGCACACAAAATCCACAGGTGTTCCAACACATGACAAGTGACAGTGACAGGTAAAGATGTGGGAAATAGTGAACCACACACTAGTGAGGGCACATGCACACTTACTCTACGCAGAAGCCTCTTGTACGGGAAAAATAACAAAATGAACAAAATGTGCGCAAATATAATGAAAACAAATACAGTAAAACCTGGTGTAAGCGACCTCTGGCTTTAGCGACCACCTGCTCTTAACGACCGTTTTCCATGCAACGACAGTTCTACACAGACACTGTGGGACCTGGTTCTAAAGACCAGCTGGCTTTAACGACCGCTTTTGCTTGCACCGTGGGGTGGTCGCTTAAACCAGGTTTTACTGTAACACTGTAACACTAACACATTAACACCAACACTTACTTGTCATGGTATCTAATCTCAGCTGTTAGGCCACGGCAGAAGAGGCGGTGAGCTACTGTCGTTGACCAATTCTCAATCGCTCTCCGATATCTGCCCAGAACAGCAGTGTGCACACAGAAGCACACAGAAGCACACACACACACACACACACACACACACACACACACAGTCGCACCCACATGTGGAGATAGATAATACTCGTAGGTTAAGTCCTACGTAATCCATGTGCAATTTACGTGTGTGCGTGACCACGTGATATCCAGTGACTCACGGATTTACGTTTTCTGACTGACGATAGACCGTGCATAGGAGCTCACCCACAGCACTTTGGCGCATGACAATTTGTCCGGACAATACAGGATTCCGCTTGGTACAGAGTCCGGCAACACATAGGTTTTACTGCACGTGATGAGCAGGACTCCATTCAAATCTTCATCTTCTCTTTTGTTTTTTGTTGCATGAAGACTGGCTTTTCAAAGTGTTTTCGTCATTCTCAGTTCCATGCGAGGGCTCACAGAGAACATGGAGCATGGTGATATTCGGATGCAGATAAACAGACGTGCTGAAAATCGAAATGCTTGTGATGTGTCGTCTTGAAAAGGACTGCGAGGCTCAAAACATTCGAAGCTAGTCAACACATAATCAATACAAAGATAAACCATGCTTATTTGACGTGCTTTGAAGTTCAAAGGCCTTCGGGGTTTTTTTTGTACCCGAACCCGTATCAAAGGTTTCGTTTGTGTCCGGAAAAAAAACATGTTTCGCATCCATTCTTTTCCACGTTTTGAATCCGTGTGACTAAACACACTGAGCAATTTTTGTCTACATATACATGCAAGCATACATGCTTACACTCTAGGTTTGTGGTGGCAGTTTCAGCATACGGTACAGCTTTTCACATACATGTAACTTATATGATGCACATGTACATAGATACAGTGTGATGCAGGGTATACTAGATACAGTAGGTATCGGTTATAGCGTGGGTGTTTGAAAAACGACTTTCTATTCTTATTTCCGATATTTCTTACACACGATACATCAAGTGTGACATATCATATGCATGTGCGCAGGGGCAGGAAGATCATCGTAGACCCACGTGCAACGTAATGTGCATGCGGCTGGTCATAGTCCCATGGGCTTACCATGTGGCTATCCAACACGAGTTACATGACCACAACAGTTGAACCTGCAGCACTACGACGCAACGCAAGTCAGATCAGAACTGCATGGGACAGATGCTATTACTACAGGCGATACACTTTGTACTAATCTGGCATGTTTTGCTACACAAAGTCCATCCTTAGGACCGATATATTCTACTATGCGATAAAATTGCTTGTAAGAATAAAATTGCACTTGAAAGTTGAAACCCATGTTATGATTATGAAAACATGAGAGTTCATGTAGGCGGTATATTCTTTTACACGACCACGCTATAACCGATACGCACTGTACTAGTACAGTACTCCTACTACAGTCCCATTCCATTCAAGCATTAGAACATGTTCTCTTATAAGCAATGGTGTTCTCGTATGTACAGGATTACGCTATCATGTATTTTATAGTCCTCGTCAAAAGCCACAATCTGGTGAGACTCTTTGTTCTGGCTGCTGCAATGCCAAACTTGCTTAGTAAGTCAACACCACAGCTGTGTTTGCAGAACAGTCCATACCTGAACTGTGGCAACACGGAGAACACGAACATGACCAGAACCAGCCAGGTGAGCGACGCAGAGATGCATATCAGCCTGCACAACACATGATAGAAGAAGCATGAACGGCAATTTGTCTACTCTTCTTACGACATTCGGCTACATCATCGCAACACACAAAGAACAAGAAGTGAAGAGGAAAACAAAGGCAAGATTCACATTCTTTAGCTTAGTCATGAATCACGATTGACGGATAAAGAAGCTGATACACAAGACGCTGGGATAGGCAGAATGTTCATGTACGCAGCCAGACATGCATATCACGCTGGGAACAGCAGTTACAACATGCAGTAAAACCAATGCAACATTACCGCCAACAAGGCCATGGTCTTCGGCTGAGGATCAGCCTGCTTGAAATTCAAAAATCATTCCGACTTCCATCGTAACACCCTGTGTGTTGATGAGAACTGGGTGTATAATGAGTACCCCGGACACAAGTACTGTACTTCTCCTTGCCTCGATAGGGTACGTTATATCAGGGGCTCACTGCGTTGTAGATACTGAAGTACATTAAATCAGGCTGCTTATTATTGTCTATGATTGGTTTTCGGCATGAAACTGACAACAAAAATAGATTGTTCCATTTGCTCACAAAGCAGAGAATCATGAATACAAATACGCTAGCACAAACCCCACGGTACAGCGAGCACGGCACCCACCTCATGGGCAGCAAGATGAAATAGCGTACAACCACTCCAAGCAAATAGACACAGGTCAGTCGCCAGCTGCATTGGACAAAACACAGCAGCAGCAGCGGTCTGACACAGATAGAACAACATTCCAAAGTACCTATGTACTATAAAGTAGCTGTAGCACATTCCCAGAAAAACAGGATCCAACAAGACAGATCTTTGCACACAGCTCTTGTAAGTCGACTTTTGACGAAAGAGAAAGTGAACTTGTTCATTGGAATGAGTTGTGCGCATGCTTCAAGTACGAATATCGTGAATAGCGAATTGTATGAAACTGCTCACAGACTGGGTGACACTCACTGACCTGATAAAGTGATAGCCCTTTGTTCTCCAAAGTAAATTCCAGTTAGCCACCTCTACATGCACACAAGGCAACACGACACCACATGGAATAAGACATGACTCAAAGGGATAAAAGCAACCAGGCACGGGACTGAGGGTACTCATACCGTAATGGGTAAAGTAAAGCTGCTGGTCCATAGCCAAGTCGGGCCGGAAGAGTAGGAGGCGGAAGCTTGCCATCGTTAAGGCGGTACTCAACTCTTCTCCCTGTTCACGTTTGTCTCCACGCCCAGAGCCAGTAACTAATCCCACAAGGGATTCCTAGGGGGTGGGGCAAGGGTAGAATTGTTCTGCGTCCACAATAGTGCAGAACTCACAACCTCATGCTTGCAAGGCCAATGCTATCATCATTTTGCCAACCACATAGCAAGTACCCACACTTGTTGCTCAACAAAAGGGAAGGCGCCCTACACTGTATGGAATTTCTGGATATAGTACAGAACTGCGCTATAGGTCACTGGGAAAATACTTGATCCATGGCTAGGCACAACTTACGCTCAGCGGAAAAGCCCTTGGTGACTTCATCATCGATGATTGACTGCAAGCATCACAAACAAAGCAGGCGAGCATGAGTGCGGAGTGGATGGGTTAACATTGAGCATGAAATATATGACGTAGTTGCACTCATGCAGTGCAGTATGCTCTGCATGAGTGGCTGTCAGGCTCAGAGCACAGCTGAGCAAAAATGCAGTTGTGAACAATCCAGAGTTCCAGATGACATACCACACACTATACTGTAAATGCAGAATATGTCATATGCTGGCTTACCGAAAGAAGAATTAGAAGAAAATTAAAAAAATGCATATGAAATTACCCGTGTCACTCGTTCTCATGGGAGTCCAGGGACTCCTCCTCTCTGTATGAATATTTCGTGGATAGGAATGGTTTGGGAGCTTTATCACTGTGTATGAATATTTCTGGATTGATAGTGTAGTAGTACGAGTACTGTCTGGCACTGAAGAACGGGGGGGGGGGGGGGGGGGCAGAGTCGAAGCGCAGGCGGCTCTTATTTTTCATGTAGAGCTGTCTGTATACAGTACTGCTCAATGAAATCCAGTCGAGTTCCTCAAGTACACGCCGGGCGTTGCACAGCCCTAGACCTGCCAACACTAGGCTGCGAAAAGGTGCACGGCGCCAACTTGACTCTCGCAACTGGATTTCATTGAGCAGCACTGCAGTTGAGCGACCATGTAGATATGGGTGTCCTGCACCTGATAAGATTCTAGCCGGTTCATTCTTCGGCGCCCGACAGTGCAGTACTGGTGGTCAGCTCACCTCCACAGCATTGCTCGCAAACTCGCAGACATCAACGAGGTGGAACTGTCGTCGGAATGAGTTGAACGACCTGTTGCGCACCAGTGTTGTGCTGTCGCGACGCTGAAGAGTGGTGGGTGGAAAGTTCAAATCTGCGAGAAAAAGTGCACACGCACAGAACAGCCAGTGTGTAAAGTACAAACTGCGTATATTTAGAAAATGCAAAAGTACATGCCAGGGGCTTCTACAAACTACATGCTACTGTTCATGGTATTCTTGGAAATCAGGTACATGTTTCTTACTTCAAGTATATGGCATTGTATCACCTCTTGCTATGCTGTTCTATAACTTCTATACCATTCTGTGCTTCCCTTTGGGCAGAGTGGACCCAGAAGTCGCTATTTGTCATTATTTTTTTACTTCTGATGTCATCACTTTCAAGCCCTATTCAATTCTTCTTCAGAAAATGCTTTTTCGGATATATTTCTTTGCATCTCTGTAAGTCACTCACAGTGTTGGCATTTGGCTGCATGGGGGGTATTGTACAAAGCAATCCATACCTCTGGGAGGATATCCTCATTATCGTCCAACGTTGACAGCATGGTGGTGGCTGCTAAAGCTTACCGTGCCTGTCATAATGCGACCTGCAAGTCTTCACTGATGCTCAATATAAAACTATGCACGGTACGCCATAGTGTGATCCAGGCCCGTCAGTAGTGATGTGTGTTGGGCGCGAGCACGACTGCAGTAAGATCGTGCGCCGAAGAACGCAGGGGCTCAAGGCGCAGCCTGGCATTGTTCTAAAACGTTCAAATTTTAGTCGTTTCGTTCTTATTCCGCAATCACGGAGAGCATCATGCACGTATAAAGCAGTAGAAGTGTTCTTGAATCTGCAAATGTAGCCTGGATTGTTCTTCAATCTGTGCCATTTTCCAGCCTAAGTATTCTTCGGCGAGGTGTTCTACGGTGCCCGAATATACTGTAAGTCACTGCCTTGTCGTATCGCCCGTTATCAGTAGTCCTTAGGATCAGCCGTCAGTTGTATGAATAGACTCTTCCTTTATTCGCCTCCTCTCGACCTAGTCTCTCTCTCTCTCTCTCTCTCTCTCTCTCTCTCTCTCTCTCTCTCTCTCTCTCTTCTATCTGCTTTGTGATCCTACCATTTAAACAAACTATCTTTTTTATCCCTTGTGTGTGTGTGTCAAGGTGGGTAGTGCTCTTGTGTGAACTAGCTTAGAATGCTGACTATTCTGGTTTGTAATCTGGGAGACGGGGGGTTCATTTGACGATCTGCCCACGACACAATGTCATGTGTTGGGTGTAGTAACCACAAGGCTACTACTAGTACTCCACAGCACACTTTTTTGTGGTATCAAGCCATGGGTGGAATTTCACATGCACCATTCAGTCATGTTGAGTGCGACCAGGAAGTGATTTTCACTACATGACTACTCATGTGCAAACGTAGCTAATTTTACCACGAGTCACAAATTGCGTCGGTGATTACGGTACCTTTTTCAGTGGTTGGTGTCGCCAAAGGAGACTTATAGCCGGCAGTTGTAGTGCCTGATCTGCCAAACTGAACAAGAAAAACAGCCAGGGAAACCCGTCGCTACTGCCATGATGCATCGAGCCAGTATTTCTCCACTGAGAAATCCAAATAACACTCACCTCGAACAAACGAGAGAGAACTGAGATGTAAATCTTACGACCACCCATACCAATCCCAAAGCAGGCGGGAATGAAGACCATAACGACGAAGTAGACCCAAAGGCCCACAAAAATCGTCCATGGTGTCACTTCCACCTCCATTGGGAATTATTTCACAAGTTCACGTTGTGGTGGCTGTTCGAAATCAAACAAACCATTAGGCATTACAATCCTTAAATAAAATCAATCAATCAAATCAATCATTAGTCTTGATCCTATTGACCTAAAACAATAAACAGGTCAAATGAAGCTGCGCCTGATGTCAGTGATGAGCTGCATGTCACCGTGCCTGTGGTCACTGTGACAAGGGTAGATGTGTAGGACTTCAGTCATATTCATAACGATAAAACCTCGTGTAACGATTGTACGAATGTCTACGGCCATACCACGTTGAAAATACCGGTTCTCGTCCGATCACCGAAGTCAAGCAACGTCGGGCGAGGTTAGTACTTGGATGGGTGACCGCCTGGGAATACCTCGTGCTGTAGACTTTTTCTTTTGTTGTAGCACTTCAGTCATATTCTCATAACGATAAAACCTCGTGTAACGATTGTACGAATGTCTACGGCCATACCACGTTGAAAATACCGGTTCTCGTCCGATCACCGAAGTCAAGCAACGTCGGGCGAGGTTAGTACTTGGATGGGTGACCGCCTGGGAATACCTCGTGCTGTAGACTTTTTTCTTTTGTTGTAGCACTTCAGTCATATTCTCATAACGATAAAACCTCGTGTAACGATTGTACGAATGTCTACGGCCATACCACGTTGAAAATACCGGTTCTCGTCCGATCACCGAAGTCAAGCAACGTCGGGCGAGGTTAGTACTTGGATGGGTGACCGCCTGGGAATACCTCGTGCTGTAGACTTTTTTCTTTTGTTGTAGCACTTCAGTCATATTCTCATAACGATAAAACCTCGTGTAACGATTGTACGAATGTCTACGGCCATACCACGTTGAAAATACCGGTTCTCGTCCGATCACCGAAGTCAAGCAACGTCGGGCGAGGTTAGTAGAGAGGTTCCGGGGTACGATTTTCCGTGCCAAAATCCGTGTGGGCGCTACGGATTTTTTCCAGGAGTGCTCCATACGATTTTTCGGCACGGAGAATCCGTGTGGACTGGCTTTCACACGAACCATGTTTCGTATGGAGATTTTGCGTCATCGGGTGCAGAAAGATTTTTCGCGTACAAATTTGGTACGAGAAACATGGATTTTCCGCGGGAAGTTTTGATTTCGGTACAAACTTTCAAAATAAAAAGGCATAGCGCGGGAATGTGACGTGTTTGCGATCGTAACCTAGGCAATGACGGCAAACACATAAGTTCCGTACTCCGGAACATTTCACTGCTCGAAAACGACGTATAAAAAATCCGTAGCGCCTCTACGGATTTTGGCACGAAAAATCGTACTCCGGAACCTCCCTAGTACTTGGATGGGTGACCGCCTGGGAATACCTCGTGCTGTAGACTTTTTTCTTTTGTTGTAGCACTTCAGTCATATTCTCATAACGATAAAACCTCGTGTAACGATTGTACGAATGTCTACGGCCATACCACGTTGAAAATACCGGTTCTCGTCCGATCACCGAAGTCAAGCAACGTCGGGCGAGGTTAGTACTTGGATGGGTGACCGCCTGGGAATACCTCGTGCTGTAGACTTTTTTCTTTTGTTGTAGCACTTCAGTCATATTCTCATAACGATAAAACCTCGTGTAACGATTGTACGAATGTCTACGGCCATACCACGTTGAAAATACCGGTTCTCGTCCGATCACCGAAGTCAAGCAACGTCGGGCGAGGTTAGTACTTGGATGGGTGACCGCCTGGGAATACCTCGTGCTGTAGACTTTTTTTTCTTTTGTTTTGTTCCTTATAAAGTTATAGGCTTTAGGAACTCAAAATAAAAAGAGTAGAGAATATTAGACCAACCCCAGGCCCAGCCCTGGCCAGACGAAATCACATATCACATGGTCATCTTCCACATCACATCTCTTTTTCTCCCCTGGCAACCGAACATTTATTTTTATGATAAATGGGACAGGTCGTTAGAAATGCAGCCCCCCCCCCCATTATTGCTCAGACTGTGACATACTCTGGACAATACATGTACAGTCTGTATCGGCTATAGAGTGACCGGATATACCGTATTTCCGCGCATACAAAGCCATGGCGTTATAGGTGAAACATCGCTGTTTTGGACCAAATCTATGGAGAAAATACTGTAAGACATGTTATTATAACGAGTCGCAAGTTTAACGATATATCCAAAATTCAAAGGTTAACGAGAAGATATGTTAACGATCTTGCAGTATTCTGCCATATCCACACACAGCATATATGAAGCAGTACGGCCTCAACGGATCTTATTATAACGAAGAAATGTCATCCGTTAAAACGTTAGATTTGCTTCCTCGTTATATATACATGTCTTACAGTAGCCTGGGTTTTAACGCCATGGCGCTAAAAGTGAGAGACGCGTACATTTAAAAAAATCGGCACAGTATGAACTTTCAGTACTCGTACGGTGCCGTTGGATGTTCATGTCGAGCATCCATGTACTTTCAATTTTCCCTGAAAATTTCAAGTTGTGAACCTATTGTGTACAGGGTGGCATACAAACTTGTGTGAAGGTGCGGTGGCGGTATGGCACGTGACAGTGGGGATGGGTACATGCAGAGAGAATCACCGCTACTGTAGGTTCACTGAAGGAATTGAACTCACCTTTAACGCCAGATGCAACTTCTTCCACATTGAATTTTGTTCACTTATAACGCCATGGCTTTATAAGTGAGGGTGGCCTTATATTCGGATATAACGCCATGGCTTTATATGCGCGGAAATACGGTAAGAATATATCGGCTACAGTGATATTGGTAAAAAATATCAAAAGCAAAATGTATTTTATCCAGTAAAAATATCACTATACAGTCAACTTCGCTAATAACGACTGCGGATATAACGACAATTCGCGAATAACGACCGAATTTCCATGCCCAGAGCAAAGTCCCATCTAACTGTATACATTTAACTTCGGATATAACGACTATCTGAATAACGACAATTCGCGTATAGCGACATGCTTTTAGTGCCCCGTGGTCATATTCACTGCTTGAATAACGACTTTCTGGGCTTTTGACAGCTATTTCAAGTACCCATCAGTCAAGTACATGTACCTGTCATGCAGAAGTACCAGAACCTATGGTGCACCGGTGATGGATAATTATTAATAATAATAATTATAAAGGCACACATGAAAGAAAATGCAGCCAAGGGGGGAGGGGGGACTTTTTCCTCCTTTTTTATGTTGGCTTCAAAATTGTTGGATTTACCAGCACACCTACATGTATAATGTATACCATGTACATGTAGTTGTACATAATTGTACAGTAATCATCATACATGTACATGTCTCTGGCCCTGTAGATGGCTCAAAAAGGCATATTTTTCAATTGATTTCCCTTGCATATTGAATTTTTAGTTCCTTTCAACTGCAATATGAAAATAAAGTACACATTGACATAGAGCAAGAAAAGAGCTTGATTTTGATATGCATATCATACTATACAAAATATGGGTTCACATACATTCAAATGGGACTTCGGTTATAAGGACACTTCGCGAATAAGGACACTTTTCTGATGCCCCGCCGAATGTCGTTATTGGCGAAGTTGACTGTAAGTATAACCTTCACTAGTATAAGTATAACTTAGGGGGGCCGTCCGCAAATATCGATATTTTTTCAAGACGATATTTGTTCATTTCTCCCCAGACCCCCTTCCTCCCCCCTCAAAACGAACATACACATGTTTATGCAAGGATCGATATTTTTTAATGAAGTTCAATTTCCTCATGAAACGTGACCAGCTGCAACTCTAATTTCACCATACACCTAGGTTTATGTTGCCACGGTCGCACAACCTTGCCATGGCTATGCTCATGAGGTTGACTTTCGCTTTGTGTGGGTCATAAACTACATGTTCGAACAGTGCCCGTCCATAGATAGAGTTCGATATTTTTTCTGCAAAGACGAGACGAACAGGGCCCAAACCCCCTCCCCCCCCCCCCCCAACGAACGAATATCTTCTCTAAAAAAACATCGATATTAATATATTATTTGTGGACGACCCCTAACCAATAATTATTATCGGATGTAATGATATATCGGATATTATGATGGCAACAAAGAATCAAAACATGCATAAACACACTATATTATTATCGGCTATAGTGATAACTTTAAAAATACATGTAGCAATATTATCCGGTGTGCAATTGTAAAACTCGGATGTTGAGCCATAAATAAATGTAGAAAGGAAAGAGACATCATGTATCATGTTACAGTGATGGAGAGTTACTCTTAACTCGTATCCATAATGTCTCTTTCCTTTCAGCAATATTATCAAAGGCCTTATTATTATACTTTCTTCACGTTGCTTATTTTTACATAACAGAATTTTTTTATGGAAATGCGGGCACTGTCAACTATGCAGCATGCTCATTTGTCAAAACGCCATGCTGGAAGTATTTCCTTGCCTTTCATGTGTCGATCGAAAAAGAAAAAAATCGATCGTATCGCATATAGTGATGCATCGGTTATAGTGATAAAATCACGGAAATCAAAAGGGTACTGTAAATATACAAATTTCGGCTATATTCGGCACCGACCCAAAACGCCTAAATTAAAACGCCGATGAAATTTTTCACAGCATCTGTCGCACTATACTATGCCCTCTACCCCACGCCTAAAATGAATCGCCGCCAAAATGTCAAAAATCGTGAAGTGCCGAAATTTTGCAGCGCCGAAATTTTGTATATTTACAGTACGCTATAGCCGATACAGACTGTACACTCATCTGATCCTCATACGAAACAATCATTATATTTGCATGCACAAAATGTGAACAGTACCTCATGCCATGGGCAAGAAGCTAACTAAAAAAGCCCACCTCCGATATCCAAATCAGGTAATCTTACACCTTCATGATTCAAATACCGGTGTCATGGGAGTGTAGTATATAGTGCACATTCAGAGCCACAGCACCATCACAAGCGCTAATTCAGAGAATGAATCAGTCTTCAAGTATGACCAGACTATCGGGAATAGGGCAAGACACGGTAGTGTTCATGTACTGGTAAGCAAGCGGCTTGCTGCCAGTGCCAGTCTCAGCGAGCACATTGCCATCGGGGAAGCACCTTGCATTGGCGTAAAAGCGCTGTAAGCAGTCAGCAACCTACAATTCACTAGCTGCCCTATTAATTTATATTCATTCCTGGACGGACTAGGGCAGGCAAGGTCAGGCACCTCTGCGGCAGCATAATTTATTACAGCCGATATGCACGACAAATGGCTCAGCCTCGTCTTGGCTGGCACAACTCTGGAACTAACTACTAGACGGTTTTACAATAGTACTGGTATAGTGTGTCAACAGTGACTCAGCACTGCACAGCTGAGTTTGATGTATGGCAGCTAGCAGCATGGCATGATTCCACATGCAGGCTAGTCAGGACTAGTTTGGTAAGTGCCTACGATAAACCTAAAAGCACTGCTAAAGCTTAGTGAAAGCCAAACTAATTACTGCTACAGCAAAGCAATCTATGCTCGCGAGCATGAGCAGAAAGGAATAGACATGTCTTGTCTCGTAAAATAACTTGGGAGATAATTGAAAAAAGCTCGGTATTTACTAATAGGGTTGCGTACGGCATGACCAATGGCAGATAGCCACCGCCAATGTTGTTACAACTGTACTCGCGGCAAGAGTCACTCAGGCAGACACGGTGTAGGCACATCCTACTCGGCTGGTGGTGGCAAGACAGCTTCTTCTGGCGGTGGCGTTAAAACCTCCGGTGGCGGAGGAAGTTCAGCACCCATGCTGGCCGTTGACAGGCGCTTCTTCGGCTTCGGCTTGGGTGGCTCGGCAGAGACACTGAAATCCTTTTCGTCGTCAATCTGTCGCGACTGGCGCTTGAACTCGACCTGTGCTGTTACTGCATTTCTCATGATAACTGGCATGTCGGCTTCAAACCGGGCTTCTTCAATTTCTTCCTCGAAGAATTCTGAAGAGAAGCCACACAACAAACATGCAGCTTTTAATTAAAACAGATATAAGTTAAACAAAACGAAGTAGTGGTTGCGACTTCGGCGATGATTTGTAAGGAAGGGTTCGATGGACTTCTCGTGTGCTCTGGATGGCAGTCGTAAGTCAGTCAAGTAACGTCGGCGGAATAGCGCGAGCTCCGGTGTGGGGAGCAAACCCTTTCTTATAAGTTAAACAAGCCAAATTTTAGGCTAAGACACAGTGCAGTCATACAGGAAAGCATCGGGCTTTACCGGAAACCGGCTCGCTGTACTTCCTGTGTGCCGTTTCCCAACACTGGCGGCAACAAACACTGAAATGTTGTAACACTGCACATGGAACACGCCCATTTCGGATGCTTGATGGGCGACTTACTTCTGAGATTGGACACATCTGATTCCAGCTCAATGTCTATCTTCACTCCGCTCTCTTTCAGTGCCTGAAACAACATAGACACACAGCCCATTACCACCATATGCATTGCACAGTTGTCAGTCTGATCCATCTACACAGACTTTTTTTGAAACTGCCTACCATGACCATCCTCTCCGATCTCAGACAATCCCCTCCCCCCCCCCCCCTCCCCAACACACATACCAGGCGCGTGCCCCGTATGGGTTCCTGGGTGCCCGGAACCCCCTTTTTTCGCTCAAAATGCAGGATTTTGCTTCATTTTTTGAAATTTCTCCCCGGGGGACCCCCGGAACCCCCCTTTGAAGGGCACCAGCGCACACACCTGCATACATGTACATATACATCAAAGTTGAGATTTAAAGTAACTATTGCATTCTGATCCAGTATGGAGGGAACATACAGACGGCACAACAATCAATTTGTGTGAGTTGTGACTGAGGTTGATAAGTGAGCCCTAGCTTGGTTCAATAAGAATTCACCTTATCTAATCTCCGCAGGGAATCCTCGGCGATACGAAGCCGCTTCTCCGTCTTGACACGGTTTATCTTCTCTTGCTACATCCAAGCATGAATCAGACAAAACACACACACACACACACACACACACACACACACACACACACACGTGTGCGCGTGCAGGGCTACCGGCAGTGCACTCCACTGCACAGCTTTGCTACAATACAACATTCACAATTGGCTACTGAGTGTTGGTGCACTCCAAGCTATAGCAATGTACTACAATGTAGTACAAACAATTGGACACTCTATAGAACTGCACTCTATTGGACAGCCTGGAACCTCTCTGTTTTACTACAATGTAGTACATTGGCTAGGGTTGGTGTGACTTTCGGCTTGCCCATGATCCCAATCGTCATGGCTAACTTCATCCAGCTCATAAGATGGAGCACTGAGATACCACCACGGGTCACAGTATGTACACACATGCGCTCACATGTGTGACGGAACTCGTCCAAAGAACATTGTAGTCATTGCCGTCTGATGATCGCTTCAATGCATGAAACTCTGGCAACTGAGCCGCTACAGAATTGATAAGGCATACCACTATTCCTGGAACATATATGACTACTGCATGCCCCCCCCCCTCCCCCCCCCCCCCATAAGGAGGGAAAACTGAGCTGACCATAGGAATAACCATTTGATGCATATGCCTGATGCATTTCACCGCATCATTGTAACACCATCGGCATGTGTCTCGTTTATTAACTCTGCATTGCCTGCAGACATCTTCAATCACACGGAGAGCGTGCACCCATGAAACACTGAATGGAGCTAGAACAAGTACCTTCAGCCTGTGTTCGGTGCGTTGCTTTTCCAGAGCCACCGTCTAGACCATTTAAACAGAGAAACCAGAAGTTAGAATTGCTAATATTGGCCAACACAGAACTTAGAAGCCCTGATGTTGTCCGAGACGGGAAATAGTAGTACAGTACCTTCTAAAAGACACAGTAATAGATTTCAGAGAGCACATCCCAGGACCTCTGTTTGATACAACAGTATAATGCTGATCGTCAGAATATCAGTCATCCGAATAGCCGTAATCGGAAACACTGCAGTTGTGTCACATCATGATAGATCAGACTCAGCTGCGCACATCCGCTAGGTTTGCGGCATGTGTTGAAGTTAACACACATCCAATGGGCTCCATGTCTGAACATTCTGTCTATTCGAAGCCTGTTTCGTGTCATGTATCCGGCCTACCCTACCTCAAGGCTCATCTTCAGCTCTGACGTTGTTTCGTCGTATTTCGTTCTCTCCTCCTCCAGAACACGAGCTCTCCGTTCCTTCTCCACGAGCCTGGATTCATGAAAAGGGCAAAATAAAGTCAAGCGGCCTAGATCCATACGGTATTCATGAAATCTACCTTTCCACAGCTAAGTAACACCTTGCCCCTCTGTCCCGAACACATGACTGGTCTTCTGTCTAAGTGTACTGTAATGTTATGACTATCATACAACGTCTCATACACTGCGCGCACCAAGGACATCATAGCTGCGCATTGGAATTTGTGAAACGATAAACCTACAACTCCCCTGCACATGTGCATGGCAGGTGAAAGACAACCGCTAGGATGCAGATTAACACCGTCCTTACAATTCCTCGGCAAGCTGCTTCTCTTCATCTAACTGCCGCCGCTGCATGTCGACATCCTAGCAGGAAACAAGTGGAATAATAGAGAAAACTTGGAATTCAACATGACTTTTCGATGATTCATTTGGAGCAGATGCTAGGTACCATCACACAATGGCGAAATGAATACCAAGAATCCTTATAGAATGGTATCAGCAAACTTCGCTCTTCAATCCCAAAGAGAACCGAGTCAATCCAATACACCACCATGCCAGCACTCCTTGGAGACCACGTAAGGCCAGTAATGATGAAAGTGGTGTTCAGTTCAAGTGCCGGCCAGCTAGGCAAGACTACAAGGTTTCTTGTATGTCCTGGTAAGTCGTGTGGACGAGAGGTTCTGGCCCAAAGTTGACCCTGCAGGGACCTCTTGACCCTGAAGTGACCTTATAAACAATTGTAGACATTCCAAGTCCACTTATGCTTGAGTTTTCTGTCTTGGTCCGTTCCTGTAATCGACCAGTCCGCTGTAGCTGCTCCCGACCGAGAAGGAGCGAGTAGAGTTTGGATTCAATGTTTGTCAACAAGAGCATGTCCAACATTCCAAGTCCACTTATGCTTGAGTTTTCTGTCTTGGTCCGTTCCTGTAATCGACCAGTCCGCTGTAGCTGCTCCCGACCGAGAAGGAGCGAGTAGAGTTTGGATTCAATGTTTGTCAACAAGAGCGTGTCCAACATTCCAAGTCCACTTATGCTTGAGTTTTCTGTCTTGGTCCGTTCCTGTAATCGACCAGTCCGCTGTAGCTGCTCCCGACCGAGAAGGAGCGAGTACAGATTGGATTCAATGTTTGTCAACAAGAGGAAGTCGAACACAGGCACAGTTGCCAGAGCTGATAAGAGTAATAGTCGTCGATTGTAGATACAAGAATGCTTCTGTAGTGTGTGGCTGACATTTTTCAAGCTCCAACTTTGCTGATTCAAGTATGCCTTCGACAGCCCTGGGTGGCTTGTCCCCCAAGACATACGGAAGAGAACCGTATTTTCGGAACTCCCGGATAGCCTGCACACCCACGTCCTTCGGTGCGCAAAGCGGTGAGTTGATCACTGCTTTAGAGGCCAACACAGGTTCTAAGGAACCTGTGATTGGGATTCAATATGTGGGGCGCCTTTCAAGGCGAGGAGTTCAGGAAGACGCTCGCGAAGGTTGTGGGCTGTTTCGGTGACACATCAATTTTCTTTTTGGGAGGCGTTGGTGGAGGATTGCCTTTTGTGGAAAGCCCAATCCTTGACTGGTGGTAGTGGTGGTGGTCTGTTGTTGGCCACCGTTGGCGTAGGTAGTCCCTTTTCGGCGGCGTCCGCGTTCCTGTGCGGAGTTGTATTCTGGGTCTCGCACACGTGGGGGGGGGGGGGGTCAGTGTCTGTACCCTCTACGATGGTTGGGGTTGCATTTGGCATGGTTGTCGTAGGCTGTGCTGTCGAAGGTTTTAAAAATGTCATGCACGCTCTGGCCACATGATCAACCCTGTCCAAGGACGCCATGAAAAAAGCTACTTCCTCGCAAACCTACAAAGTTGGCAGGCTTGAAGATACGAAAAGTAGGGAAAGGAACCTGTGAAGTAAAAGAGAAAATTGGAAGCATGCACAAGGAAATTGATTGGAAGGTCAAGAAGAGGCGACGAAGAGAGAGCGATGTCGAGGAGAAGCCAATGGCGGACAGCAACAAGAAGCTCGAACAAAAAAGGACCGAACATCGGCGCCACGTGTCCAATTTGAGTGCTTTTTTCGCGAGGAACCGAGGAGCTCTTGCGCAGGCGTATACAATGGATTTCAGGTGAAAACGGCCGTGTTTTACATCGGTATTCAGCTAAAACGACAGTGAGTTGAAGGAAAATTTCATTAACTTTTTGAATTTCGTCGTAGGACGCGTGCTACAGCGTCCGTGTTCCCATGGCTTTCCCACACCCAGGCCAGAAAAGGTGTAGCGTACCAAAAGTCGCCAGAAAGTACAGCTTGTAACATCCGTGATTACATGATACGTGTTTGTCCGGAAACAGCCCTTGACATACTAGTAGGCACTGCAGCCCTTAGATTATCCGTAAATATCAATAAATAATGCTCGTGCAGTAGTTTGGAGGTATAGATTGCGAAAAAATGCTCCCGAATAAAGTGGTGGCGGGGCCCTGCTGCTCAGCCGACCTTGGTGGTCTTGGCGTCTGCACAGCCAAAGCGTGCCAAGAAAAATAGGGAAGGACATAAGAGAGAGGGAAAAACGAGACGAGAGCAAGACAGTCATGTACCCTGAAGTGACCTTTTGACCCTGAAGTGACCTTTTGACCCTGAAGCGACCTTTTGACCCTGAATGGACCTATCGACCCTAAAGTGACCTCTTGACCCTAAAGTGACCTGCACAAGAATAAAAACTGTCGCCAGAGGTTAATTATAGCACAGTCTCACCCAGTCTCAGCTTGCGAGGTTTCATCATAACCATGCGGAGTGCAAGCCCAAGGAAGCCTGAAGCGGGATTCACAGAAGCTTTTTTGCGATGCGACACGCGATGCGACAGGCGCGAAACCGGGAAAACCCCAAATCGCAGCCATGTCGCACCCCACGCAACTGCCGCAACTGGGCCATCGCATGCCATCGCAGAAGTTGAGCTTGGCTCAACTTTTGCGATGCGATGCGATGCGACAAGCGATTTGGCGTACGATTTTGACCTTTTCTACAGCAAAGTTGTACAAAGGTTCAAGAGTTGCCTATAAATTTGTACAAGTTGTATCAAACCGCGCGAATATCATGGTGACGTACCCAAATCAGCAAGAATTTGTCGCATCGCTGACTTCTTCTGTGAATGGTATTTCGCGAGTTCGCATCGCACGCATCCATCGCAGATCGCGTCGCATCGCGTGTCGCATCGCAAAAAAGCTTCTGTGAATCCCGCTTAAGAGTTGATACAACAGCTGGTTGAAAGACATGGGTGTGACATACAAGATGGGGATGCCATGCCCATACTTGCAACACAGCAAAAGCAAATCCCTTAGTCACATACCCAGTTTCCCTTAATTTTCTCTCATTTCCCTCTTGCGTATTTCTTGCTTTTTATTTATTTCTAACCCATTGCTCATTGGGGGACAAAACCGGAATTTCTTCATTGTCAGATCGCCTCTACATGTGTGATTCTGTGAAATGCAGGGCCGCATGTGCCCTTGTCACACCACAAAACCTTTTTTTTGAACACTCGTGGTTCAGTGCCAAATTGCACTACCAATACCGGTAGTTTTTCGATCAAAGTCAAAAATCCCCAGTATGCCGGAAGTTACCCTAGTTTTCTGGTAGTATACCGGGAAAACCGGTATGGTTGGCAAGTATGCATGCCTTACAACTTGAGATGTGCGCTGCACCGTTTCTCTTGTGCAATGGCGAAGACAGGTTTGGCTGTCTTCACTTCTGATTTGTTTCGGGTCAACTTTGGACCAGACCCCCCAGCTCAGGCCGATGGCAGTGCCGGATGTGAGTACAAAGCTCTGACGGATGCTGTGATTGCTCATTTTCGTCCTGCCACAAACACAACGTCGGAGCGCCACCGGTTCCGTCAGCTTCGCCAGAATGAGGGTGAGTCTGTCACATCGTTTGTGGGACGCCTGCGCGAAGCAGCTGATCGCTGTGAATTTGCGTCTACTGCCGTGGACACCATTGATCAGGGACAAATCCGTGACCAGTTGATCGAGGGCCTGCGATCCCAGGAGCTACGTAAAGAACTTCTCAAAGAGTCAAAGTTGACACTAGCCAATGCTGTGAGCAAAGCTGTGGCACTCGAGTCCTCTATCACGGACAGCAAGCTTTATGGTGACGCTGCAGCTACTCCATTGTCGAATTCATTCTCTCACATTCACCGTGTTTCACACTCCCAGCCTGCCTCTGCGCACAAGAAGTTTGGGAAGTGCAAGTACTGTGGCCGCTCGCATCCAAGAGGCAAGCAGCATTGCCCTGCAGCGGATGCTACTTGTGGCAACTGCTCGAAAGTCGGCCACTTTACAACAGTATGCCTGTCGCGCAAGTCTGATAATGCGCGCATGACATCCGAACAGGTGGAGGAGGATGACGCCAACTATTTCTGTGATTACGCATTCTCAGTGGATACTTCTCAGCACCAGCAATTGTTTCGTAAGACGCTGATCGTCAACGGCCGTCCCTGTGAAGGACTACTGGATACCGGTGCTACCCGATCAGTGCTAACCGATGATGCTGTCCAGCCAACGCGAAAGAGTGATCGAATCTTGAAAGCGTACAATGGCGGCGTCATCTCGACACTCGGTATGGCTGATGTGACGGTCTCTGTTGGATCACGCAGCATCGTATGTAGTTGTTTTGTTGTCCCAGTCGCGTCTGGCCGCCAAATCCTGTATGGCCAGGACGTCATCTCCGAACTGGAGTTGCTGACCTCTGCTGAAGTCAATGTGGTGAACGTGACGCCCATCTCTATCACAGTGGACCCTGACACCACTCCAACAGCACTCCCACCCCGTCGGCACGCTTTCAGCATCCGGGATGAAATTGCCAAGGAGTTGGATCGTCTGGTGAAGCATGACATAATCGAGCCAGTGCGAGAAGCTACTCCGTGGGTCTCACCGTTGGTGCCGGTCAGGAAATCAAGCGGTGCTTTGCGTCTCCGCGTGGACTACCGCGTCCTAAACAAGAGCGTAGTCCGGGAGCGTCACCTACTTCCCACCGTTGACGAAATCAATGCGCAGCTGGACGGTGCAACAGTGTTCTCCGTTCTGGATGCTGAATCTGGCTTTCACCAGCTCCCTTTGGCCGCTGAATCTCGTCCGTTCACCACTTTCGCCACTCACAAGGGCCTCTTTAGATTCAAGAGACTCCCGTTTGGCATTGCTTGCGCACCGGAGATATTTCAACGTGTGGTGTCTGACATCCTTGCCGGCCTACCGGGAGTCGTTGTCTATATTGATGACATTCTCATCTATGCCCGCAACCGACAGGAACACGACGAGCGCATGGCTGCCGTACTCCGTCGTTTGAGCGAAGCCAACCTGCGCTTAAACTGGGAGAAGTGTCGCGTACGCCAGTCAGAAATCAAGTACTTGGGACACTGGCTGAGCAAGGATGGTGTGCGTCCTGACGGTGACAAGCTGCTGGCAATCCAACAGTTGCAGCTGCCGCAGACGTTGACAGATGTACGTCGTTTCCTTGGTATGGTGACGTACCTTGGTAAATTCATACCGCAGCTCTCACAGACAACTGAGCCGCTGAGGAAACTGGCTCAGCGACAACCATTCGTCGTTGATGATGAGCTGACGGCCGCGTTCACCGATGCGAAGACAGCCGTGGCCTCGTCGCTAGAGTGCTTAGCGTACTTTAAGCCATCCTTGGACGTCCCAACCAAGGTAACATGTGACGCATCTCCACTTGGTCTGGGTGCTATTCTGTGGCAGCAAGACAAGAGTGGCACTTGGTTACCTGTCACCTGCGCCAGCCGTTCATTGTCCGATGTTGAATCTCGTTATTCCCAGTTGGAGCGCGAGATGCTTGGTATCGTATTCTCTCTGACTCGATTCCGACAGTACGTCCTGGGGAGATCTGTTCAAGTTGTGACCGACCACAAGCCCCTGATCTCAATCGTCCAGAAGCCGTTTGACGAAGTACCACCACGGCTGCAGCGCTGGATGGTCGCTCTCATGCCATACCAGTACACCTTGTCACATGCACCTGGGAAGCAGATGGTGTGTGAAGACACATTGTCAAGAGCGCCTGTCCAAGACTCAACTGCCTCACCAGAAGAAGCTCGCTCTATGGCTGAGTTCATTGGCCTGGTCTTGGAAGAGTGCCCAGTCAATATCGACGATATCGCCAAGGCGACTAGTGATGACCCACTGTTGCGCAGCATACAGCAGCGCGTCTTGATGCAATCATGGTCCCAAGTCACACCCGCTGAAGAGCCATACTACCTTATCCGAGATCAGCTGACGACCATTGACGGCATCCTGCTATTCGGTAACCGCTGTGTAATACCAGAAGCTCTCCGACATGCCGTACTGCAGTTGGCCCATGAAGGTCATCCAGGTCGGGACATATTCAAGGATGCTTTGCGACGACGAGTATGGTGGACCGGCATGTCTAAAGATGCCGACAAGTTCGCCGAGCAGTGTTCAGAGTGTTGGCGCCGTCATACAAACCCCGCACAAGAGCTGCTGCCATCAGAAATTGAAGGAGTGTGGCAGAAACTGGCGGTTGATCTGGTGTGTATCGAGGGTCAACAAGTATTATCCATCGTCGACTACGGTTCACGCTATCCGGAGCTACTTCCCTTGTCAGCTACCACAACCGCAGCTGTCATTGACCGGCTGATGGAAGTGTTCGCGAGGTTCGGCCTGCCTAGCGTGTTGGTGTCCGACAATGGCCCTCAGTTTGCCTCAGCCGAAATGGCCCAGTTCCTGCAGCGGTTGGGTATCCAGCACAATCGATCAAGCCCACGCTACCCCAGATCTAATGGCATGGTGGAACGTCTTCATCGAGTCGTCAAAGAGAGAATTCAATCTCTACGACCGTCCCTGTCTTTGCAACGCCGTTTGCAACAAGTTCTCTTTGATATTCGCAACTCAGTGCACCGAATGCTGGGCATGTCACCCAATGAGGCTTTCTTCGGTCGCATGGTTCGCACCCGTCTACCTCACCATTCTACCCCACGCATTGTGAATGCTTCTCATCAGATTCGCGCCAAAGCTGACATGGCAGTCTCGCATGATAGTCGCCGCGGTGTCCGCCAGTTGCCTATGCTGCGTCCCGGCACAATGGTAGTCTTGCAGGATGGCTATTCCGACCCAACTACCCCTTGGCGTGTTGTGGAGCAATATGGCAGACAAGTCGGCGTCACTGATGGCAGGCGGATACTGCTCCGAAATCGGCAGCATGTGCGAGAACATGCTTCACCTGCGTCATCAACTGCCACCTCTTCTCGGTCTTTGGATCTCCAGCCAGTTCCGACGCCAGATCCCCAGCCAGCTACAGAGTCAGAAGTGAAATCCTCGGCACCTAATGCAGATGTGCCGCCTGCTACGCCTACTGCTCCGTGTGAAGCAGGAGTGGAATCTGAGATCAAAGAGGCCGATGCTCAGATTCATCCCGAGTCCAGTGACCAATCACGTCGTCAATCACGCCTACCACGGCCCGATGCCCAGTCTGGCTCGCTCTATCGCGAGGGCTATGTAACTCGCGCTGGCCGCACTGTCAAGCTCACTGAGAAAGCTGCTGGTGCATTGATGTAATATCTCCATTTTGACTGACCATGTTGCATAACTATGCCAATTTGCGATTTAGTTGCTGGTTTGGTTTGTTCTGTTTGTATCGTGGTACAGGTTTGATGTATCTTCAGTGAGTTGACCCGTCAGTGTCAGGGTGTATCGAATTTGTTGCTTTGAATTGATTCTTTGCTTGCTTCCTCTGCAATTTTATTGTTCTTTTCTTGTCGGCAATTTTCTCCTTTTTTTCTTTTTCCTTTTTTTCTCTCCTTTTTTTTTCTCAAACAGGTTTGCATTTGCAGACAATTTTTTTTCTTCGGGAAGGGGGGTAATGTGGTAGTCATGCATTGTACATCACGGCTGTAGTACTGATGTGCACAGTCATGGTAACAGTGCATTGCGTAATGCTCTTGGCCATATGCTGCTGTTGAGCTGGTTTTACAGATGAAGAATCTGAGAGACACAATGGCTAGTTGTCTATTCTTTCCGTGTGCTTAGTCTGGCTTCTTGCATGCCTACATACTGCAGTGTACATACCTCAAGCTGGCTGGCCATCTGCTCAGTTGTCTTTGCAAGCTCTTCTTTGGCTTGCTCGATCTGATGCATAGCCTGTATACTGGCTTGAAGTTCCCTGCAAAGCACAGGATACATACAGTTGTGACAGAAATTATTCGTGACAAGCGGACGTTGACCTTACCGGTTGCCGCATGTGTGGTCTTAAAGCGTACCCACCATTCCAATGCAGGACATAATTATACCAGCGGCTAGCTCAGTCGGTCGAGCATGAGACTCTTAATCTCAGGGTCGTGGGTTCGAGCCCCACGTTGGGCGCCACTGTTGAGGAATTTCCCCCCGCTCCTCGCCAAACAACGATTCTCTCACTCATCACAATAACACAAGGATTCGTGGCTGAACGATAACTTCTTTAGGTTAATACTCAAGTGACCGGCGAGAGAACGGGGGAGAAAGACGAAACAACCAACAGTTATAAACAGAGAAAGGGCGAACACATCGAAACGACCAATGAGCGACTAGTACGTACGATACATGTGACCAGAACCAAGCAATGAGCGACTAGTATGTACGATACATGTGACCAGAACCAAGACAACAACATCGTGGATGAATCACATCACTCCCTCGCACCCGAACTCGACTCGCACAGCGCATGCTCCACATAATCCACGCATGCGCGACAACTAGTAGACAAACGCACTCACTCAGGCAGAAGCAGATCCACACTCTCTGACAACGCATACACCACATACACCACGTCATACGCATCACACCCATATACTGCACACCACGCATCACTCCCGTACAGACAGCAGACCATATTTGACACCGGACAAGGCAAGACAGCGAGACCAGGAACAACAACGGATGTAAATAATAAGCGAATCGAATTTCGTAACACCAGTACACAAATACATGTATAACTCCATTGTCGGTGTTCTGAGTTGATTAGAAATTATAGAAACTCTTTCACATACTGTTGCGTGAACTCCTTCTCTTCCCGGAGCTGCATTGCCGAGTTCTCCACTTCGGCTTTCTCAGCACGTAGCGCTTCGGCCATCTTTTCCAGCTCCTATCAGACACATCAGCAAAGGAACATGCTAACAAAAGTCAAGCCTTGGATAACATGTACTTGCTGGGCAGGGGACAATTATTTAGATACTTGAATGAAAGCAAGCTGTTACGCCTAGCAAAGCCCGGAGGAGTCTTCTCTATACTTCAGAAGCAGAAGACTTCTGGGTGGCTTCGTGTTCTTAGAGCATTCGAGGCAAACATACTACTTACAGAAAAGTAGCAGCAACTGAGCCATACAGGACATAACGTAACATGCCAACCTACCTCTTTACGACCTTTCTCTTCCTTCAAGGCAGCTGCCTCGGTCTCAAGCTTTTCTGTAGACAGGAGCATTAACATTCAAATGACGGAGAGGGACAGGTGTGAGTGAGTCAATGAAAGTTGGCAGATAACGAACAAGTCTGCACCGAATCAACCGTAGTTGTAGTTCCAGATTAGTAATCAGGCCTATTAGTAATGAGACCAACTTTCTCCGGTTTCAATAACTTGAGGGATGAAGAGCGACTCCAACAGAACAGCAAAAGGTGCATGCATTAATTCAGTAACAACACACGCACGCGCACATACACACACACACACACACACACACACACACACACACACACACACACGTACGCACGCACACACACACACGCATGACATGCACAAAATTGCCGACTACGACAGCAGTATGCATATGAAGTCAGCAGTGACACCAGGAACAGGAAACAAACAGAACAGTTTACACCCATCTGTGACGAGTACGGGTCACAATAAAATTACATGCACAGGGAATAATTTACTTTCAATCTTTTGTATAGCAATTTTGCTATGCAAAATCAAACTTGAATAGCAATTCCAAAATGTTGCGTAGCAATTTTCTTCAACACTTGGTAATTATCCTTCTGGAGAGCTGATCAGAATGCAAGCTCAGACCACAAGTATACTGTAACACCTTAGTTGCAAACCTAGCCTGGTGCCAGGATGCATAGCTCAGCACTTTCGAAGTTTCATGCATCTATTTTATCCCTAAAAGACACACCCGTCATGTACACTGTGCATCATAGGGTACAGTGAAAAATCAACATGCATACCGGTATGCATCGCAGTTTTCTGCGGCACATTTCTGAAGTTGCTTCGCACCTCAGAAGAATTGCGTAGCAAACTGCGATGCGATACCGGTTAAATTAGTCCCTGCATGCACCACCTCGATTGGATGCACAACCTCAAAACTTACAACTAAGAAGTTGGGTACATGTGGTAACCTAGAGATAGAAAGCTACGTGTACTCCAGTTCCTTACCCAAGTATGCTTGCTTCTCCTCTGCAATCTTCTTACTGTTGTCCTCTAGCTGTTGAACCATGGCCTCGCCAATCTGGGCGTTCTTCCATGTCCTGCAATGCAGCAACAGTGAAACGCACAGGGCAATGTGCACGAAACTCCAAACGACAACATCACAGCATTGGTCTCCTATTGTTGTATTTTTTACATGAAAGTCCACTGGCAAAGCGTGCCACAGTTGTACTGCATAGCGCACGGCAAGATGATAGCAGCTCAGATTTCAATGGTCTCACCAAGCACCCACTGTATACGCGCCGGCTCAGGGAAAGAAAGTTGGAACATAGTTTCAAGACACCCACACAGTCATACCGTCGGCTATCATCACATGTTACCAGTAAGTGATGATGTGACATACCAGTACATGTACTTACACTTTTCCAGACTTGTTGATGACGGAGATCCACTGATCACGGTCACCTGCCGACTCCGCAGCCAATGTGATCATTCCCTAGTTAGAACAGTTGCCGTCATACAAGCACAGCGCGTTGCAGAACTTGTTTGGCCAGTATACGGTACCATACCCTCGGCCTCATAATGTACTTACTTGCAAAGGGATGGATATCTTATGTCCACAGTGGTGCGTATAGACCTGTAATGTGTGCTCCAATCAGGACTTGCAATGTGTGACTTGTCAGGGGTCTGCTAGCTGCACGCAGCGAAGGGGATGTTCCTGTCTTCGACCAGTTTAGTGGGTCTGATATTACTCACTCCCGCCCCCTTTTAGGAGCTGCACAGGCCTAGCAAATTTATTCTCTCCGATGGTCGTGTGTACACATGCATGTGGAAGAATCAGTCTGGTTGACGTTCAACATAAATCGTGATTTTTCTATGATAGAATTACTAACCCTCTTATTTTAACATTCGGTCTACAGCTTCAACATTAATGATAGATACAAGTTCATAGTTACAACAGCACCACTGATCCACTGTACATGTGCAATACTAGTAATCCAATCAAGTGCATCTGTCTGGAGCTCAGAACAACGACGCCAATTTCATACTACAAGTGCTTGGATTTGTCAATGTCAACAAGAAAGTAGCCATGATGTCACTGTGTATGCACAACGGCAATACGTACCCTGAAGTCCTTGTGGCAGATGACAATTTCAAACTTGCCCTGGGCAAGCGACTCGTCCGATGGCTTCACCGTGATGCCTCCTAGGGGAATGACACCCTGGTGAGCGGATGAACACATGTGGATACACACATGCACATGCGCGCACGCACACACACACACACACAACTTTATACTGTAAGACATGTTATTATAACGAGTCGCAAATTTAACGATTGTCCAAAATTCATAGGTTAACGAGAAGTTATGTTTAACGACCTTGCAGTATTCGGCATATCCACACACAACATTATGAAGCAGTACAGCCTCAACGGATCTTATTATAACGAAGAAATGTCATCCGTTAAAGCGATAGATTTACTTCCTCGTTATATATACATGTCTAACAGTAGCTCTGGGAATGTTTTCTGGGCTGTCGTTCTGGGTGTAGGGCACTAGCCCGACCATTAATCTTTCAGGTCTTCCATGAGAAAAGTCCAAAAAAGACAGAAAATGGGCTCAAAGACTTAAACCATGCCTATCAGACTTTGATATACAGCGTATTCGTTCTGTCTCTCTCTCTCTCTCTCTCTCTCTCTCTCTCTCTCTCTCTCTCTCTCCCCCCCCCCCCGGATATTGGGTCGGGGGCTGGGGTCTGGCATGATCACTGTAAACTGTATAGGACTGTGCCTGGCCTACGTACCTTGGGGTGAATGTTGAAGTGTCCAGACCGATCGAATACCTTCTTTTCGCTCTCCCCATAGTAGAGCAAGAAACCTTCTTTGATTATGAAGAATCTATGTACACACATGACACAGTGGCAGACAATGAACGGAATACCAGGATGGTATCATTACGTTTCTCTAAATAAGGCTAGTTGAAGAAAATAACGGTAAAGTTCACAGGTTCGCGCTACCACTTGCTATACAATTGTGTAGAGTAATAATAATAATAATAGCACATTTCGCGTAGTAGAGCACTAAATAAAGAAATTCAGTGTTTTTTCCGCTTCTGTCTTGTGAGCATCATCAGCTAGGTGTAGTAGCTGCTGATACCGATTTCTCGCCGGGTGTCGAGCTGCACAGTTTCCTCCAGTCTGTCTTGTCTGCTGCTTGCTGTCGGCACCTGGAAAGGTCTTCCATGGTCTTCATTGGCACACCCAGCTTATTCAGCTGAGCAACCAAACTTGTGGCCAGTGTCAACCTTGGCCGTCCACGAGGTGCTTTGTTGCCCTTGTCAAAATAGCCGCTCATGGCTACTTGCGGTGGCGTGTCCGTGTCCATCCGTAGCACATGACCGGTCATTCGTAGTCGCCTACATGCAACTGTGTCTGATATAGGGTTGCTCTTGGTTCTGCGGTATAGGTCGTCGTTTGAAATTGTGTCTGGGTATCGTATTCCAAGGAGTGATCGCATTTGACGCCGGTGGAATGCGTCTGCCTTGGCCATTGCTGTTGACGATAATCCCCAGGTCTCGCAATTGTACAGGAATGTCGGCAGTACGATAGCGTTGTACAGGCGTAAGCGTGTCTTCTCCGCTACTTTATCTCTACGCAGCCATAGGGCGTACAGCTGGCCAAACACGCGAGAGGCAAGTTCCATCCTGCGCCGAACATCCTCTTCCTCCCCCATCAAGGAGCCAAGCTGCCTAGATGTCCGCCAGCTCTCGGAATCAGGTGACACACGGATCCACTCTGTTTTATCTGGATTTACTTTTAATGACCAATCGTGCAGTGTGTCTGCTATTACAGGCAGAGCATTCTCAAGCCACAGCCTGCAGGTTGAATAATAGGAGATGTCATCTGCATAACCCGTCTCTGGTGGTAGACTTGCGTCGCCAGCAGGGCGGGGCGCGAGACGAGTTCTGCATTCCTGTAGTGCTGCCTCCAGATAGCAGATGAAGAGAACTGGGCTGAGACTGTCGCCTTGTGGTGTTCCAATAGTGCTCTCAAACGGTTCAGCTGTGGCACTTGCAACCTTAACAGTGATAGTTGTGTTGTGGAGTAGGTGGTGGATGAGACATGTGCAATCTGGATTGGTGATTGCAGACATCACCTCCAGCAGCTTCAGGCGGTTAATCGTATCGAAGGCCTTGGACATGTCCAGGCCTAGAATGTGAAATTGCTGTCGGTAACGAATGGCTCTTGCAGCGATCCACCGCTGGGTCCATACCACGTCCGCTGTACTACGGCCCGGGCGGAAGCCGGACTGTGTAGTACCAAGATGACGAGAGAGTGCCCCGGATTCCGTGATGCGCCGAAGCACAATGATCGATATCACTTTGCGGATAGAGTTTAATAAAGTGATGGGCCGCAGACTGGTTACAGGACCCTTGGGCTTGTTAGGCTTAGCGAGAGGTATGAGTATTCCTGGTCCAATAGCCGTCGATAAATTGGCACCCTGCGAGAGCGCAGCGTTGACGAAATTTGCTATGACCGGCGCTAGCACCTCGGATCCATATTTCAGGAGCTCTGCTGGGATTTTATCTGGACCACAGGCCTTCCCGTTTCGCAGGCGCTTGAGGGCAGTGGCGACTTCAGATTCGGAGATGGGAGTGGCGAGGGAGTATGGTGATGGCGGTGGTATTTCACCTGCTGTTTTGGCACTGAATTGTGAGGAGAAGTGATCTCGAACTCGACTGGCCTTGTCTGTGGCATGAGCAAGAATACATCCATCAGCTCGCTCGACAATCAATGGTGATCGTTGTCCACTACCACTCTTTAGCTGCGCTGCTGCAGTAAACATCTGAGCAGATGTAGGTGCCTTTTCAACCCGCTCTGCAATCCTATCCAGGCGTTCCATGGCATCGCTGCGCTGAATATTTCTGATCTGGTGCATGATGCAGTTCCGTTCCCTCTTTAGCTCTTCTGGATTGTGATGGCCTGATTGCTGAAGTAATCTGATTTCCCGTTGGCGCCGTGAGAGGGTTTCAACCTCTGGATTAGGTACACAAACCCTGCGTGAACCGCTTCTGTGCATGCGTCCAAGAGTGCTCTCTGCCACGTCCATGACCGCTTGCGCTGTTGAGTCCCAGGTACTGATCACGGAGCCACTGTCAGATGACCCACAAAATGCAGGTTGTTCACGCAGTTTCTGGCAGAGGCTGGACTGATATTCCTTACGGACGTCAGCGTTTTCTAGTCTCTGGATTGCGATGGGAGCAGCGGCCTTGCCTGCTGCGGCAATGTGTACACGGTATAGACCAGTCAGTTCCATGTCCGCAATGACTATTTTATGATCGCTGAATGTCTCGGTTCCAGCATACGAACGAGCTCTCACAACTAGTGGCTTGTAGCGCTTTGGGATCACGATGTAGTCAATCATGTTGTGGATCATTTTCCTGAGGCCATCAGGGGATGCCATGCATCCAGTCCATGTGGTTCTATAGCGCATTGAGTAGCGGAAGAGCGTATTAGCCAACACCAGATGATGCATGTTAGCCCACTCTACCAGCGCTTGACCATTGTCATTTCTTACACCTTTGCCATATTGACCCACACACGCTGCTTCACCTGCTCCGACCTTGCTGTTAAAATCACCAAGCCCAATCACGAGTGTTCTTCCACTGCACTTGTTCCAGGCTGTGGACAAGGCATCATAGAACCTTTCACGAACCTCAGGATTACTCTGCGCTGCTGGGTTTGTGGGGCCATATGCCACGACGAAACGAACAGGTAAGGTATTGCCCTTGCCTTGCGGAATGGAGAGGTCGACAGTTCCGACTCGGTCGGAAATTTTTTTGAATGTTGATACAAATTTGTTGAGCATGTTCGATATGACAAATCCATTACCTCCATGCCGGCCCTCTGCTTGACCGAAGCTGACAAACCGATGCGAATCACCGAGAGGCTTATCGACGGTCGTTGTCATCTTGAGCTCCTGAAGTCCGCAGAAATCAATACGATAGGCGTCCATGTCACGAGCTAGTTGCTGTTGCTTCGACGCAGAACAAAGTCCGCGCACGTTGAACGTGGCGAAACGAAACCCCCGGGGTAGCATTTTTCAGAAGAGTTATTGAAAGTTATTGAAACGTTAGATGTCACAAGCTTTGACAGTCAGGTAAGAAGGAGAAAGAAGAGAAAAAGGAGAGAGAGAGAGAAAAGAAAGCTAGGCAGTCAGCCTAACACCGAAAAATTGTGTAAAATTGTGTATTGTGTAGAGTGGTATTGTTCAATTAGCTTTCCATTGCTATTCAGTATTCACACCCAATAGCAACAATCATTATGAACAGAAGGCGGTGTGCTATGGCACACCAAGGGCAACTAACCTTAAACACCCCAACACAGCCGTCCAAGTGCCAACATCTGCCCTAGTCACATGAATATGATATGCAAGCACTCTTGTCGTGTGTCACGTGTGTGTACGTGTGTGTGTGTGTGTGTGTGTGTGTGTGTGTACGTGTGTGTGTGTGTACGTGTGTGTGTGTGTGTGTACGTGTGTGTGTGTGTGTGTACGTGTGTGTGTGTGTGTGTGTGTGTGTGTACGTGTGTGTGTGTGTGTGTGTGTGTGTGTGTGTGTGTGTGTTTGTGAGTGTGTGTGTGTGTGTGTGTGTGTGTGTGTGTGTGTGTGTGTGTGTGCATGTGTGTGTGCATGTGTGTGAGTGTGTGTGTGAGTGTGTGTGAGTGTGTGTGTGAGTGTGTGTGTGTGTGTTTGTGAGTGTGTGTGTGTGTGTGTGTGTGTGTGTGTGTGTGTGTGTGTGTGTGTGTGTGTGTGTGTGTGTGTGTGTGTGTGTGTGTGTGTGCAAGTGTGTGTGTGTATGTGTGTATATGTGTGTGTGTGTGTGTGTGTGTGTGTGTGTGTGTGTGTGTGTGTGTGTGTGTGTGTGTGTGTGTGTGTGTGTGTGTGTGTGTGTGTGTGTGTGTGTGTGTGTGTGTGTGTGTGTGTGTGTGTGTGTGTGTGTGTGCAAGTGTGTGTGTGTGTGCAAGTGTGTGTGCGTGTGCAAGTGTTTGTGTGTATGCTCTCAAGCATCACACACCAGCAAATATGCCCAGTCATGGGTACCGCACCGCTGTAGCCTTAGCATTTGGTCATTATATTGAAGGCAAAGTACTGGTGGGTCACAGTCGCAGCAACAGCAGTGACTCCATTAATTCTCACATCTCGCCACATGCCGCAGTTCCATATGCGTCCTGGTCAAACACTGTGAATTCCGACGCTGCTTTCGCTAGACTAGACACTGCGGTTGTACCATCAGCCTATCGAGCTTCGAGCTTACCCCGGTGACACAGTCGCTATCTGGACAGCTTCACTAGTCACTATATCCTACAGTTGGCAATGTGAATGCCACTACTTCAATCACAATCTGTTCACCTGCAAATTTGCAAAGTTAATTTACAAATTTACACAAGGATGGGTGAATGACACTGTTGATGCAGCAGGTCAGGTCAGGTCTACTGCACTGCACTGCTCCACTTGGGAGCAAGCCAACCTGCTGCATAATGTTGAGCAACAGGCAGCTGGACCACAGGCACAGCACAGGTGTGCAATGCAGCATGCAGTGCAGTCCCGTATGCAGGCCTCAGTGGATCCCATACAAAGGTCAGGACAGGCTGTGTCGCCTGTTCCGTGCACACGACCTCCAGTGTTCAGGTATTGGCAGTATTAAATGCATTCCCTGCAGTGAGGCATTTTGCAGTGTCCACAGATCGCACAGGGAAACTGCGCCGAGTGGAGAGTAGACGCTACGCTCGTGTACATAATTGTACACACATGCAGCAACCACTCGTGGGAAGAAAGAGCTCTTAGTCTAAATCTAATCCGTCCCGAGCAACTCGCGATAGTCGCACAATTCCATGTCTGTGTAGATCTACCATGTCCGGCGCCACGAGCACCCGAGTCTCCGAAAACGTCGACAACAGCTGTCGATCGGATCCGCTTCGTTTCTAGCGTAGATCTGCCAGCTCTACAGGGACCAAGACCGTCGTCACTCTGGACGGGAAATGCTCTGCCAAACAGCGTTTCGCCGACGTGTTCTTGTCCACTGCACTACACACACTGAGTAAACCACCTGGTCAACGCAAAAACGAGTCATCTAACTAACGTTGTCACTTTCACGTAGACCTAGTAGTACCTACGACCTTCTGAACACAAGCGTCCCTAAACAGCACAGAGTGGCGGTCACAATTTCACTATTCTCGGCACAGCACGAAACTGGAAGCAATTCACCAAAGAAAGGGAGACGAGAAACATTGCCATTGTAATTCATTTCAAAGACGCAAAATGCAGCGTAAATAATTCACACAATCATTTGTACCTTTTCTGCCACTTGTTCGCTTTGTGGCCGAACGGCTTCTTCAGGAGGAGGCCGCTCATCTGCACTCGGGTATCGATATCGAAATCATCATCCGCCATCGTTATCCTTTCTAGGAGCCGTACGGCAGTACGATGTCAGCTCCGCACGTAACTCGTTTCCAAAGCAGGAAAATAACTCAGTGTGCAGCAACAGCAGCAGCGATGGCACTGGCAGTTAGCTGCTGCTAGCCTGTAGCATCCGATGTCTGGAAATACTTATCCCGTCTCTGGCCAGTCTAGGTCAGAATGCGAACACTGCCTGCGCTGCCTGGACTGGAGGACAGGGGCGTAGTCAAGTCCGCACTGCTGGTTACTAACCGTCTTGCCCTGCTGTTGTTGGAACGAAGCCCTCGGTTCGAGTCACACTGCCAATCGATACTACAAAAAAAGGAATGCTCTACTTTCTACTTTTCTTTCTACAATGATTATGTGGTTCTGCAAGAGCTGTGCGACCTCCTCGCGCTCAGGCGCGAGTTGGCATGTCCTCACCTCATCTGGCTGTAGCTCAGATCGACCTCAAAGCTCAACCGTGCGTACCTCTCCTCACTCGGCCTCAGGCTCAGTGTCTTGTCGATCATATGCACATGTCGACATGACATGGATGACTGAGAAGTGCGAAATTCAGACTGGGCATGCACGTGGTCTTTTCAAAAATCAAGGCGGTAGACCATGGACACTACGCCTACTGCGGCCTAGGCTACGTACCGGTAGTCTACAGCTACGTAGGCGCTAGGCGCAGGCTAGGCGCTTCTTCTACGACTGCAACTGGCTAGCGATAGTGCTAGCATAGGCGTGTAGGCTACCGGTATGCTACATACACTCGCCTCTTTTCCGGCGCTACTAGTACTAGTGGCACTGCCGCTAGCGTATAACGCTCAAAAACCCTCACTACTACCACTTGTACTAAGTAAGAGTCTTGCTTGTACTACGATCGTAGTAGTACTACCAGTAGTAGTCATCTTTATTGTTCAATCCACAAAATGTGATGCAGAAAGTGAAGAAGCATCCGAGGTAAAATATCCATTGTAAATATGAAAAACATTATTATGCCATGCCAGCCGGCTGTATGAACCCACATTCCCACAAAGGTGCAGGCAAATATAATACGTATCTAATATTGACTGTATAACTACAGCAGGAAGATATTGAGATTACCAGTAGTAGTGTACTACAAAGTCGACTGCACTGGTAGAGGAGACGGCTCGATACCGGAACGTTTTGACAGCCAAATTTGTATAGACCCAAAACGATCATCAACGTTGATTTTTCACTCGAAATATGTTTGTGGAAGGAAACTGGCATGTTGAAGTTTGCTCTGGGGCCAGAGTCAATCGAACTGAGCCACTCCTTTGTGTTGACCCATTGCCTCCAAGTTGCCCAATTTTTCGCTTCAAAAAAGTTCAAATCAGAGGTGGCTCCAAACCGGACACGTTTTAGAGTGCCCGTCAAATTCACTCTGGGTCTGAAATTAGGTAATTGCTATCGCTCCACGACGGCCAGTACAGAGTAACAATAAGCCTTGTGTGTGCTTCCATTAGTTTTGATTGGTATGCGGTGCTTTATCGGCGAGAGGCGAGCCGCTGTTTACCTGCGACAAGAAGTTGATTTTTCGAAAGTCGTAAAACTCAAGTCGCAGTGCGAAGCAACACGTCAAAAACTCACCTGCTTGATATGGCGCTTCTGGTCATCGCAGAGCCATGAAATTTTGGCTCGGAGTATAACACATCGTAGTCTCACTGTGACATATGTTTTCTAATCAAAATACCAAGAGAGAAAGTGAATATTGAGTCCGTTCCGGTTTGCAACCTATTTCCTATTTGAAACCGTCGCCTCTACACCTTTGATGTGCAATCATTGATTTACATGCTTGTTCTTTTCTTTTCTGTCTTACTTTCTTTCCTTGTGTTTCTTATTATAATATTCCTTTTTAAAAGCAACATTTCACACTCACTTTGCGCACTTTCTCTTACTAGTACAATCATACACAAATAGGAGATCCCCAGATAGGCGTTAGCCTTTGGGTAATCCGGAAATAAAGTTTATTATATTATTACTTTATTAGTAAGTTGCAAGCTGCCGTATTTTCCGGAGTATAATAAGCCGCACTGGAGTATAAAGCCGCACCCAGATGTTTTGTCACGAAATACACATACAGACACCTACCCCATCTACCACCCGGGTGACCGCTATTTTGACATCGTAATAAGCCGCGGTTGGTGCGACTTCGGCGATACTTGGGGAATTGTGTGTTGCTCCCTACATGGGAACTTGAGCTTTTCCTGCCGACTTGAATTCTCACTTGACTGACTCCCGATTGCCATCCAGAGCACACGAGAAGTCCATCGAGCCTTCGACTCGGAAAAGCTGCAAGAAAGCACCACTCCCTACTCAATACACCGCGTTTCGGGGAATTCACCCCTCATCAGTTGAGCTTGAGTAGGCTGAGGAAGATTCTGCCTGAAGAGCACCACTTACTTATATAGTGCTCTCCCGCCCCCTTTAGCCTTAGGAGCTTTTTGTGTGTTGCTCCCTACGACGTAGATCTACGTGTGAACTCGCGCTTTCAAGTGAGGATTCAAGTCGGCACTCGGCAGGAAAAGCGCGAGTTCCCATGTAGGGAGGGAGCAACACACAATTCCCCAAGTATCGCCGAAGTCGTACCAACCTGAGTCCTCCTTCTTCACATTGTTGGCGCGGGCTTGCGGATTAGATGGTTTGGAGGCAACAACGTTACGTCGTGAATGGCCAACAGTCCTCAGCATATGTTCAGCACCTCCATGACTGGCATGAGCGACACTGCTCACGCTCACGCTGCTATCTGGTGTTCACGAGGTGTTTGTCGTGTTGTAAACGGAGCGTCTCTGTAAGTAAGTAGTTTGTATCCCTGGTGCCAGGATGTTTGTGATCAGGGGGAATTCCCCGAACAGTGGGCCCTGGCCTAGTTACTAGTATACCTTGGTATACCCGGTACTGGCGGTAGTCAAGTGCCAAGTCAAGTCGGCTCCGAGCGCGAGCTCCAGAGTGGGGAGCAAACCCATTCCTAACACATGATCGCCGAAGTCGCAACCACTATTTCGTAGTTAAACACTCCTAATAATAGAGGAAGGACAACGATAACGTGTTACGAGTTATGACTACAGTAAGAATACTAAGATCCTGCGCCGAAGAACAGAGAGGCTCTAGTCTAGGCGTAGCCTGGCATTGTTCGAAAATGTTCAGATTTTAGTCGTTTTGTTCTTATTCCGCGATCAGGGAGAGCATCATGCGATGCGATCTCACCACGTATAATACAATCATGACGTTCTAGGATCTGTAAATCTACCCGGGATTGTTCTTCAGCTTGTGCCATTTTCCAGCCTACTGTAAGTGTTCTTCAGCTAAGTGTTCTCGGTACCCGACCATACTGTTACGGTCCACCAAGGTACTAGTACATGATTGTACATGTATTAGGGAAAGTAGGGCTTTTTGTTGTTACTCCAAGTTTCTAGCAATCATCAGACAACAGTGAAGGAGATTTGAGAAGCAGACCACCAACGTGACCAAGGTATGACAGGTGAGCATCATGATCAGATTGCTTCCACTCTCGCTACCACAGTATAGTCATGTACTATCCTACGCCTGCTCCTTCGTCCACATGAACCCGGACTAGACTTGTATGAGTGATGACAGCTATACTAGTATAGCTCTAGACCACGGTTCTGGGGAAAGGTCCTGCCGCGAGTGCCGGTGCCGGTAGAAAACTTCGGAACCGTCGGGCAGGCTTTCTAGAAGAGACTGTCTGGTCGGGTCTTCATAGTCATACGCGTGGTTGCTTTTTTCAATCTGAGAGTGAGAGCTGACCTAGCAATACCGCACTTATCCAATAATCATCATGTATATGGAGGGTGCAAGATGCCTAGCCTGTCAATGTCATGCGTAAGTGATCATCCGGAAGTAAGATTCCTGAATGCCAGTTCCAAGCTCCAGATTGAAGTTCTGTACGACTTCTTCGCTATCACGACAACGACCGGTATTTTCCACTGTATCACAACAACGACGTATGCAAGATATACCTCTCCATTATGCACCAATTACTAGCATAGGCCCCTCCTGAAACACCATCATCTCCATACTATTGTTCAGTCCCGAGGCACAGTAACGCCACTGGATCTTCACTTCAGCATCATGACAGTCATACCAACTTGGGCGCTTTCTCATCAGAGCAATTGAATATACCGGTATAAATGAATGAGAAAGTTGGTTGCTTCCCACGCTGGAGCTCGCGCTTTTTGCCGACTTGACTTGACACGTGGTTGACTATGCCATTATTTCGTAGAGCAAGCCCGGGAAAAGGAATGAATAATTATTGAAAGTACAAGCGTGTGCATGGGAAGTGGGAGCAAACCGCCACAGGTGGAAAGCAGATCTAGCTGCTGAGGTGTATGGAAAGGCAGCCTTCAACTTCAAGGGATTGGCAAGTAACTGTTGCACGGACTGGAGGGAACCTGAGCATATGAACACATGTATAATTATTGTTTGCAGTTTGTAGTTCTATTTTCCTTCTCCCCTCCCCTAGCTCTGCATTGGGCCACCATACCCATCATTAGTATCCCACATCTTTCCTACTACACACTTCTAGCACTCTCACCCAGGCAGTTGTCATGCAATCAAGCTTGCTCAGATTCTTCTGGACTCTGCTTGTTTCACTCGCATGCGTGTAATCTACGCTAAGCCAGGTGCGATGGCCTCTCCCCTTCTTTCCTTCTTATGTACAGGTTCTCTCCAACCAATCCAACAGTTAGCTGATCATTGCTTAGAGCGTGAAACTCAGAGACGTACCATAACTAAGTTTTTACTCCTTTCTATTGTATGAGCAAACTAGACGGTAGACCTCCCTGTGTATTGTTTTGCTTTTGAAAAGCACTCTTCTTTCAGTGGGGTACCCTAGCCTGTGTGCTCCAGAGCCAGGTCAGCCGGGTCAGCGACCCGGTTGGGGTACTTGGACCCGTTTGGAAAAAGAAAACCGGGTCATTCGTGACGGCCTGGTTGGGACTAGTCATATGCTATATGCTATATGCTATATGCTATATGCTATATGCTATATGCTATATGCTATATGCTATAATATAGCATATAGCATGCTATATGCTATATGCTGTATGCTATATGCTATATGCTATATGCTATATGCTATATGCTATAATTATGCAATATGCTATATGCTATAATGCTATATGCAATATGCTATATGCTATAATATGCTATATGCTATATGCTATATGCTATATGCTATATCATGTATATGTATACAGTACAGCTCCCTGATCTACATGCAGTAGGCTAGCCGCACTTGAACTTACTCGGCTCTGAGCCGGTTGGACGAGTTCTGCCAGGAACGCATGTACCCGGTTGGCTTGGAGTTCTAGAGCAGACACTGGTACCCGGTTGGCTTGGAATTCTAGAGCAGACACTGGTACCCGGCTGGCTTGGAATTCTAGAGCAGACACTGGTACCCGGCTTGTGTGCTGATACACTAACATAGAAAAGTAAAGCCTGGTTTCAGTAACCACTCATAGGACCAACCCACCACCCACCTTTGAAGTTTGAACCCAAGTGGTCTCTGAAACCAGGGTGACCATTCCAGGCACGCTCCACATGTTTGGTGTTGTTGGTGTTGGCAACAGTAAACCTAGCTGGTGGTCGCTTGACTAGGTGCTCCGGCCCCACACCAAAAAGAGTTGGAAACCTAAGTGTCAACTTTTAACAAACGGATCAGAAAGTGGAATTTCAAAATATGGCACATATCTAGGCTTTTGTCAACCTCACACAGCATTCAATAGCATTAGGGGTGCTGGAACAGGAGCCACTGCCACTGCCACTGCCTCTCTCTCTCTCTCTCTCTCTCTCTCTCTCTCTCTCTCTCTCCCTCTCCCTCTCCCTCTCCCTCTCCCTCTCCCTCTCCCTCTCCCTCTCCCTCTCCCTCTCCCTCTCTCTCTCTCTCTCTCTCTCTCTCTCTCTCTCTCTCTCTCTCTCTCTCTCTCTCTCTCTCTCTCTCTCTCCCAGCATGCAGGAGCCAACAAGGTGCCACATTCCCACGGTACCCAAAGAACAAGGTGAATACTGTAAAAGAAGACATTTTCGGTAGTGTTTTATTTTCGGTAACTTCGGTGCCTACAATTTTACCAAAATAAAACGTTCTCTATATAGTTACGTTTCTCTATTATAATTATGTGTTTTCCTAATTTCCAACATTCCCTGTACTATCCTGAAGAGAAGGGAAAGAAAACGTTTGATAGAAGGAAGTGTCTACTGAATTGTGTGGATGTGCGTCTTTGAATGCGAAGGTGCAGATTGCGAAACTGTTTTTCACCGCCTCCAAACTACCGCTTGAAAATAAAACGTAACAGAAATTTTCGGTACTACCGTACTGGCAATATATGTTGCCGCAGTGAGGCCATGAAGCGTTACATTGGCACATGTTTGCCGCACGCAGGGCGTTACATGCAAAGTCGCACAGGAGCCGTTACACAGGTTTCTATATTGCCGCAGTCCTTTTTTTGCTATTGCAGGACTTCCTGCTGCGTCCAGTTTTGAACTTTTCACCACGCGGTACACGTGCTTTCACAGTTTTCAGCCTTTTTTGCAATGAAAAGATCGCCGCACCCCGCCGGACGCGCGTTACGAACTCAACGAAAATTTGTCGCACTAGCCTGGTCGCGCGTTACGCCGCACCCCCCTGCGTTACGCGTTACGCGGCAACATATATTGCCAGTACGGTAGTACACTTTAATACCCGGAAAAACGGGTTTACCGAAAATTTCCCTCCACCGAACCTCCGATTTTGGGGAATACCGAAAACATTACACCATCGAAGATTTCTGCTTTTACAGTAACCGTTTCAAACAGCCAGTAGCTAGATATACGAAGTACAGCTGAACTTTCGTATCAGGGCACATTAGGATCGGGCCTTGACCATAGCTAGGAATTGCCTGCACCTCGGAAGCTGCATGCGAATTGAATGTAAGTAACCACTTTGTTTATACCAATCAATATTGTTTTGGAATGGACTCAGATGGAGAGCCAAGGTTTAAATTATACAAAAAAGAAAGACCAAGGAACTACAAGTTACGCTATACTGTCCACTAACACCACCAGTCGTAGAAGTTAGTTGTAGAACGTCAGTACCGTCGGTCAGTGTCGTGCAATGTTATCGCATGAGTTTTGTTTAGTAACTGGTGGTGTTAGTGGACAGTATAGCGTAACTTGTAGTTCCTTGGTCTTTCTCTTTTGTACAATATTGTTTTCATAAGCTTGAGGGAGTTTATTGTTTTCATGCCGTTACTTGTTTGTTTTCGTGAGAGATTATAAAAAGGTATCAGAAAAGCACCCCCAGGGAACGGGGGTGTCCAGATCAGGAGAGTTTGCTGTACATCGTATATACGTCCAGTGCTTCAGTGGAACATAAAACCAAATAATTTAATTCAGAGGTAACCCCCCGGTAAAGCTTGCTGTTCAAATTTGATCAAAAGAAGCGCAGAGTTAAGTACCCAACAGCATAGCGTAACTCACAGTGATCGAGAAAGCTGAAGTACAAAGACTGTCAAAATTGAGCGTCTGAAAGGCATGGTGCACTGCACAAATATTGCCCATATAAGACCAGCAAATATGAGAAAACCGCCCGTGCGAATGTCACACATGTCTGATTTGATCCTTGTAAACTGTAACAGCATGTTACTTTCTATTGGCGGCATTGCATGGCCAGCATGTGCTACCTGACTAGTTTCATGAGTGACTTCCTAAGTATCAGTTGACAGAGTTTTGCAGTAATTTCAATGCATACTGGGTCACGGCGAGTGAGTTTCATGAGAGTCTTACAAAAAAGGAGAGAAGAAAGGAGGTAACGAAAGCTACAGATATAGCACGCTGTGCGGGCCCTCAAAGCAAAAACACTGGAGCTACTATCGGCCATGGCGAGCCAGCTGGAGCAGCGGCACAGTAAAATTCGGAAGCGGAGCAAAGCTGAGGTTAAGCGAGAGACTTGAGGTAGCCCAAGCGGGCCGGATGTTCGTCACAGGGCCGATTGATGGGTGTCCAGACAGGTTCACCGACAAACAGACGCATGGCTTTGATAAAGTTCTGCAAAACAGCCGACATACAGCGCAAAACCCATGAAGCCATTAGTGCTGTGAGCTGAAGAGCTAATGATGACTGAATCTGTTTCCTGCTTTGATAGCTGTTGAGAATCTGACAGAGTTGCGTCATAAATAATCTAAAAGCAGTATTTTCCGTCATTTCCCTCCAGCTAGAGTTGGAAGTTTTTTGGTTCTCCACCTTGGTGATCATCTGCCAATCTCACAGCGACTTTTTCTTAGCTCTTGCCAGGAGTCAGGTGTGCGTGAGTTTCGCTCTCATTTCTTCTTTCCGCCATCCATTGTATGTATTGGGGGTGGGGGGGTGGGGGTGGGGGGTGTATCTGTTTCTGCTCAGATACTTTTTAAGATCTGCTGGTCTCGACCAACTTGTCAGTGAGCTAGAAGAATAACTATGAAACTCGTTCGAGGGGTAGATGTCCTCAACGGCCAACTTTGGCAGGAAACTGTCCTGCGCCATGGGCCGGATGATGATAAAGAAAAAGGAATTTTATTGGATGGGGACATAACGATTCAGTGGACGTATCAAAAGAGACAAACTGTCCCTTCAGGCTTACAGTCCATTCACAAAAAGATGATATCCTAGCTTTTGGCCATAAATGGGTCAAATTTTGAGTTTTCACATTTTTTTCTTGCAATCGCCCATGGAATGCTCTTCAAACCCCAGTGGAGGTACCTTTTAAGGCTTTTTCAGACCCTTTTCCAAGTTTCAAATTTCACGGCACTGCACCGCGTACGATAACATCACTATAAATCACCAATTACGGGAGATCACCAGAGCCAGCGCTCATCTTTTTTAATGAATGGACTGTAGTCTGCATCCAGAGTGTGCCCAGCCCAAACAGGATAGGCAACCCGAAATCACTTGGCAGAGCCAAAGTCCCATTCACAAAACTTCCCATCTCAAAGTGTACCTGGGGGAGGGAAGACTTATAGCCCTTGGCGGATTATGTTCGGTAAATAGCTGAATTATGCTTTCCATTATGCCAGTGAATATGCCAGTGATTATGCTACATTATGCCAATGATGGTGCTATACTATGCTGCGGTCCAATCTAATGGTACATGGTGAACTCAGTACAAACAGCCCTTGGTGGATTATGCTCGGTAAATTGCTGAATTAATAGCAGAATCATGCTTTCCATTATGCCCAAATTACGCCAGTGATTATGCTAAATTATGCTGGAATTATGCCAATGAGCCATCGTCCATCGATACCGACGCATTGACCCTGGATTGGGCCGAGGTGGCCAGTTACGCCTTTCCTTAATTCGCCCTGATCGGCCGTGTTATTCGCCAAGTGCTCCGCCAACGGGTGGGTTTGTTGATCCTGATCGTGCCGCTGAGACGGGGAGCTGCCTGGTTCCCTCTTCTCCTCAGCAGAGTCAGCACCCTGACGGCCAAGCCCCTCCTCCTGCCATCCCGGGCCGACCTGCTCCCCAGTCCCCTTGAGGAGCCTCACCCTCTGATCCAGGCCAGCAAGTTGTACCTGATCGCCTGCCTGGTATCCGGGCGCCGGTCTCGGGTGGATCGTTTCCTTCATCAGTGTCCACCCTGCACGTGGCTTCCTGGCGCCGGAGTACAGCACGGCATTAGGACAGCGCTTGGTCACGCTGGAATCATTGGTGTTTGGAACTGCAAGTCGATCCTGTTCGACCGCGTCTAATGGATGTACTCACCATCCTGTCGGTGCTGTTCGCAGAGGGTCGCGCTTACCGTACCATCTCCGGTTCTCATTCGACCCTCTCTAGTGCTCTTCTGCTGATGGATGGTTCGCCCATTGGCTCCCACCCGCTGGTCGTCCGCCTGCTCAAAGGCATTTACCATAGTCGGCCACGTGCTACTCTCGTACCTGGGATGTGCACACAGTCTTGGCGTTTCTCCTGACCTGCCCTCTTGTTGCCAACCTGACCAACAAGCTGCTTTCCCTGCGCCTGGTGATGCTGCTGGCCCATACTGGTGCCACGCGGGCAGATGAGCTTCGGAAGTTGGCTTCCGACGGACTTATTGTGCCCCCGGACATGGTATCCATTCATTACCAGGACCCAGTGTGTGGGTGCGCCACTGAAGCGGCTTGAGTTTGCGGCTTTCGCCAACTCTCGCCTTTGTCCGACCGTCCACTTGCTGGAGTACGCCCGGCGGTCGGCCACCTGGCACCCGGACTGCCACCCTGCTCAACTGCTGGTTTCCTTCCGCAAACCTCATCGCGCTGTGTCCTCCCCACCATCGCTTGTTGGCTCAAGGAGGTCATGCGGAAGGCGGGCATTGACCCGGCCTTTCTGGCACACTCCACCCGTGGTGCATCTACGTCGGCTGCTGCATCCGGGGGCGTGTCGACTGATGTGATCCTCGCCATGGTTGACTGGCGCCAGGAATCCACATTCCGTCGCTTTTACCACAGACCGTCTTCGGATGTGTCTGCCCGGGCTGAGTTTGGCTCAGCTGTGCTTCAGCTTTCCCGTACGGCATGAACACTGGCTGTGCACTTTGTTTGCTACGGTTTATGTACGCCCCCTCCCTCCCCCTTTCACGTTACCCGTGTTTGTTCTCTTTTACCTCTTGCTTTTATGGCGTTAGCGCTTTCAACATACACTGCTATATCGAAGCTCGAAGCTCCGATACGCAATTCACCATTTCATTAGCAATGGTACATTGCAACATGAAGTGGGGGTTGTGTGAGGAGCGTAGCAGCTACACTGTACCCTTGCACTCTTGTTGCACTTTGCAACGGTACAACGATTCTGGCACCATGACAGCACGGCTTATAAGCGGTAACATTCACCAGGTTATTTCCTGTAACATGCCCAAATATGCCTGGAGCATCAACCTTCAGCCAGCATCGTAAGGTTATGCCGACCACCTGGTCTCAGAAGTCCTTTTATGCCAGGGATAATTTTAGACTAAGGGGCCTTCCGTAAATAACGACATTTATCTAGAAACGAAAACTAGTCGTTTCTCTTCAACCCCCCCCCCCCCTCCCTGAGAAACGAACACATACAAATGATACATAGTATCAATATTTGTGGTCTTTTTTCTGGACATGCTCACGCATGCAAAATGTACATCGATATGTTTCCAGAAACGAACAGGCGCTCAACCCCCTCCCCCCTAAATGACTACTTTTCGTTTCTAAATAAATATCTATATTTACTGATGGTCCCTAAGTCCGAAGATTACGCCAGAAATTATGCCAGCATAATCCGCCAAGGGCTAGAGACTAAGGGCATGTTCGATTGGTAGGATCGGGATCCCGACCCACCAGATCCACTGGATTCGCACCCTTTCGATTTGTCGAATCCGGATCCGGATCCTTCGGATTTGGATCCTGTCAACCCACCTCGGGGAGCAGGGTTGACCGGATCCAACGGATCCAAATGTGACCTTTGTGCGTATATGGCAGGTAAAAATCGTTTTTGTACACATTCTGGTACGCACACGTGGATCGAGATAGAGCTTGTTGACTTTTTGTACAACTGGCGCGGTGAGTACGACTTTTTATTACTTCGTCAACATGGCAACAGTCAAGGCCCAAAAAAAGTGTCCAGTTGACTCTGAACGATCCGACGGATCTGAGATCTGGATCCCGATCCTTACCAAATGAACATGCCCTAAGGGGCCATCCGTAAATACTGATAGTTATGAAGAAACGAAAACTAGTCATTTCTCTTCAACTCCTCCCCCCTCCCCCCCCCCTCCCTCAGAAACGAACACATACAAACGGTACATAGTATCGATATTTATTTCTTTTTTTCTGGACGCGCCCACACATACAAACTGTACATCGATATTTTTCGAGAAACGAACAGGCACTCAACCCCCCTCCCAGTAGAACGCTGATTATCCAGATGTCAACTATCCGGATGATGGATTATCCGGACCGCCTGGTCGGACTGTAAAATAAAACTACCAGTAGCTTTTTCGAGGTTTTGCTGTTTGTCCCCACTCGAAGTACCATTCCAGCGATACACAGGATGTATCGATAGTGTCATTTTTCTAGCCGAAGTGCGCCTAGTTCCTGTTGTACTGCTGAAGAGAATGAAAAAATGGTGAAAACATGCGGGGAATAAGCATGTTTTAAACAGATGTGTGACTGCTCCCTTATCTGAACGTTCTTCTCATCCGAACCTCCTGGAGTCAGCCTGCGCCCCGAGGGGTTTGGATAATCGGCACCCTACTGTACACCAGCGCTTTGGCCGAGTGGTTGTGGGCTTGCCTGCGAATCACAAGGTCCCGAGTTCGAGACCCGCGCTGGGAGCAGGGAGCATGTACTGTGCTAACAAATGCGGTGATGCATGCGTGAACCACTTTACATGCAGGGAACTGCGCCGACACCCACGGTCAACTGGGTACTCACTACTCGGAGTGAGGGTAACATCGATGCAGCTAACGAGATTCGCCCCCTTGTCGGGCATTGGTTGTGAGACTTACCACCTCACCCTCGCCGTTAGGAGCTACATCTGCCACCCTGGTATCACAGGCATGGTGGTGGCCTGGCACAAGCAAAACTTCCTAAGCTGTAGCTGGTTGTGTTTCTCAATACAACTGTATAGCCGGTGGTAACGCGGACGTGCAAACTTTACTGTAGTGCTGTACCACAGGAGAATCCTATCATAATTTTCCAACTCATGTCAGATCAACAACGGGCCAAATGGCACTGCCTTCGTCTACTTGTGTGCGACATCGCTCAGGATTCTGGGTACTCTGGGTTTGCGCTGACATAAAGAAAATACGGCAATGGAATGTGACACTAGGGTATAATGACTGCATACGACAAGGAAACACTTACTTCTATAGTTGTTAATTGGCTCCCCTCCCCGTCCCCATCGAAACCATTAGCACATGGATGACAATGGCAGTGAGAAACGTGAACATCACAGAGCAGTGCGAACGCAGTTACCTTTTCATCCAATGTAAACCGGTGGTACATTCCTGCTGGGAGGATAATCATATCGCCCTTGACGCACTCAATGCGGATCCACTGATCGTGCTTGTCCCGCACATCAAAGTAACCGCTGCCATCCATTACAAAGCGGATTTCCTCGTCGCTGTGCAGGTGCTCCTCAAAGAAGTTCTTGATCTAAAAACAAACAAAACGGCAAACACAATACAGTCAGACCTCGCTTAACCGCACACATCTGTTTTCCACAAAAACATCCGGATAGGCGAGGTAACCGGATAACTGAACACACATACTATACATGCATGTGGCATGTCAAAAGCAGTGACATCATACATACATGTAGACAGGTCCTATGCAGTACAACTAGCGTGCCCAGTATGTAAAACAAGCGAGAAAAATGACCAGTGCATGCAACTAAGTGCTGTCCGCACACACCCAGCAGGTCAAGGACCTCATTTGCTTGTACAACTCCTTGATACTAGCTTCTGCAAGCGCTAGCCAGCCACATGCAACCGGATACGACGAAGCATTTTGTACACATTTTAACCAGTTTGTACACAAAATCATGCACCGGTATGCGGATCGCGAGGTCCGGTTATGTTGTATGCATAACATATGCTGCACATCGGTAACCAGCGATTTTCTTCCGGATGGCGAGGGGTCCGGATAAACGAGGACCGGATAAACGAGGTCTGACTGTACACCCGTGAAAGAAGCAAGTCTGGTCAGGAAGTTCAACAGGTACTGAGTACTGTCGAGCGCCAAAGAACGATGTGCCAAAGAACGGACATGCTAGAATTTTACCAGGTACATGTACAGGATATTCTTATGTAAGTACACGGTGGCTCAACTACATTATAATTATAGGGATTTCTACATGAAGAATAGGAACGCCTAGGCTACGACTCCCCTGTTCTTCGGCACCAAACAGTACTGTAACACAAACAAATGGGTAGCCAACAGACAAAGCCCTCTGATGCATGACTACCAGACTGGAGAACTTGTGGAAAGCAGTCAAAGCAGTCAAAGTCAACTAGAACAAAGCCACAAAAAAATCATGGCAACAAAAAGAAGCACTGGCAGTCAAAAACAAACTGAGACACTGACACACACAACTCGTATTCAACAAGACAAGCTAAAAACCTTGGTACTACAGACATAGTACGGCTGGGTAACAATGACGAGTCCCACCTATGACTAATAATAATAGCAGGGGCGTAGCTCATCCCCCTTTTAGGGGGGGGGGGGGGTGCCCACAGCCGCATATGTGTAGGCAGGGATGAATTTATCCTGTATCGCATCGCAGTTTGCGATGCAAAATCGATCTACTGCTACTCAAAAGTCACCGTGACTCGCAGAAAACTGCGATACATACAGACTATCCATGCCTAGCCTGTGCTGTCAAGTAACATGCAGTGTATGTGGTGCAGGCACTCTCAATCTGCGTGCACATGTATGATTCAGTCGCTTTTTCCAAATGGGCTTTCAGGCATCACTCTCAAGAAGGACAATGTGGTAAACACCCGACCTTCAAAGAAAAATGCTAATCAAAATCAAAGACTGCTACACAATTGTGATTTGTATCACAGAAACTGCTATGCAAAAATATGACAATAAATTCATCCCCGGTAGGATGGCTGGTGCATGTCATTTATGGTCATTATGTGCATGCTTTACTCAGATCAAAGTTTTTAGGTGGGGGGGGGGGGGGGGGGGGGAGTGCACGTGCCCCCCCCCCCCTGCTCCATGCGAGCTACGTGCCTGAATAGTAAAAGGCATCTCTTGCCTAGCAGCTAGAACATTGAGTGATCATGGCGGTGGCAGTTACAACATACCTTTTCTTCATAATTCTGCAGCTTCTCCGGTGACACAGTGATGACATCTGTGTATGAATAGCCACGCTCTTTCTGAATCCCTGCTAGCTTGCCCTCCTCCTCATAGCGATCAGCGTCAATCTTTCCCCACAAACAACGAAACACACCAAGGCCAGTCGTTTAGTCAATAACCATAACAATCATCAACAACACTAAGGCCTGCACTACACATAGCTGTGCAAAGTAACTGACCCATGCCTACGTGCTGCTGGCATCGAGAGCAAGCATTCACCACACACAAACATCCATAACAGGTACAGCAGAATGGTGTACATTCTGACACCGCTACGTGATATTCTACGCTCAGTGTTCTTCATGTGGTGAGCATTTGAGAGTTCTTCACACGTGCCTACTCTTGCCATCTGGAGAGAAATGCAGTGTAAAATCGAAACTTCTGCCCAATGAAGTTAAAATTGTGGGCAAGCGCACACCCACACCGACAGCCTGAACAGATTCTTTAGGGCCAACTCCACTGCTTTCTGGTACTGGTAGGGCAATGACTGTAGAAGTGCGTACAGAAACCATAGGGCATGGCATAGCCTAATGCATTTCCCTTCGCGGGATTATTCCCGTTTGTGGAGACAAAGGGCATAAAGGATAGAACTTCCACATTACAGCATTAGTGATGACACCAGGCGCGTAGCGCATGTATAAAGTCAGCGTAGTCCTGTCACTCACGACTGTCGCACTGAGCACATGCGGAGTAAACCAGTCCTAAACCCGCTAGCCAAACAGAAAAGCTGCTGCATTTTGCATGTCTTGTGGAATTCCGATCGCTTTCTAGAGCGTTAAGCGTACCGCATGAATTTGGATTATGGATCAGTACGGATGTACTAGTAGACTACACCTTCAGAACAGCTCGATTGACAAAAGTGCGAGGTAGGACTGTACTACAGTCCATTCATAAAAGAAGATGAGCGAAGGCTCTAGTGAGCGCCCGTATTTGGTGGTTTCTTGTGATCTTATCGTACATGGTGCAGTGCCACAAAATTTGAAATTTGAAAAAGGGTTGAAAAGGCATCTCAATTGGGATTCGAACCGCACAATGTACGGTTGCAAGTGGAGTGAAACGGCCTGGATTTTCATGGCTCCCATTTCAGTGCTTATACGGCAAAACCAGGCCGAAATCCTATTCTTGTTAGGCTCCTATCACACTACGTCAAGTTTGACGCTGGACACAGCGTCAAACCCCAGCACTTGACGCAGATGCGGGGTCACACTGCATTTTGCTTTCGCTGTAGCGGCCTGACGCACTTTACAAAACCACTCTGTAGCAAACCAAATCGCTACGATACAGTACGGTACGGTATGCTATTTTCAACACTGTTTTTCCATGCAAGTGCTTGCAGCGGCAGCTTCAACTGAGACGATTTCCTGATTTGCCCGTGTCATTTCTGACGTAGTATGACCGGGGCCTGTATGGGATATTAAGGCTTGCTGTTTTGGAGAAATAGACTTCAGAAACATAATCGGAAGAGCATTCTATGGGGGGTTGCATAAAAATTGTGAAAAACTCATTGACCCATTTATGGCCAAAGCTACAATTGTAGGATATATTCTTTTTTTATGAATGGACTGTGGTTGTATTCTAGCTGAAAAGGCAATGCTCATTGATATGATGATCACCTGCCAATGTAGAACCCCAGTCAGATCCCTCAGCTCGTCAAGTGCGACAGGTTTCGGCGGCTCACATTGGTGCGGTAGTCGCTGATCGTCAGCAGACGAATCCATATACCACGCTCGAACCATTCTGGGAAGCAGCACCTAGGAAAACAGGACTTGAATACTGAGGAATAGCTGAGGAATTCGAATTATTCGAAGTGCCCCATCAATCATTCTCTGCATGTGATCAAATAGCACATGTATAATAATATCAACTCTATCTTCCCACGACTCGGGCACGAGCTACTACAGTACTTTTGTACTTGTAAGTTACTAGTTGTAGGAGTAACTGGTAACTCTGAGTAAGTATTTCACTACTCTACCGTCGACGGTGACCGGTGCCTACGTGGTCGACGTCTACCGCCCCGGCCCGGTGCATATGCAAGGCTTCCGTTCATGATGCAGGGGTACTGAAAACCGTTTTTTTAGTACTACCTGCAATGTTGCAATGTTGTTTGTTGACTGTTGTTGAAAAAAATTAGATTGACATCTCAGGAAGTACGAGTCTTGTACATCATAATATCATTGCGGCATTCAACATTTGAAAAGTTAGTATGTTACCGCTTTTAGGTTCCCGACTAGACGTTTAGGATATCTCTCTTCATGTCCACACTTTGTGTTCTACTTGGTAACGCGGAAATAGTCTTGTTGTGGAAAGTAAGTTGAACTTTTGTGTTCAGTAATGTCGAAGAACGGTCTCAGCAAGCAGGACAGTGATCCCTTTCTGACTAGATATGGCCTCACGTGCGAAGAAGCATATCCTGTGGCATTGGCTTTGTACAGAAAAGGTTGGTTACGCACACACACACACACACACACACACACACACACTCTCTCTCTCTCTCTCTCTCTCTCTCTCTCTCTCTCTCTCTCTCTCTCTCTCTCTCTCTCTCTCTCTCTCTCTCTCTCTCTCTCTCTCTCTCTCTCTCTCTCTCTCTCTCTCTCTCTCTCTCTCTCTCTCTCTCTCTCTCACACACACACACACACACACACACACACACACACACACACACACACACACACACACCATGTACCATGTACCATGTATACGCCCGTCGCAAGATAAGCACGCAAATCTGCAAATGCACAGGATGGGCACCCACAGATTTTCTCTTATAGCAACGATAGCGAACAAGATCTGAATGAGACAGATCAAGACCTGCGCGAGATAACTGTCTAATCCACACAACTGGCAAAGCCACACACACATACACACACACACACACACACACACACACACACACACACACACACACACACACACATACCATGTATACGCCCGTCGCAAGAGAAGCATGCAAATCTGCTAATGCACTGGATGTGCACCCACAGATTTTCTTTTATAGCAACGATAGCGAACAAGATCTGAATGAGACAGATCAAGACCTGCGCGAAATAACTGTCTAATGCACACAACTGACAAAGCCACACACACACACACACACTTGTGCTTGTTGCTCACTGCCAAAACTGTTCACGTCGGTCTCCCCGGGAGAGGGGAGAGAGATTAAAAAGGAATATTGGAAAGATGACTCAATTGGCTATTGAACCGCCCAACGGCCGACCCCCTGAAATCCCCAAAAATCTGGGTGGACTTGAAAATGATCCCGGCTCACCACACCTCACACACACACACACACACACACACACACACACGCGCGCGCACGCACGCACACACAAACACGCACAAGCGCTTGCAGGGTTTTTCCTAGGAATGTACTAAGTTGTTGTATGGGCTGATCTGATTTGCATCCAGTAATAGACTGCCAGTGGAACAATAATTTGGAATGCTTAAGTTCAAGATTACAGTATCCGAAATTTGCTTCAAGGGACACAGAATGTATGGTAGGAAAAACACTGCACATGTAATGGAGTTCTTGGGGCAGACAATCACCGGGTGCTATGTCATCCTCACAAGACGAGCACTGGGCTTCACATTCCGATATGGCTCAGTCCTTGTTCTGGGGAGGGGGGGGGGGGGCATATTTTGCTAGGTAGACTGCAGGTACCCTCTAATCTCCATGTGGACTATCGGAGTGTAGCTCGGTAGGATTTAGCCTTGAAGCACGCAGGCAGCAGCTATTAGGTGACTAGATCCTATGACTTTTAGAATGGTCCTTCTGCTGCTTGTTTTCTTTTTTAATTTTTGGGGTTAGCCGAGGTGCCAGTTTTCATATCAATGATTGCAACAGTGCAATGGCAGTAATGAGTATGACAAGGCCGACCACACTCAGCCAATCCTTTCTTTTCTCCCTGTGGTGCAGAGCGAGACTATCTTGAACTAACCTATGGAGATAAAAACAACTTGTCAGCCTTTTACAAGCAAGCCACGTACGGCGGCTTCCAGCCGGAAAAGGCTCCGACATCTGGCTGGTTGGACTTTGTTGGAAATGACCGTCGGTAAGTCAAAGAGCATGCCAGTACGGTGCATCTACAGTTGTGCTAGGTGAAATCCAAACCAAAGTGTAAAGCTGGTGCTGTGGACCAGTTCCATTGTATCACTCTGGTTGTGCATGTGTATGTTGAGCAGCACTTGTTTTGCACTCGGTACTGGTAGTCGACCAAGATTGCAAGAGTGGATGAAATTTTATCTTATGTAATATTATCACCTGTAGCCGAATGGCTCCTGAAAGGGGACTTTTGCAATTTGTTTCAGAGACTGGCAGTGATTATCTGTATCTGTGATTGAAGATGGGCCAGAGAAGGGGTTCATATTCTGAGGCTTTGGGGAACTGCTGATTCATTGTTAGTGTCCTTGCCATTGCGCTGTGAAGAAAGAGTACATGGCCATTGTGATTTATTCTTCAATTTCAACCAGCTTTAGAAATGCTGGCTATTGACCATGTGGTGACTGCTTCAGCTCCTCTCTCTCTCTCTCTCTCTCTCTCTCTCTCTCTCTCTCTCTCTCTCTCTCTCTCTCTCTCTCTCTCTCTCTCTCTCTCTCTCTCACTCTCGTCACAGGAAAGCATGGGAACAGCTGGGTACCTTGAGTACATCTGCAGCTAAGGCTGGCTTTTGCCAGCTAATGCTCAAAACGTCAGGGAAAAGCTTTGAGGCGGCGATGATGAAGGCAAAACGGGACAAGTTTAACCGCATGGAGAGGGAACGCGTTGCTCAGCGCGAGGCCGAAAGAAAGAAGCGAGAAGAAGCGGAAGCTAAGAAGAATGACTCCTCTAATGTCACTCTTTTATCGCATCATGAAGAGGAGCTGGAAAAAGAACGTAACCAGCGCGCATCAGTCTATGAACAACAGCAAAATGTGCTCCAGAAGCAACATGAAGGAGTTAAAGTGGATCTGGCGCCAGCACCTGCAGCGGTGGCTAGGAACTCAAGCACTCCAACCACCACTGAGTCATCTTATCCCACTTCAGCTGGTAATCACTGTGTTAAGTCAACGGCGCAGGCCAGCCAGGCAGCTTTGGTGAGTAGCCTCTCTCTCTCTCTCTCTCTCTCTCTCTCTCTCTCTCTCTCTCTCTCTCTCTCTCTCTCTCTCTCTCTCTCTCTCTCTCATTTCTTTTATCTCTATCACTGTACCTGTCATCGTTGTGACCATGGGGCTTCACTCCCCTCTTGGATGTAACTTACTGGTGGGTGGGATGGCAGGGTTCGGCATCTCTACAACTCTAAAGTACTGTAAGACATGTTAAATATTATAACGAGTCGCAAATTTAACGATTGTCCAAAATTCATAGGTTAACGAGTAGATGTGTTTAACGACCTTGCAGTATTCCGGCATATCCACACACAACATATATGAAGCAGTATGGCCTCAACGGATCTTAATAACGAAGAAATGTCATCCGTTAAAGCGTTAGATTTACTTCCTCGTTATATATACATGTCTTACAGTACTCTGGAAGTCCTGATAAGACTTATACAATGTAGCTGTAGTTTGCCTAAGGAAGCAGCTGCTGGGTGACTGCAGGGCATCCAAGTGATCGGACACTGTCCGAAGATTCACAATCTGACAAAAACAAGCCGAAAAAGGAACATTTCCAATTTCCACAGAAAACCAAAGGATTGTGTGTGTATGTGTACTGTGGTAAGGTTGAATAAAATCATGGTGTACATGCGTATCACAGGAGGAAGCATGTGTAGCGAGTACTCCCTGGTGATGCCTGAGGGCCGGGTTCCACTGCGGCTCCGCTGCACTTGGCTGCATGCAGCGGAGCAGCGCGGTTCCACTGACACTCGCGGTACCGCGGTCGTGCTCCACGTTTTTTGGTGACGTTTTACAGCAAACAGGTCGAGCTGCGACCGCGGCTCGCAGTTTTTGATCAAGAATCATAGCGAAAGCTCGTGGTGAGCCGCGGCCTCGCAGCTCCAGCTCGAACCGCGGCCACTATGGTAATGATGACGTTTCAAGCCGAGGATGACGAGCAACGGAGCTGCAGAGGAACCCTGTCTGGAGTGTTTATTTATGAGTGGAAACTGTCTGCCAGCACTTGTACTGTAAGATTCAGCAGACGCGACATGAAGGGGAAGAAAAGAAGCATACCTTACTGGTACTTGGTAGTGTGGTACCGTGTGAGTGAACATGCGAAATAGGTACAGAAATGTACCGTGCCTCTTCTACCACTGGTACATCCATGTGCTTGATGTGTCTTTTGGAATAATTCTGAATGTGGCTGTGTTTACATGTGCATGTATGTCCCTTTTGCTACACCCAGAGTACTGGCTCTACGGGCAATGGCAGTGTGACAAGAGGCAATCAAGAAGTACCGCCTGCACTCTTGGCGTCAGCAGCAGCAGCAATTTGGACCAGGCCGGGTGTAAAGGAATTCACAGAAAGCACAGAGTGTAAGAACGTTACTGTCAATCGCAGTGATACGCTGTACATTCGAGTTCCTATCGAGACTCTCTCCCATTCTGTCTTCTGGCAATTCGCAACTGTTGACTATGACATCTCGTTTGCCGTCGACTTCTACCCAGGCCAACTTCCAGCAGAGGAAAAGAATGCATTTGATCCCAAGAATAGAATACTTGAGCCACGGCGAGTCAACTCTCACGAGGAAGTCATCTGTGGCAGCCACAAGCCCACACAGCCCGGCTACTATGTACTGCACTTTGACAACACCTATTCGTATCTTCGCTCCAAAAGTATTTACTTCCATGTGTACTGTGCACCGTAAATACGGGATATCAGACACACTTTATAGACTTTTTTTCTTACAGGCTTAACTTATTATTGCTTAGCAGACTCCTCTTGAGTCATCCCAGTGCACGTCACACTTTCACATCAAAACAAATTCTGTCTACAGACATTCACTAGATATCGCTTAGCATGCAATCCCATAGTGCTGCTTTAACTATAGTATTCTTCTGCTATCATGTATATTATGTTATAGCCCCCTCCCCAAATTCAGTCCATAGCACAGATGGCAAGCCAGTTCTGAATGCTGTTTAGTTTTTTTCATTTCGTTAAAAAAGTGAGTCATAGTATGAAAATCATAGCACAGCAGATCGACTGTATATCATCAGTAAAGGAACATGTTTTGTGGTGGCTCAGTGAGAGAGAGTAGAGAAAGTTTGATGTCTGAGGTTACCGGCGTTGCCTGCAAAAAGAAATCACACAGACGGCAACAACAAGACAAACTGCATGTCAAGACAAGCAACTACAAGCATAATATGAACATGTAAAAGAGGTAGCGCACAACTTCGGCGAAAACTCACATCACGTGTCGCAGCTATGTTTCATACTACCAAGAGTATATAAGCTCCCAAGAATGTACAACTTCTGATACCCATTCTATGGGGTTCGCCAACGGCGAAAACTCATACCACGTTGTGTAGTGTCCCAGATGTACGTTTCCAGCCCATTTTTACCAAGCAGTGGAGTAATAAAAAAAGCACTCTCTGACAGAAACTCACTGTGCGTGTGCAACTCGCCAGCAAGATCACAGCAGATATTCGCTATCCTTAGTTGGATGTAGTACAAAACGTGCCTGAGACACGTGATGTGAGTTTTCGCAGTCGGAGATCCCATATGCAGAGTTGCACTCTCTTGGGAGCTTATTTCCTCTTGATACTATCAAGAGTCCATAAACAAGACTTAGAGTATGCTGAACTGTCATCTCTTTTCTATGGGCCAGGTGTGCAGCAGACTGCCTTCATCACATCTTTCAGCTGCAGTCTGCGCACTGCGGAAAATCAAAAACCACCTTTTCCCTTTGGTTTGAAATGAACTTTCATATGGAACTGGGGATCATGCGCCAACATTTAGAGATCACGTAGGTACTGGAAAGAATAGAGCAAAAACGGATGTGCTTGTACGATAAATTGTGGGTTTGAGTGCATGCTCTCAGAGCAAGCTACGTAATGAAGGCAACGTGCCGCGTACGGACCCATAACCACAATTGCATACTCTTGTTTATGCACTCTTGATACTAAAGATAGCGTGTGCGTAATACGAATATCTGCCATGATCATGCTGAGGAGTTGCATACGCACAGGGAGTTTCTGTCACAGAGAGAGCTTTTGTATTACTCCGCTACTCGCTAAAGACGGCTTGGAAACGTTCAACGGGAACACTACACCGTGTGATGTGAGTTTCCGCCGTCTGCGAACCCCATAGCAAGTGTATCAGAGTTGCACACTCTTGGGAGCTGATGAACTCTTGATAACAACTGGGTTCATACAAGATGAATCGGCAATGGGGAAGGGTTGAACATTGTCCACATTTCCTGGCCGAGTCCATCCCTGATATAGTGCATGAAGCTGTTAGGCACAGCACTGATCCATCTACGTGTATGCTACTAGAAAGACCGTGAGAGGCGCCCCGGTGGGTACCGTAAACATGCGAACCAACCACTATGAACAATGGATTGTGCACTGATGGATTTAGCCAATGAGCACGGCTGTAACATTTCAATGTCAGTCTGAATGAAAGTAGGCAATGGCTCACCTGGGTGCTGCCCGAATGATGTCATCTACGCGAAGGATCATCTCTGCTGCTTCTGCTGCCGAGAGAAGGATCTGGCGCTTTACGAGGTATGACTCGGTGATGCCCAGCTGGGCCATGTCTCCGACCTCACCAAGCTCCATATCTAAACAGGATAACAGCAATATGAGCATGAGTCATGTTTAGACATGAAAGGATAGCCATAAAGTTAACCCTTTGCCGGCAAGTGCATTTTGTATATGAAATCCATAACATTGAGAAGGATGCCAATAACTCACAACGAGGGCACATTTTGTATGTGCAAGTTATGTTTTCTTGGAAGTCTGGTACTACTTCTTGACCATGGAAAAATATATTTTCACATACCACACACATACGCTGCTAAATTGGCACCTATACGTCTAAACACGGAAATTGTACATAGTGCAAATCGTCAGATTCCGTCATTGACATGATACTGCCAAAACAAGTCGACTTCGGAGCGGAAACGAACGCCATAGCCATCAGAGACTTCAGTGGCCGTGCCTCGCTCGCAATTCAGAGCAGCATCGCCCCAGAATCGCTGTCCGATGGCTCCGTAAGGTCGTGCGCATGTCGCGCTGCGCTGCCGTCAATCAGGTACGTAGAAAGTCGATGGCCTAAAATTCCGTCTCTGGGAGACTGTCGACACGGGGATCGCTCTCGATGGCTTTCCCACCATAAGCACCATCAGATTCTTCCAGGTACATCACGACGACATCGTCTTCAGCGGCTGGAGCTCCCGATATTTGCGTGAGAATTTACTTGGCGTGCGCTCCGCTCCGCAATTTGAAATTCGCTTGCATCGGCGGCTGGAACAAAGTATCATCTATCTGTCGTCGGTCCCAGAGCAAAGGTCTGCTAGGTCCTCGTCGGAGAAGTCATCTGAGGACGAAAGGAACTCACTGCGCAAGAGGAAATGCATCTGACGACGTTTTGACGGAGGCAGACGGCATTGTCGGCGCGCGTGTATTTCCGTAAGATTTCGATCGCGCAGTTCTCAAAGAAATCAAATGGGACACGTGTAGATCTCTTCAGCTACGGATAGCATCATACCCAGGCTGTGTGAGGGCCACGGGAAATCCCCGTGGGCTGATGCTTCCTGTCATACCAGGCATAGTTTTAGTATGCATGTCGAATGCGTCGTTTACGACGCATTCAAGTATGGGGCTGCCGGTAAAGGGTTAAAGAGGAGAGGTAGAGAGTAAGAGTAAGAGAGAGAGCAAGAGTACATAACCCTCCAAGAGTGTGCAATTCGACTATGGGTGCTGTCCCGACAGAATTTCAAATTGACGTAATTTTTATGATGCAATGCGCACTGTACACGGATTATCAGACGAATCCGGAACGTGTGGGGGACCGAAGCCCATCTGATCCTGTACAAATTATTGCAGACAAAACGTGTGATGCGTTGACACCCGTACACATGTTGTAAATCACTGGTGCAAGGAGCATTGCATCATAAATAATGACGTCGACTTGAAATTCTGTCGGGACAGCAGGGTATGTGGGAGTTGCACACTCTTGGGGGGTTATGTACTCTTGGAGAGTAAGTGTAAGAGAGAGAGAGAGAGAGAGAGAGGTAGAGAGAGAGAGAGAGAGAGAGAGAGAGATTGGGAAGGAATACTGGAGACGACTCAATCGACTACGGACAACGACCGACACCCCCAAATCTCCAACCTACAGTACTAGTGCACTTGAAAATATGACGCAGCTTGGGGGCTCATCGCACCATAGTAAGTGGATACAAACAAACGCACAACACTCGCTTACCAAGACCGGACGTTTGCTTGCCCTCTGTGTGAGCAGCGCGCAGAGATGAGACCAACTCGGCACTGTCATAGCCAGCATTGTCTGCGATGATCGTGGGGAGCTACACACACAAAACGTGCACACAGAAGTATTTTACTGAGTGCGCATTGTACTAAATTATCAGTACAAGAGAAAATCATAGTACAGTGTACAGAGCACTTGCCCAAAGGCATGTACACCAAATGACTAGGGAGTCAATGAAACGAAAGGTTGTGACCAAAGCTGTGGAACATGCTGCCAACTACAGACCAATCCATTTCAGATTAGCCACATCTTGCCGAGTAGGCAAAAGCAGACAGCAGTGAAAAAGCACAGAGCTGGACCAGTTGACCCACCCGACAGAACCAGAGTCGTGCCAGAGAGGAGCACTACTGTCTATGTTGCTGACCTAATGAACACGGCAATCACCATACTTCAAATTGCCATGCGCTGAAGGCAGCTTTATAGCGAAAGAGCCATAAGATTTAAAATGACCCTAAGCACAATGGATATTAGCGTTCTCAAACATTGCAGATTTCATCACTGTACCTGTCTAAGAGCCTTTGCGAAGCTCTCCATGGCCATGCTCTCCTTTCCGGCAGTCTTAGAGGCAAGCTGTGAAACAGCGTTGGCCATCAGCATCTCACTGCAACCTGCACGCCCAGAGAAACACCACAGAGAAATACGGAACATTGATCGCTGTTTCAAACACCTGCAACACAGCACTTACCGGTATACATGCATGCCTCAGCATGTGAATGGCAATAGGACACATACACAATGGGATCAAGATGTCATCTGAGCACATTCTCCTGGACCAACTGGGTGCTTTGCAGATTCCAAAAAAACTCAGTGCTACAGCCAAGCTGTCCTACAGGCTTTTAAAAGTTATGCTCTCACATCAGTGTGTACCCGGCCTATAACTATATACTGCGAGTATGTGCTCCTGAGCAAGGCACGCAAAAGATAATCATTATGACTTTTTGTATACAAACAGTCCTCATGTACGGTCGACTCAGGCCACAAGTACAACTTCTCAGAAGGCAACGTCACAATTCAACAGAAGAAAGAGGGAAAGGCAGCACAAGGACAAACACCAAACAGCTTCATGCACTTCCCGGGGCCCAAACTCACCGCCACCAAAGACTGTGCGTGGCTCTTTCACAGTCTGTGAAAGCACACACAGAGCATCATGAAGAGACCTCTCGGCCTCGTCCAGAATCTGCTGCGTTGCACCGCGGAGTACGACGGTGCATGCTTCACCAAGAGCAACTCCACTGAAGCGCATTAGCTGCACACAGCATAAGAACAAGAGAACAGAAGGAACTACTAGCACTTTGATGGATTCTGGACATGTCATGAATACAAACAAGTGATGCTGAGAGCTAGGAATGTGCATGAAGCAAGACAGCACAGACGCATTGGACCTTTCACGGCTCCTTCATATGATATAAAAGTGCTTTCCTGACACCAAGGGGCAAGAGTTATTTTTTCTGAAGATTATCACAATCAACAGGTTCGTTTTGTAATAAGTTGGGTTTGCAAGTCACACTGGTCATGCAGAATGAATTCGATTGCCAAACAGCAACAATATAAAAGACACACAACACAGGACTGACGCGAAGTGAACTAAACTCATTAATCAGCCAGTCCGACGGCTGAAAGCAAGAGATCGTACCTTATCCTCGCCAATCATGACCTGCTCGATCAGATCGCACTTTCCGAGCTTGACTTTCTCGGGGTTTCCGAAAGTGGACACAATCTCACCACCTATCCAAAGCACAGAGTGATCAATGGACATACATGTTCACAGTCAACATCAAAAGGAAATTGTGAAAGCTGATTTTTTGCTGATGTGCAAAATACAGTGGTCATCAAAAGACACCAAGCTGAACGCTTTCCTCAATAAGCAGTGAATCTGTGATATACTGGACACAACGAGGGAACTTCGACACACTCACAACTCCATGACTGCAATGCACAGTGCAGCCTTGATGGTTTCTGTCACTAGCATCAGCAGCAGCAGCACCAGTCCACATGAACAGCCCTGGTGTTGCCACACTAGAGAATACAGCAGCGCACTACATATCCACTAGCTAGCCCATACTGGTATCAAGAAATATGCTCAACTCATCACAACAAAAAGGAAAGAGCCGTAGGGAGAGGGTTCATACCTGTCACAAGTGCTAGTCTCTCCACACCCTCAAAATCAGCATGTTCAATAGCCATGGTGCCGGCATCGGCGAACAACTGCTCTGGGTAATTGTAGATGAGTTGCCTGCATAAAAAGAACGACAGAGCACAATCATCACTAGTAGGAATACAATGTTGCGGTCACAACTCACTGAACACGACCATTACAAGTCCATAGGTACTACAGTGTACACCATGTGATCAGGAGCACTTGGATGTTAGGATATCTGATCAGTTCGTAGAAGACTGGAGATGATAGTATGATTAACCTCGAGCACAATCACTAAATCAACTTGACACATGTATTACACCCGCACACACTCAAGCAAGTCTCCACTGGTTCTACCCACCGGTTAATAAACACATTGATGTCGTGCTTCAGGATCATGTCAACTTTGTCCTTCATCTTCTCCTAAATCAACAACACATCACAGGCCAACACAGCTTACATAGGCAAGAGGTTACGAAATACATTTCTAAGAAATGAAACGAGTGTTCTATTTAAAAGAATCATCATCATACACCTGCTATACACGCCCTTGTGTCCCCGGGTACATACCTTCATACACGCAGGCACACATACGTATTCCAAGCTGACCTTTGCCCTGCCCCCCCCCCCCTGCCCTCCTTCTCTCATTCTATCACCTTCTCTCTACCCGTAGTTGAAGCTCCAGAGCACCCGCAGGAGCTTAGACAACTACTCAGACGACACAACCAGTAGATTACAATGCTGGCAGGTGAATTTTGACCAGTGGTACAAGCGTGCAGGTGCGCATATGAACTCACACCCATACACAGACAGACGTCATTCAAAAAGTAGGGAAGGATTCACACCGCAGCAGAGGAAAACGAACACGGCCGCTAGGTCGACCAGTTGAAAAGAGAAAAAAAACTACTCACACGCTCGGCAGCTTCAAGCTGAGCGACCTTTGCAGTGGAGTCAACACGAACTCTGGAACCAAAGATCTGTACAAACCGAACACACAAACATCGCCACAATGTTCTTATAACCAACACGATTTTCAGCAACAAACTTCCTTTCACTCACAAGTTCTACTCTGCGTTGCACACTCACAAGTTCTACTCTGCGTTGCACACTCACACAGGACATAGACAGTGCCATATACAAAATCAATATCTATGTACACACCTTCACACGAACACGTACATCAGACACCCAGGGGTCACACCACGAAGCCTACCTTAATCTTGTCAGCATCCATGGATGTATTTGCAATCAAGATACGGGCATTCTCGACACGCTTGGGCTGATGCACACCAGGCATCTTATCCAAGAGGAATCCTAGAAGACAACAAGCAAGTAACCAGCAAGGAAAACGCCATTGTACCGAGTTCTAAATTTAGTACGGCTTAACAAATCAGTGTTACAAGGAGCAACATGTCCATGCTTGAAACGAGACATGTCAATACTGTTGTAGCACTGTCAAGCTTAGTAAGCGTTTTGTGGGCAGATGTGTATGTGCAGTCAAACCTCGTTAGGACGAACACTGATAAGGCGAACTTTCCATTACTACGAACTAGAGCCAATCCTATGGTTGGCCAGGCATCATATCAAGTCAAAAATGTCCCTGCGAACTGCCAAATTGGACACTGGCCTACCTTCATCAAGGTACGAGTCAGACATGGAGCTTCCAAGCTTCTTGATGATCTGAATAGCATCAAGGATACTGGTTTTCTGAAGGAACAAAGAAACACCAGCAAGACCCAGTAAATACATCAAAAGTGCTGAATGACAAGAATATCAACTTTGGCATTGGACGGGAACAACAGTACATAGAAAAATATTAGCACATACAATGGAACTTCAGTACCACACCCGCACAAAAAAAACCTGTTGTTGGTTTGACAGCATGAAACAAGGTGGAGGACACCGTGTTCGGAAACGGTGACCTTACTACAACAACCATGTGTGAATTATAACAAGGTTTATCTAATAACACAAAAACCTGTATGGTCCAGCTGAGGCCTTGTATATCTGAGGCGACATAACTGGTATAATGTAATGTAGGTACCTCCGGAAAAAAGAGAGAGAACGTTATATCCCATAGTACATGTGTAACGGTACACCCAGGGTAGTTTACACCAAAGCTACACTTTACAACAACGTCAACCTGGTGATCAGTCGGAATGACAGAAATGATTCTCTGACAACAGTACTAGAGTAGCACAATCCCTGGATGGCAAAATGGCAAACACAATAACAATTATTGTGAAAATCAAAAGACAGGCAGCCTTACTCTGACTCTTAGGACGGCGTTGACAGCAAGGTTGGAAAAGTGATCCTTGTGCTGTGTGAGAATCTTGGAGCTGATGGTAGTGCGGGCAATATTCAGCAGGTCCTCGCGGAATCGGGCTGTGTCAGCACTGTGGTCCTGTGCCACGTCGGTCAGGGCTGCGCGCGCCACGTCGACGGCCTTTCTCCAGCCGCTAATGATCGTCTGAGGATGGATGTGTTGGGAAATAAGCTGCTCTGCTTCACGGAGGAGCTCGCAGGCAAACACGGTGACACTGGTGGTACCGTCACCGACCTCAGCATCCTGAACCTTGCTGATATCTATCGTGTGACAATGAACAGACGAGAACCACCACTAAAGCTGAGAAAATATGATTATTGCTCACAAATAAAGCGGAACTGTGCCGTGTGGTAATAACAAACGCCACTCACCTACTGTAAGTGAAAGGCAGGAATTCGTACAAATAAGTCAAATGGCCAATAACACTCCAGTACATATCCTCACCGACAAGCACTTTAGCAGCTGGGTTATCCACACCAATTGACTTGAGAATGGTGGCACCATCGTTAGTCACACGCAGGGAGTCCACCTGGGTAGGGTCCATCCCCAGAAGAACCTTGTCCTGTGGACAGCCACAGGAGTAAAACAAATCCTTCGAGTAGGGCTAGAAATAACGCACACTTGGCACTATTGCAGACAAATTCTATGTACTTCGGCAAGACATAAAATTGTGTATTGTCCAATGCCCAGCCTTGCCTCTTGTTGTTCTGTGTAATGAGCTCTGCCTTCGCGGTATTGAGCACTCACAGCACACTTGGTGCACCGTCCGGTGTATTGTCCAATGCTAACCTGTACCTATATACCATGCACATGTGATTAAATTCTTATTACCGTATGCCATGATAATGTACATTGATTAGCCATACTCAGTGACGGAAACATACAGACAGCGTCAATACCTTACGAAATGGATGTGGATGAAAGTTTAGGTTGTGCGGAGCATGATAATCGTGAGTTGTGTTGGAGTTTGATGAATTGAAACAGGAGCCAAAAGTATACCAGCGCATTCGACGAATCTATGTTAGATGTGCTGAGTACACAAGCCATATTTTAAGTTGAACAGCGGGATCATAAATTCACAAACTGATGAATATGCTGAATCACTTTTGACTTTAGTGGCACAACGGGATGATGGCACCACTTGTTCCAACAGTACATTGGCCTCAAAACTCAATAAATACCTTATATTATTATATACCTAGAATGACACTCAGAGCATACACGCAGTACTCAAACGCAATCAGCACACACTGACTACCTACGGATATGTAATACGTACCATTCCTTTGGGGCCCAAGGTTGTCTTTACAAGGTCTCCAATGGCGATAGCGCCCACGAACGAGGACTAAGCACCACATAACACAGGACCAACTACTGTCATAGCTCATACCAATCCACACGTCACTAAATCCATCATCAAATCTCCATGTAACTCTAAACATACCATACGAGCATTTTCGGCTTTCTCCTCATCGGCACCAGCCTTCAGGACACTGATAGGCTGAAGAGACTGCACAGAAGGAGGACACACAACTAGTCATTCCCCAAGGAAACACTACGTAGGGTGACAACTATTGGCACCAACCATGGTTGTAGGCTGTGGAAGTTCTTGCGCCTCCAACCTTCTCTATCTCTCTTCTCCACAAAAATTGGGACACAAAACAGCGAACCGCTTCATCAATTTTGTTTTCAAGTTCATTTTGGAAAAATCCGCTTGAATTTTGTCGCCATATCGAAGTGAAAAGCGCGTGCGCAGGTACCCCTAAATCGATCGATTTAGTGGATTCTATGCACAGTTGCCTGGGATTTAGCCCAGGAATCGATTAATAGTGGATTTCAGGGCACTTTCCCGCCTGACAAATCGTGCCATTGCGAAAATCCTGTACTCGCTAACAAGTCACATGAAAGGACAAATCCAAGAGATTTTACCGCAGCAAGAATCACCAGGGAGACACATTATCATCATCATTTCATTTCCCGCCATATTTCAATGAGAGATTGTGGTTCGATCCATTCAATTACTATTGTATTTTCAATTATTTCATGACATCTGCATGGTTATCTTCGGTTCTTCTTGCCATCTCCTCGAGCTGACTGTAGTATGGACGGTGAAGAGTTAATGGAGGTCGACGATGCAAGGGGTAATGAAGCAGCAGCAGCCTCCAGTGGAGAGCCCAAGGCGAAGAAATCCGGGAGTGGTGGATATCAGTTACCCTGGGTTGAGAAATATCGTCCAACATTGTTGAAACAAATTGTTGGAAATGGTGAGACCATCAGTCGATTGGAAGTATTCGCGCAGGAGGGGAATGTGCCCAATATTATTATAGCCGGTCCGCCGGGAACTGGTAAAACTACCAGCATCCTCTGCTTAGCACGTGCACTGCTTGGACCTTCGTTTCGTGAAGCTGTTCTGGAATTGAATGCTTCCAATGAGCGTGGAATTGATGTCGTCAGAAACCGCATCAAGAATTTCGCACAGAGAAAGGTACATGCGTACTAGTACACGCACAAGCACATACACGCACGCACGCGCACAAGGAAAAAAATGCTTACTTCACCCCCGTGCCTTGCTACACACTTGAGTATGTCTCAGAAGCAATAGTATGCAGTCAGTTTCGTTTTTACCACTACAACAAGAGATCCTTAAGATGCATGCCCACAGGCTCGACCATCGCTCAACCATCACAGCCCACCGGTACATTTACAGAAGCTGCTACGAAAAATGAAGCAGTATTAGTTGCCCATCCAAATGTTGACCCGTACCTAAATGTTCTATACATGCAGATGGCCCGACGGTACATTTGTGTGCTAGTAATCAGATAGTAGCCAACATGCACTATGTTGGTAGACACCGGATTTTTCATTCCCTTAGTCAGTTTTGGCTTAGGTTGACATACGTGCTATCATGACATGCATGTGCATGCACGTGTGTTTGCAATCCTATGTTTATAGCCGCATGAAACACACCTAAAGGAGATCGTAACCACTATTGTCTTGCTTCAGTTCATGCAAAGCACAGAGAATGGTCGTAAATGTTTCTTGACTCACTTGTATGGCTTTGTATCCATATGTAGGTTACTCTCCCGGCCGGCCGGCACAAAATCATAATTCTTGACGAGGCGGACAGCATGACGGATGGAGCGCAGCAAGCGCTGCGGCGAATCATGGAGATCTACAGCAAGTCGACACGTTTCGCTCTGGCGTGTAACACGTCGGACAAGATCATCGAACCCATCCAGTCGCGCTGTGCCATGCTGAGATATGGCAAGCTGTCCGATGCTGAGGTATGCGTGCATTGATTGTGGACATGTGTTGCACTTAATACGCTAATATATATTCAAGTCGTTCCATTTTCACGTCATGAGCCCTGGAATCAATTCGGAATCCATTCACCCTATTCTCATGGGGTGATGGGAATAGCGCGAATCGATTCATGAATCGATTCGCGGGCATAATCGAACGCACTCACTGGCAATGACGTTCCCTTTCTGTACAGTGCACAGTGTTCATGGTTATGATAGGTGAAATCCGACCCGACGTGCCCATTTGGCATTCTAAATTTGCGCGGGTCCTGACTCCCTGGAATTGGTGCGAATGTTGCTGGGCACACACACACACACACACACACACACACACACACACACACACACACACACACGTACAACTACAGTGATGTAATGGGAACGGGTCCAGGCCGGGCGCCAGTGTTGTACGTTGGGTTGAATTTCACCTAGCACATCTGTAGTGTAGCTTGCATACCGTCATGTACAGCAAACACAGCATCACTCCTACATGTAGGTGGGAGTCCCTTTTATGCCCAGTGTTCTTACTGCCAGTAAGAGTCCATAAACTGTGATTCGGGGTCAGTTCGCGGCACGCTGCCTTCATTACGTAACATCACACACCTTGCACTCAAATTCCGAATCTCTCATCCGTTGTTTGCTCAATTCGTTCGAGTGTGTACCCGATCTCCAAGCTGTGGGTGCGTAAATTCCAAGTTGCATACGACGACAGTTCATTTCACATCCTAGGAAATGTGTGATGTTTGAGTTTAGGCAGTGCACAGATTGTAGCACTTGACCCTGGCCCATAGAGAAGAGATCACAGTTGCATACAGTACTCGTGTTAATGGACTCTTGCTGCTAGTAAGCACAGTGAAACTTCAGCATAAAGTACCCTGGATATAGCATGCTTTTCTCTTTGTATCGGGTATAAAGTACTTTTTTGATTACCCTCCTGACCCCATTCCAGTCACTGGACCAAGGATAACATTGTACAGTACCACGGCTATAAAGTACCGATTTTGTTGTCCCCTGTAGATACTTTATGCTGAAGTTTCACTGTATAGTGGATATAAAACAATTTTGAAGTAGGTTATCTACACTACAGTACAGAATCTCACCATGCAAATACTATACTTGTAAAAGCTGGGAATGTCAGCCCAGATGTCATGTTTTTTTGTTTGTTTTTAACTTTTTTTTGTTTTTACTATTTGTGTGTTTTGCTGTTTTTACTCTTCACTGCACAGCTGCTCACGCGCCTGGTCGAGGTGTGCAATGCCGAGAACACGCCGCGCACGGATGACGGACTTGAAGCGCTGGTCTTCACTGCGCAGGGAGACATGCGGCAGGCGCTAAACAACCTGCAATCAACGTACTCTGGGTTCAGTCTTGTCAACAGCGAAAATGTGTTCAAGGTGCGTTTAATAGTACAGATTGTTGCATGTCAGACTCCACAGCCCAGTCAAATAGATTCATTCAATTTGACTGGGCTGTGGTTATTTGCGCTGCCCTCTGTTACGCTCATCCCACTCTATTGATATAGCAACTGTGTAGGTGGTGTTCAGGCACCTTTATATAGTGCGAGTTTTGGTCCATTGCCCTACTGGTGTGAACATTGAAATCCGTTGAGAAGTCAAGCGACCACAGGGCGCTGGCCGTGCAGTCGTGAGCACTTCTGGTCCATTTTGCAGTGTGAACGCGAACAACAGTGTGTGTGCACACTAAGGCAGTAAGGGCATTGGCCCCCGGTCTTTCCACCGGATTTCAATGTCCACAACAGTAGTAGGCAGGGCAGGCATACTGATGGTATTCTTCGCTCATCTACTGTTACTGTGGGTGATCTTTGCTGTGCTGTAGGTCTGTGATGAGCCACATCCACTTCTTGTTCGCAAGATGCTTCAGCACTGTGCTGATTGCCAGCTGGACGAAGCGTACCAGATCATGAGTCACCTTTGGCACCTGGGATATTCCCCTATCGACATCATCACGAATTTGTTCCGTGTTGTCAAAACCATGAGCCTTGCCGAATATCTGAAGTTGGAGTTTATCAAAGAGATTGGTCAGACTCATCTTCGCATCTCAGAAGGCGTCAACTCTCTTTTGCAGATGAGCGGTCTTCTGGCTCGTCTTTGTCAGAAAACACAACCGTCGCCAGCGGCCACCTCTTGATTCTGCAGCCAGTTTCGCTGGTCCTTGCCCTGCTCCCGCTGTGAATAGCTTCAGAATGTACATAGTTGTTTAATTATATTGCTGTTCTTGACTTTTCCGCACGAAACTCACACTAAAAAACAGTCCCTCCATGAACACATTTAGAAAAGATTGTCTGCTTCTCTTTGTCTGTCCACATGAAACAATCCTTTTGTAAGTTGGCGAATGCCTCTCCATTGCTTATCATTCTGCTGGGTTTCTTGTTTATTTTTTCATGCATGGTTTTAGATGAAACTCGGATGTTCTCATACATATTTTTTTATTCCTTCCTTGCCTCCTAATCCTCTTCTCTCTCTTTTTTTTTTAAGACCATGGATATTATCTGCCTCCGGCACTCTGTTTTCAAATCTAAAATTTAATGGCCTTGCTTCAAGGTCCATTGCTGAGGACTTTCTATTTCCACATCCATTGTTGTTGTCTGCTTTGAGATGAGACAATTAGTACACGTACTGTTCAAAGTCTACAAACCCTGTAGCTCTATTCGCTGTAAGTTGGCGGTCAAGGTTTAGTTTTTGAAATGTTACAACAGTAGACAGGGGCTGCTGGGCATATGTATCAGTATGAGTATATTGGTACTTATTGACCTTGACATTGGAAATGACCTTGAGAAAGATGGTTGTAAACTACTAGTATTATAAAGGAGAGAGATGCTATATGGACTTGATGAAGTCTGTGAAACATAACGCTATACTATATTGGCATCCTAACAAACAAGGCATTCGCTTCATAAAGAACGGGTTATTCAGGGACCTTCTCGGTGAAACTCAAGGCCAGTGGAGCAGGTGAAAAATGCCAGAACACACCGGAGGGTCACAGTCGTTAGTGTGTGGATATAAGCTGCATGCAGAGCACTAATTCAAGGTAGAATAAGCAATGGCCAGCTCAACATGCAGGTGGAGGCCATGCACCCGGAACTCCATGCGTGATGGGTTTTCAAAAAAAAATTACTTGTCAAGTACTTCAAACAAAAACATGACATTGAAACAATTGTTCAACGCTAAGGTTTTGCCCACATCAAGGGCCTCTCACTCGTTATCCATTGTTCTAGATGACAGTAAGTGGATGGCACGTGTAGTTGCATGATGCTGTCCTCGGGTTGACGTTGCAATATCACCCATCAACTTGGCAGCCACATCTTACAAGACGGCATTGTGGCAAAACGAGGATGATAGACTTTGCCCACGTTGTACACACAGTGTACTACGGGAGTAGAATTTGTGCACGAAGCAGATGAGGTGGTCTGATCATATTTCAGAGTGTCCGGTTTCATAGGGCAGCTGCCCTGAGCCTCAGCCTTACTCCAGGTGGGTCCACGGTTGTCGACACATAGGGCACTGCTGTGCGCCCTGCTGCGAGCTAAGCCACTTCATTATGCAGTGCATGTGAAAGCAATGCTTGCAGCCGCCCCACACTGTTCACACAGCACAATAGACAAAAGAAAGAACAAGACCACAGTAAGATGCCAGAGCCTAGACGGGTAGAGTGATCATACTGTGTCACATTAATGTGGTCTCATGATAGCACACACAGGGAATTCCCCAACTGCCGAGCAAAAAGCTAGCGATGCCCTCACATGGGTGGTTTCTGCACTCCAAATAGGGGCCGGGAGGCAATGACAGTGGCCTAACTTAGCTCCAGTCAGCCCTGGTGCCAGAAAGAGGCCACATGCACACAGCGGTCACCATAAGCGTACAAAACCCACCACAAAAATAGTTTGAACAAAATCCGGCAACAGGATGGTCTATTGGAGAGTGACTTCTTGGTGTCTGGAGCGGGTTGATGGACCAGTAATGGTCTTTCGACGATACCCATGCGACGCTGCCTCTTACTGCGGGGGATGACGCTAGTTGCGTACAGTTACAATCCACACATGTCATAAATCGCAGACTATAATTGTAGACAAGCACAGCGCCCATAAAAAATAAAGTTGGCGATGCTACGCAGATTCTCCATTGCTGAAACAAATACAACAGGAAGGACGAATGGAACTACTTACTACAAGTAGTCCTTCAGGAGCAGTTTCGCAAATATTTGTTTTAAATTACGGGAAGAACATACACAATGAATGCTAGTGATTTTGACAAATTACAGGCCTACGCATCGCGCTGGCTCACATATGCGGATGATACAAGAGTAGCCTGGAGAGGCCCTCATGTCAACAATGAGCACCGGTAATATGTGAACCAAGCCGTACGCACTACTCAAGACCAGGGTGAAAGGGAAAAACCCACAGTAATTTGAAATATCTACAAATCAGGGGCGTAGCAGCCGGTCCGGCCAAATTGGCCAGACCACTTTTTTTTAACACAATGCCAAAAGTGCCCAGAATGCAGTATTTTGCACCCTAAATTTCAAATTTTTCCCAGTGCAAACCCCCATCCGGCCGTACCACCTCCAACGGCGGTGCTACGCGCCTGCAAATACGAGTAGTACATGCATGACATGTGTACTTGTACACATACTGGAGTGCACTGATCAGCTTTTACAGACTGTTGTCCATTTCCACAAAGGCATGCACATCGCAGTGCACAGTGTAACAGAATACCCATAGGACGAGGTTTGGTTTACGTGAAAGAAAACTGAGACCGGATTACATGCCCTATTCTGGACAAATTTCCGCTAACATGAAATTCTGATAACATAAGAAACAGCTCCTGGTCCCCAAACATCCATGATACATGGTTTACACTGCTGTCTGCACTAGTGTGTTCATGTGAACTCAAACTCACTGAGCGGGCAGTTATCGCCGGGTTCCTTGCATCGCGGGCAAGTGCCGTCGAAGAGATTCCGGCAGATTCCACAGTGCTCGTCATCACCAGTATTCCAGCGCCACACCGCCACTGCCTTCCAGCTAGAGGAGCAGCAGACAACAGCAATGTACTGCATGTAGTAGCTGGCAGCATGCATGTCATGCACAGCCCACCCAATCATCAGTCTTACCCTGCATTGGAGAAAAGAAGGAAAAAGCAACAGAAGAAACTGTCAGAACTGAAGGACACCAGAGAAGAGAAGAGACTACGAAATACTAGTACTGATAATGTCTGTCTATACCACTTCAATAAAACTGTCAACGGTACCATTCGGCTGTTTAATAATACAACAAACTAACTCTCCTCCTCCATGCGCTCTAAAGCCGACCATTGCTACCATTTTTACCCGCGACTTCTTCGTTGTTTGAAATTATTGGTGCGAGTAATGGCTACCGAGCGTAGAAATGGTCGGCTTTAGAGCGCTTGGAGGAGGAGAGTTAGTTTGTTGTATTATACATGTACCACTTCAATTCCTTCAATAGTGTTAGAGCACTCTCATGTGGGTTAGTCCCATCACCAGTGTGGGTAGCTTGGGTCATTGACTTGCCGGATCGAGCCCCTTGGCAAGGAATCTGCTGACCTGGTGTAATTTTGTATGGGAACTATTTTGCTGACTTTCATGCAAGTCATAAAGTTGTTTAAAAGAAATATTTTTTAATACCATTGTTTTCTGGTGTGGCCTCGTGTGTGTGTGTGTGTGTGTGTGTGCGCGCGCGCGTGTGTGTTGTGCCCACAAGTCCACAAAGGGCACTGCAGTACCTTTCCAGATCTAGTAATCAGATCAGTGTATGTGTGTATGTGGTGGCACTATTGTACAGTGTCTACAAAAGCTGGGAGAGGACAATTGCCTCATTGCTAGAGTTGTGTTGGGCGAAAGTGGTGCCTACTACAGCTAGCATCACAAGTACTAGGACATGGAGAGTACTGTCAGCTTACTTTTAACCTGGACCTCCATGGCACGTGGACAAGAAGTGCTCCAGTTATCACAGGACTCGATCAGCGTTGTAATACTACAGGCCAACGCACTGCATGTACACAACTATCGAAAGAAATTCTCAAAAGGAGAAATGACTAGTACTGCTCTAAATGTCTCCGCCTTTAGACCAGGCTGCGATCCTCATTTATACCTCGGGTATTTATCCAGAAAGCTTGCAATTGCCGCGCGGCATTCCATTTGTAATGTGCAAGGAAAGACAACAAACATACCTCAAGAACATCTGCATCTGCTGAAGGTACAGTCATGCACCTTTTCTTGATGATCGTGGTTTTCAAAATACATGTACAGTGTACAAAAAAGCTGCAGCATTATTATTTCGACCATTCCCGCCACAAATCAGTATTATTAATTTTATTAATATTTTTATTTTTTTGCCAACGTGTCATGTCATTCTGATCTGCACATCATTCAAAATAATTCAAACATATTCCAATAAACCATGTCCTGATTTGTTTTGAGTCTGTTGTCAGTGTTGACTTCATGGACGCCATGAAAGGCTACACCTACCTCAGCTACAGTGTGTAGTTACAGCCGTCATCTTGTTCTAGTTGTGCAGCGTCTCTCTCGCTCTCCGGAAATGCTGGTGGTATGATAAGCATCTAGAGATTAGCGTGAACGAAAGACTGGTAGCTATGGTGCATAAGTGCACCTTGTGGCAAATGTCACCATTGCAAGCAGCACGTCACTCATAGATCAACACCTTGCTTCCTGAAAGAAGAAAAGATGTCTCGCAGGTCTGTCCGTGGACAGTCTTCTGCTCCCCTAGTGGAGAAAGCAAAAGGTAAATGGAGACCTTACTACTGAAGAGCAGTGCCATCAAAGATTACATAATGCAGATGTAAATTCACTTTTTTGAGGGAGCTGAAAAGTGAAGAAGTGTAGTGAAAAGTTGATGTAGTGAATCTATTAGAATCCCAGTGTTAGGAACTATGAGCTAATAGGGAGGTTTAGTCCCACGTAATCCGTGGGTACTTTACGTGTGTGTACCACGTGATACTCAGTGACCCACGTACAGACGTTTTCTGATTCACGACATACCGTGTATGGAGGCTGAAGTTTCCGAAGCACGAAATCAAAATATTGGATGAGCTTCTTACGCCCGGGTAGCTTCGTCTTTGACCAGGTTTGGGCCTTTCGCTTTATGCTTTTGTTTGTTCCGTGTGACTAAACACAACATTGCAACGTGGATGCCCTTCATCCACTTTACGTGGATCACCCACGTACGCGTTTCCGTTACGTGGGAACTAAACCTCCCTACTATTAATTTTGACTAACCCCAGTGTCTATTCAAACGAAGCAGAAACCCCATTCATGACTACCTGTATGTCAGCAACCGTGCTTGCTGTGATGTCCTGTTTGAGTGATTCAACGTTATGCAGACAATATGTATTAAAAGTAAAGTTCGCACAGCCGCTTTACCACCGGCTACATGATTGTGTTAAGAAACACAGCCAGCTTTAGAGAAGTTTCGCTCGTGCCAGGCCAATACACAGCTGTTATATAATGTAAAAGTCGCTGTGTTTATACCGAATGTACATTTGAAAACGTCTTCTCTCTCCCAAATGCAACATGCCAGGACATGAATGTACAGTGTCAGTCAGTCCATGTGACCAATGCACAATGTAGCTCAGGATAAAACATGAAATATAAAAGCCGCTCTTGAGTATTAGAACAGGCAACGTGGAACTCTACCTTGTTGATATGTTTGTGATATAACGTGCAAATAGTTTTATCCACTGCTATATTGAGTATTAGGCTGATGGTTTAGATACATCAAACAACACATACGTCCTATTTGAATAGCGGGGAGGTGTGGTATGCACACAATTCACCTCTTTTCTTGTTATACATGCTCTTTTGGTCTCGGTAGTCCAATACCCAAAGCACACGGTTTTCTCTGACATGGAGTCACCTCTCAATGCGGTCAGTACATGCAAGGATGGAGGCAAGGTTGTCGTAGCTGGACGTAATGGTGAGGGCGAATTTTACCTGTGTGTGTGTGTGTGCGTGTGCATGTGTGTATGTGTGTGCATGTGTGTGTGTGTGTGTGTGTGTGCGTGTGCATGTGTGTGTGTGTGTGTGTGTATGTATGCATGCATGTGACATGTGGGGAGGCATATATTTACCGCCATTCTGTCCGGTGTGTTGTTACCACCATTTCTCTGCTACACAGTATTTTGATGCTGCATTGGAGACTTCACATCATCATGCTGTGTATCGCTGCATTTCCTCAAGCAATGACCTCAGCAGTGCATCTGTAGGCAGGAGGCTTCATCTTTGTCCTCAAAATCACCAATGGCCTTTTTTTCAATAACCTCATCAGAATCAAGTAGGGGTGTCATCGGGTAGTAGGGCACCCGTGCTACCCGTAATTAGAGCGGGTATTCGGGTAGCAGTTTGCTCCTGAGAACCTGATTGGGTAGTTGGAGTATGGTGTTTTCGCATCGGTGCAGTAAAAAGCATGGCTACGTGCTTACTGTACACTTTCTATGTGGTGCAAGTGCACACTCACTGTACAAACTAATTTAAAGGGGAAGTGCATCGATTTTTCAAGTAGGGCTCAGATGAAAGACAAGTGGATATCGGTTCCGATGGTATATCTCTCGCTTGCGTACGGCAAGGGAAACTTGCCATATCGCCGATTTCCTGATCCCGTTTCCATGGCGACTACAGGTGATGACGCACATTCTGCTTAGCTCCGTGAGAGAGAAGGTCGATCACTGAAGAATTGTGTCATTTTCAGTTGTCTTCTTGTATTCACGAAGTGAAAGAAGTACTGTGTTCAAGGCTGTTAGTGCCGTGAACTGTTTATTAGTAGTCCTCTCCGTTGTATACTGGGACGTGACACCGACAGGGGAAAGCTGGAGTGCGGAGACGTTAGCTGGCAAGCGAAAATCGTGACGAACCAAGTGCTAAAATCTTGGTTGGGACAAATCAAACGTTCAGCATTTACCTCAACCAAGGACCATGCCGTTTGCTCTTTCCACTTCCTGAAGATGGATGCGCTGCCTGCTGGAGACTCTCCTATCTCTCGTAACATCTTCTGAAGCCAGGTGAGACGACGAGTAGCGGAGATTAGCGAATAAAATAATGTATGTTTTGAAATTTTTGCTGAACATTTCTCAGGAGAGATGGCGAATACCAAGCATCTTCTCCAAGTCTAGAGAAACCATTTCCTGAGAAATGTTCAGCAAAAATTTCAAAACATACGACATTATTTCGTTCGCTAATCTCCGCTACTCGTAGTATCACCTGGCTTCAGAAGATGTTACAAGAGATAGGAGAGTCTCCAGCAGGCAGCGCATCCATCTTCAGGAAGTGGAAAGAGCAAACGGCATGGTCCTTGGTTGAGGTAAATGCTGAACGTTTGATTTGTCCCAACCAAGATTTCAGCACTTGGTTCGTCACGATTTTCGCTTGTCAGCTAACGTCTCCGCACTCCAGCTTTCCCCTGTCGGTGTTACGTCCCAGTACACAACGGAGAGGACTACTAATAAACAGTTCACGGCACTAACAGCCTTGAACACAGTACTTCTTTCACTTCGTGAATACAAGAAGACAACTGAAAATGACACAATTCTGCAGTGATCGACCTTCTCTCTCACGGAGCTAAGCAGAATGTGCGACATCACCTGTAGTCGCCATGGAAACGGGATCAGGAAATTGGCGATATGGCAAGTTTCCCTTGCCGTACGCAATCGAGAGATATACCATCGGAACCGATATCCAATTGTCTTTCATCTGAGCCCTACTTGAAAAATCGATGCACTTCCCCTTTAAAAAAAATACCGGATAGAGTACCCGTCCTACCCGGATAGAAATACCCGAACTCGTTACCCAACCAAACCCCTACCCGTTGCAGCCCTAGAATCAAGGCATTCGAGCTGACAAGTTCGTTCCCATAACTCTGCAAAACACTCAACACCGTTTTCATATCAATTTTAGCAACGTTTCGGCATTTCACCATCATCAACAAGCTAGGCAAAGGAATCAATGTCGAAAAAGAGCAGTAAGCGGGTGGCCTATTTTCTAATTATTATTATTATTATTAAACTCAATCTCGTAGCATGTGCACGCATTGCTAATGCGGGGAGCAACCCCAGAGATGAGGGCGATAACCAGCCATGGTAAAAGTACAAAAGAAATCAAGAAAACAGTGGAAAGAAAGGAACAGGGAGGAAAACAAAGCTCAGCCAAGAAAGGAACAGGGAGGAAAACAAAGCTCAGCAAATTAAGTGAGATAGCCGGAAATTACATTGTTTAGCTAAACACGCGTGAGTGCTGCAGGAAAACGCAACTCAGTACAAACAACTTGGCGAAACTGAGACATTCTGTGGCAGTGGTGGGCGAGGCTTGATAGCTTGAGCCAGTCAGAATAGGAATGAAACAAAGGGGATTTTGTAAACTGGACAGTGCGAGCTGCAGGTAGCGAGACTTGTGCCCTTGTTGAACAAATTTACTTTGAAGTTATCCGTGAAGTCCAAATTCGAGATTAGAACCAATGTCATCATGGTAATGTCTGTGTGCATTGTTTGCTGCTGTGCTGGTGTACAGTTTTTAAAGTTATGAGCATCACTCCCAGTGGATTTGAAGAAGTTCATAACCTGCGCGTTGGACGAGTGAACCTGAATTTCAGTCATACCGATGTACAGTGGCATCCAATTACTGGTGAGTACCTGTCGTAAGTGCCTCATGGCCCCAAGCCGCAGCAATATGAGTTCCTGCCAGCCCGAGTACCCATCGAAACAGCCGGGCAAAGTTCGTGTAGTGAATGGAGAAACGAAGTGTTCTGTGCATGGTCTTGTAGTCCGAGCACTGTGGCAAGGTACAAGAAAAGCCTATCAAGGTGATCACTCTGATACAACGATCACCGGTCACAAAGGGCCACTTCTACCAGGACCGTGGTGTGTCCTTTCCGGTTAAATAACCCTGGATATTAAAGGGGACCACAGTTTGGCATTCCCTTGATCGGTGGGCTATTAGAGCCAGATGTCAGTGGACGCTTTGAAATCAGTACTGTCCGCAGATTGAGCTAAGTGTATGTCATGTGCACTTGCATGCAAAGCCTCCCTTTGATAATGTTTAACTAGTGTGCCTAGCGTCTCTATAGTACGTGCCATTGCCTATGAGTGCAGTGTACTAGCCAGGGAGTCGTACTCAAACTAGGGAGGTGACACGGCACAGAAATCCGTGTCACAGGGGTTGACTCGCACCCGTGACCCCTCGTTGTTATTTTTGGAATAGTTCAGTCCAGTCCAGTCCGAAAGGTCATACTCGGATCGACTCGCCTTCTGTACTTCACCTCCAAGCGTGCCGCATGGGTGTCTAGTTTTTGAAATTATTGAGGCAGCACATTTCGTTTACAGCCCATCACTCGCCAGTATTCTTTGAAAGACTACCAGCAATTTTTTTAGCTCCTGCCATGTCCGAACTACTTGATAGCAGTGATGGCAACAGCAGCAGTTATGAAACGGCGTGTAGTGTTGCGGTAACTGTTCAGAACTTTTCAGAGTCGTATCCTAGGTTAATCCGAATACTAAAAATTGACCCAAATTGCACATAACACGAAGCTGGTTTTTGAAAATTGTAAGTCGTGTATCTGCCCCATTTCTTCTTTATGACTTGCACAATACACCAGTCTTCCTAAACAACACATTTATAGCAGGGGTTAAGTACCATATAAGAGAAGTACAGCCAGTGATATTGTCATGTTGAAATACTACAATTTTGACACAAATTACACATAACACGAAGCCAGGTTTTGAAAATTGTAAGTCGTTTATCTGCCCCATTTCTTCTTTATGACTCGCACAATGGTCCAGTCTGCCTAAATAACACATTTATAGCAGGGGTTATGTACCATATTAGAGAAGTACAGCCAATGATATTGTCATGTCTAAATACTACAATTTTGACACAAATTACACATAACACGAAGCTGGTTTTTGAAAATTGTAAGTCGTGTATCTGCCCCATTTCTTCTTTATGACTTGCACAATACACCAGTCTTCCTAAACAACACATTTATAGCAGGGGTTAAGTACCATATAAGAGAAGTACAGCCAGTGATATTGTCATGTCTAAATACTACAATTTTGACACAAATTACACATAACACGAAGCCAGGTTTTGAAAATTGTAAGTCGTGTATCTGCCCCATTTCTTCTTTATGACTTGCACAATGGTCCAGTCTGCCTAAATAACACATTTATAGCAGGGGTTATGTACCATATTAGAGAAGTACAGCCAATGATATTGCCATGTCTAAATACTACAATTTTGACACAAATTACACATAACACGAAGCTGGTTTTTGAAAATTGTAAGTCGTGTATCTGCCCCATTTCTTCTTTATGACTTGCACAATACACCAGTCTTCCTAAATAACACATTTATAGCAGGGGTTAAGTACCATACAAGAGAGCTACATTGTACATCTAGTCATACTGTCATAAACAGCCAGCATTTTTCCTGCAGCAGTCACACCACCATCATCATTATTTCCAGGGAAATCCTCTTACATTGTCAGCTCCTACGTCGTTAGATACAATAGGGGGCTGTAGGACCGGCTCGTCAAAAATAGAGAACCTGAACAAGCGTGCTCGGGACGTCTGAGCAATCGTAGTATGCCTGAGCACTCCAATAAAAACTTGATCAATGGCAAAATCGTTCGCCACAGAAAAATCATACTTTGCGGGTCTTGCGTTGCACGCTTGGAGGTGAAGTACAGAAGGCGAGTCGATCCGAGTATGACCTTTCGGACTGGACTGGACTGAACTATTCCAAAAATAACAACGAGGGGTCACGGGTGCGAGTCAACCCCTGTGACACGGATTTCTGTGCCGTGTCACCTCCCTAGTTTGAGTACGACTCCCTGGTACTAGCTTAGCTCCTCGGTGCTGTACTTTTGTTCTTTTGTTAAGCATCTTGTGGTTTTTTTGTAATTCCACATTGGCAGATGAGCTATTGGCGACGGCTGCAACTAATGGTGCTGTAGTCTTGTGGGATCTGACTCGTCAGTCTAAGAACAAGCAGGGTGAGTGCACGTACATGTACACACTGTACACTGTTTTATTGTTTTCTGCTGCACATTCCAATTACAGTGCCGATCAATGAAGTCCGATTGCGCGAGTCATCTTAGCACTGGGCGTTGTGCAGCCCCAAGCTTGTTGACACTGGGCTGTGTGCACTGGTGCAGGACGTTAACGTATTCATGAGACCAGACGTGGATGAGCAGCGCTGTTGCTGTGCAAACCCTGGGGCGATTTTCTATTTTCACAGTACCCCAGGTTGCCCTGCGCTATATATTGTATGCTGAATTTGAAATGGGCCTAGCTGCATAGTATCACACCACTTTTGGCATATTCCTCTCCCCTCTATTAATTCTGTTCCTATGGTAGTTCAACATCATTTTTGATGAAGGCATTTACCGTATTTTCCAGAGCATAAGCCGCACCCCCCCCCCCCCATTTTTGCCACGAAATACACATCTACCCTATTTATAACTCGGATGTTGAGCCATAAATAAATGTAGAAGAGAAAAGGACATATGGATACGAGTTAAGAGTAACTCTCCATCACTGTAACATGATACTATATACAGTCAGAAAGTGCAATAACTAGGCACAAAACTGACAGAGTACTGAGACATTTGACGTCCTGACACCTAGCTTCAACACATCTCCGTAGCGCTAACCGACAGCCTTCCAACTTGGAAGGTTCAAGGTTATGGAAAGACCAAAGAGGGGAAGGCAAGCGCAACGAAAACGAGCAAAAGCTACAGTCCCAACGGAACAAAGAATGTCGATTGTTACTGGACGATGACGAGACCAGTACAATATTTGACAAAGCGGTCTAACTACAATTCGAAGCAGCAAAGCAGCACACCACCCAACTTGGGTGGGTCATAAATATCAAAGATACGGAGATGTGTTGCGCTACGGAGATGTGTTGAAGCTAGGTGTCAGGACGTCGAATGTCTCAGTACTCTGTCAGTTTTGTGCCTAGTTATTGCACTTTCTGACTGTATATAGTATCATGTTACAGTGATGGAGAGTTACTCTTAACTCGTATCCATATGTCCTTTTCTCTTCTACCCTATTTATCATCGTTAATTTGATCATCGGAGTTTAAGCCGCACCCCATTGTCTTGGGTGAATTTTGAGTGTTCAAAGTGCGGCTTATACTCCGGAAAATACGGTACTTCTCGAAACCTGTTTTAAAGGGGAAGTTAAGGCAAAAATTAAAATTTCACCAGTTGTAGTCTTCGGGGTGCTGAGTCGAATGGTCTTGGTCCGAGGAAGCTGAGACGCTCCCTTCCTACTTGAATCCCAATCGAACTCGCGCACTTTCACCGAAACTGGGTGACTGCGCCCTACGAGATGGGGATTTGTATGCAAAATGTCACTAAAAGCGCCATTTTGTTCTTATAAAAGCACGGATGACCGCGATTGGCCCATATGTTGTAGTCTTTTGGACGCTGAGTCGACTGGTTTTGGTCCGAAAAGGCTGCGATGTAGCGTTCCTCCTTTATTCCCAATCGAACATGGTTGAACAAGCGGTCACGTGCTCCTGCGTACACCAGTCACCTGGTCACCGTGCCTGCAGGGTACAACTTACTAGCCTGTTTGACCTTTTTTGGGTGCAGTCCTGTCACTCGAGTTGAACTCGAGTTGAACCTTGGTGTGAAATTTGTCGCCTGCTGGCGTGGTGACCAGGTGATTTGGGCACCCAGGAGCACGTGACCGCTTGTTCAACCATGTTCGATTGGGAATAAAGGAGGAACGCTGCATCGCAGCCTTTTCGGACCAAAACCAGTCGACTCAGCGTCCAAAAGACTACAACATATGGGCCAATCGCGGCCATCCGTGCTTTTATAAGAACGAAATGGCGCTTTTAGTGACATTTTGCATACAAATCCCCATCTCGTAGGGCGCAGTCACCCAGTTTCGGTGGAAGTGCGCGAGTTCGATTGGGATTCAAGTAGGAAGGGATCGTCTCAGCTTTCTCGGACCAAGACCATTCGACTCAGCACCCCGAAGACTACAACTGGTGAAATTTTGATTTTTGCCTTAACTTCCCCTTTAATATCAGTGTCTGTCTCGGGTGTTCCTCCTTTCGTACGTTTCATCCTCTTTTTGTCTCTCCTCACAGCCCATCTGTTTAATGATCATAAGCGCACTGTCAACAAGGTCTGCTTTCATACTGACGGAAACGGCTTGCTTAGTGGCTCTCAGGATGGCACAATCAAATCCTTTGTAAGTTCCCTCATTTTACGAGATGGAAATGTGCCCGGTGGTTTTCATATGTCCAAAGTTCCATACCAAAGTTCCATACTACTTGTAATGCCTACTAATGCCAATGGGTAAAACACCCGGATGAGGGTGTTAGCCTTATGCAAACAAGGAAAGTTATTGCACGATCAGGGAAGCATCTAAGGAGCTTAACATGAATAGACATGATTGTTATGGAGACTCTTCTACAATACTCACTCTCCGAGATCCTCTCCAGCTGAGTGTGCGGCTTGCAACTCTCGACGTGGACATATCTCCAGACCATTCATGACCATGTGTATGTATTGGAGTCTGGGTTACTTCAATTACAATAGTAGGTGTATGTGCATGTACAACTGTCAATGAATGTTGCTATTTTCAGATTGTACTGTTGGCTTTTGTACACTTGCATTGCTAGTTTAGTTCACAATGAATAGTGTGATTGTTGCTGCTGCTGCTGCTTTTGCTGCTGCTGCTGCTGCTTTTGCTGCTGCTGCTGCTGCTGTCTGTCTATCTGTCTGTCTGTCTGTTTGTCTGTTTGTCTGTCTGTTCTGTGCAGGACATCCGAACACCCCCAAAAGCGTTGCAGACGTTTGACTGCAAGACTGAGAGTGTTCGTGATGTTCAGGTAAGCCCGCTGCCATGGGGATTGAGATCCAGTTTGCACCTAGTGTCTCACACAACGTGTATGTCTAGTCTGAGATCCAGGTTCCTGGCAGTGTCCCAAAGTGTATGTCACGTCTGAGATTCAGGTTGCTTGTAGTGTCCCAAAGTGTATGTCAGGTCTGAGATTCGGGTTGCTTGTAGTGTCCCACACGAAGTGTATGCGAGGTTACTTGTTTGTCAGTTGTAACAGTAACATTTGAATGATGTGTCCTTGATGTTTTCACACTGCCTGCAGGTCAACCCGCATTCGGCACATCACTTTGCCGCAGCACTGGAGAATGGTTGCGTGCAGGTAAGCAGACACATGTACATGGACGTAATCATTGTATTGGAAGTATGACTCATCTGGCCCGCTGACACCCAAGCTCCCAGCGATGTCAGCCCTGATATAGCTGTTGGATGATGCTGAGTCAATCAGTGCCACTGCATCATACGTCTGGTCTTGGTGTTGCAGCTTGACTGGCACAGTCATGAATGCAACGTGGACCCCGGTGTTACGGTGCAGGTGGTTGCTGTGGCCGTTGCTGCTGCGTCGGACGGACGCTGTGAGTTCTCAAGTGATCCACCGCCTCGCTGTGGACTGTCCCGTTTGGGTGTCCTGTTCTTGCGCATCACGTGATGCTTGCCTGGGCACTTGCTGCAGCCCACGGCCTGGCACTGCGCCTTCCAGTGGCCTGCAGAAAGACAGCAGGTGTACAGGTTGAGCGTATACGCTATGTCCCAGCGCCGCTTGATTGGGAGGTCTTTAATTAAAAGCACAGCAGCTGGCCAGGTAGTGGTTGCCCGAACACTTTGGGCACTGCGACTGTCTGGCCGACTTCAACTGGCTCTTGTCCTGTGTGTGAAGGGCAGTGGCGGACTTTGCTGTTGCTCTGGCGGGAGCTACGAGCGTTGCTGCATCTGCCCTCGCAGTCAGCCACTTTGAGAAGTCGTCTAGACTGAGTGAGTCGCCACTAAGGCCCATGGCTGCCATGTTCTCACCCCAGTGTAGCTGGAGTTGAGTGGGAAGCTTCTCTACTAACTCTTGGCGCAAGGCCGGGTTTGTCATGTGGCCTGTGCTGTTCAGTAGCTGCATGGTGGCGATTACATTGCTCACTGCGGTGTTGAATGCGAGGAGAGACTCTGCGTCATCTGCTCGGACGGGTCGACATCCCTTCGCCTTTGCAATGAGCTCTTGCACAACGAGCTCAGGGCGGCCAAATCGCCGCTTGAGCGCCTGGATGACTTGTTCAACGTTATCTGGCAACGACAGCATCAGTTGCACCGCCTCCTTGGCTGTCCCCTTAAGGCATGCTTGCAGTCGCTGCACGTTTTCGGCGTTCGTAAATCCACAGAGAAAGCAGGTAGCTTGCTGTTTAGAGAATGTTGCCGTTCTGCGAGCTGTAGGAGGGACTTCCGGTCAAATGATGAAGCGTCACTACTTGTGGTGTGGCTACGCAAGGCCTGGGTCAACGCTGATCTGCTCGAGGCGCTTGTGGCTTGCTCCATGGCCAACTGCGCGAGTTCAAGATCTTTCTCCGCCAGCCTTCGTTCCGCCACTAGGGCAGCGCGCCTTGCGCTGTGCCGGGTTGATGCGGATCTCCCACTACTACGAGTGGTTCTCGTCGAGTCAGGCGACTGCGACGACTCTTTGTCTTCAAATCTGAGGCGTCTCGGAGGTTGCCCTTTCGTTCCTCTTTCGCTCCTACGCCTACGGTCAAGACTTTCTCCGTCTGCCATGCTCGATCCGGCTTGACGAAGGACCAGTTGTTCAGTCACGGAATATGGACTCCGAAGAAGACTATTTATTTCTGTTCTTCGTCACTGAACGGAAGACTCTAGTAGTATGCACACCTCATTGTGCATTGGCACGGACATACCAAATCTGCTGTCGTCCTCTCCAGGACAAAAACTTTTATCGACGATGTGAAATGGTACAGTGCTGGCAACTGAAATCCGACCCCCTGAGCGGTGCGCTCACATCGCAAAGACCCAACACGGGATGGTAAAACTACGATGCAGAGACCAATATAATGTGGACGCACCGCTAGCTGTGTTGCCACACCTGCCGACATGTCAGTAGCCTGCCGATTTTTTAGGCCTGTCACGACCTGCCGACAATTGACCGTCTCCTGCCGACAACAGCCGTGAAAGTGTCCAAATTTGACCTTTGTGCAAGGTTTAGAAGTCATGGTCCAGAATTTTGGCTTTTACTGCTCATTACGAGTGTTTCCATAGCTCTCTCCTACAATGCAAACATCAGCTGACTGGGGGAAATCGGCAAACTCACCCTGAGTCGTGTGCACTGTAGAATCCCGCTGGTGGGTTTGTACAACGAAGCTTGGCGATGTTCAACCTTGGCCTAGGCTTATGTGCGGGTGGGTTTATCCGCTGGATTCTACGGTATATTGGGGATACTATGAAGGGGGGGGGGGGGTCCGGGGGCAAAGCCCCCGGATGATGCATTTTATTTTTTCAGTCTACTGATATTTGGCTATAATGATGTGGCAACACTGCGCTAGGGGGTCGTATTTCAGTTGCCAGCACTGTACTACATGTACATGTGTAATAAAGGCACAGCTCATAGAGCGAACAGACCTACAGCCAATCAGCAACCAGTTCCTTATAAGGATACCATCTACCCTATGGGAAGTTAGTTCTGGGAACTAAGGAAACACTGAATCATCGTGTCAGCATATTTAGCATGTAATGTATGCAAGAACCGTCCGCAAGGAGCTTCTAGAAGCCAAACCTTTTAATATGATCAGCTGCACGAGCACAACAGACAAGCTACAGCATGGACGAAAGACATGGGGGTGCCTGCTCTAGAATGTCAGTTCAGCTCCAGGAGCCGGCAGGTATTGCATGCCGTGCATGTACTAGATTAATGCTACAGACAGTCGCATGTCGTAGACAGGTCCTAGATCCTAACAGTGTCTAGTCAGCAGCATCATGCTCACATGTGCCGGGTCTAGCAAACGGCAACCTACGGAATCTACTGGAACACGTCTCTTGTCTGTCATATTTGCCGCAGATCTGGGATACAAGGAACCCAGCACAATATGAGTCCTACATCACCGCACATCAGGGCCCGGTATTCACCTGTGATTGGCATCCACAGGAGCGACACTGGCTAGCTTCAGCAGGCCGAGACAAAGTGATCAAGGTACGCTGAGAACAAGTTTCGTGTGATGAAAGTGATAAATAATTATGGTTCTTTTGCGGAAAATTCTTTGTCGTATCAGTTTGACTTGAAGTTGTGAGTCATGCCCGGTCTTGGTTTTGTTTCTTGCGCACTCTGAGAACTGTATCTGCTTTGTAATGTTATGTTGTCTCTTTGTGCCAAGCAAATTCCCAGATATCAGCAGCTGAGTGTACGAGTGGTCCCGATTTGGCAAGCAATAGCTAGCTCATGCAGTCATAGGGGGTATTATGTACCCACTATCCTACTTGAAGTACATGTACACTGCTCAAGTGCCTGTTCACATCTTGCGTTTCACTGGCACAGGTATGGGACATGAGAGATCGTCACAGTCACCTTCCGCCGCAGGAGATACACGCCCTGCACACCATTGCATCTGTCGCTCGCATCAAGTGGCGTCCCGACAACCCGTATGAACTGGCCAGGTATGTACAAGTAGACATCCACTCAATGTCATGCCACCAACATATCAAGAGTCTAAAGCAAGATACATAATTATTGTATCTGCACCTGTTGTCACCTCATGTTTTCCTCATCCACGCTAAAGGGAGTTACCGGGAGTGTGTGAACTGGCCATCGAAATGTTTGCCATGCATGGATGTGTTGCTGGTGCTGATTATTCTGCATAGCAGGGCGGAGTTTAGCGAAATAGTCAATATGGCTGCCGAGTCCTGGCAGTACATATATGTTCAAGCTAGAATAGACTCAAGCCATCCTACTTCCCCATGCTTTGCAGTTGGTGAAATGTACGTAAAATGCACTGTGTCATGTGTTTCACCAGCCATTCGTGATTATGATTCCTGTGGTGGTGACTGTTGGTGTCTACAGCTGTGCTCTACTTCTGGATTTCAACATTCACGTATGGGACATCCGCCGGCCGTACATTCCCTTTGCGTCCTTCCAGGAACACAAGGATGTGGCTACGGGTATGTGTCTGACTCTGTAGCATACGTATGCTTTGAGTTACAGTGCAATATAACATACTCTGGGTATGAGATACATACATGTGCTCTAGGATACGATGTGCTATTTTCAACTATTTTGACGACTGTGCATTGTACTACACTAGCCATTTGACGTTGGATATACCAGTGCAGTATCAGCAGTACCTTGGCTATATTGAACATTTTAAAGGCAGTCCAATTCTCTGGGTGTTGCTGACGTCCATTTCACTTTTTTTCTCCTTTATTTCAACCTAAGCTTCATCGGCAGAAGAACAGCGTGTAGTTTGTTGATCCAATATCTAACATTGTTCTGATAAAGGATTGCAATGTTGATGACACCCTGGCTCTTTCTCAGCTAGAATCAGTGCCAGGAGGCGGCGCTTGGACTCCATGGTCTGTTGTTGACACTTGTGCCCAGATTCTTCTGTTTGGAAAATGTCCCATCAGCCGCCGCTTCTAATCACATCTGCAGTGCCAGCTAGCTGCAGTCGTGTGTATATGTGATTTCAATTTAATGAGGGTGTTGACATTGTCTATTGACTTGGATCATGTTAGATTGTAAATTGATGCATTGCTCTGGCCTGTCCTCTTGTGTTTCCTACATGTATTTCATGATACCAGGTATTGTGTGGCAGAAAGAAGCCAGCTATCTTGTGTCAGGAGCAAAGGACAACTTTCTCTACTTGCATCATCTGGACGATGCGCATCGCCCCACAGAATCTGCTGTAAGCTATATTGGAAATACTGCACATGTCCATGCTGTGTAGCTGCTTTGCATGCGCTATCTATTGGAATTGATTTGTGGCCATGCTACTTTTTCAGGTGTTTCACTGGTGTTTGTTCGCTTTTACGTCCTTGTGTGGATGTGCGCGGTGTATGCGTGCACGCATGAGTGTCTGTGTATGTGTGTGTGTATGTGTGTGTGTGTGTGTGTGTACACTTGTATTGTTATGTATCCGTGTAGCCTCCTCTTGGACTGGCACTGGGCTGCCGTGGTCACGTTTCTCTGGCTGTCAGCGATGAAATCAAGCGTGCACATTTCAGGTATACATATACTTCGACTTGAGTTCTATCACTTTTAAAACCATTATAATTATGTCGATGGATTATGTTCGTAGCTGGGATTGTCTGTTAAAGGAAATGAATGGTCTGATTGATATCTGCAGTGTGAATATTCTTTGCGTATGCTAGTGTTTCATTTGTCGCATCTGGGAACCATGTGGCACTGTCACTTAAATCTGACCTGTATATTGCCCCAACTCGAGTCCAGTATAGGTGCTGCATGTGTGCTGCTAGATGTTGCAATATGAAATTGAAGTAACAGCAAGATTACGATACTTCGTCACGGTGTCCACTGCAGCCAAACACCCATTCCTCCACCTCCGCCGCAGCGACCGTCCTACACACAGCCAGCCTTCTTCCGACACCTGACGCCGGCGCAAATTGCAGCGCCTTCCGTTGCCTCCGATCTCATGATGCACTTGCGACAGCTTCCGGCTACGCCTAATGATGTGGTACGAGTGTGTTTGTATTTGTAGTCGGATAGGAATTATGGCATTTTCATATTTCTGCTGACCATCTACTTCAAGTAGTCTGCAGTGTTCAGTTTTTTGGAGTTATACGTGAAATTGCGAGTTGTTCATGCTCGTGTCTGCTACTCTGAAACCAACAGGGGAATGATAGGAGGGAGCGAGGGAGGGAGAGAGAGAGAGAGAGAGAGAGAGAGAGAGAGAGAGAGAGGAGGGGGGGGGGGGGGGAGGGAGAGAGAGAAAGAAAGAAAGAGAGAAGAGAAAGCGAGAAGAGAGAGAGAAAGCCTGCTATGGGAGGATATGCAGCTGTGGCCTATTTCATTATTTATCGTGGTTCATTCAGTGTCTAGATGGCTGTGCTGCACCCGCGGAGGGGGTTTCCTGGTAATTCAATGTATGGAAACACCATTGGCTTTGCACCTGAATTGTGTATGTCCTAAATCATTTGACAACCTCTTGCTTACCCTGGTTATACCGTGCTGTACGCTACTGCAGAGTGACCTGGACTGGATGGACGTGTTTCAAGTGCTGGCTAAAGGCTACAAGCTCGATGGCTTACCGCTAACCCAGCTGTTTGAACACAACATGGAGGTGTGTACAAGTATACAGTCACGCACTATGTGCATGTGTGTGTGTGTGTGTGTGTGTGGGTGGGTGGGTGGGTGGGTGTGGGTGGGTGGGTGTGTGTGGGTGGGTGGGTGTGTGTGGGTGTGCGTGTGTGTGCGTGCGTGTCTGTGTGTGGGTGTGTCTGTGTGTGTGTGTGCTGCTGCTGTGTGTGTGCTGCTGCTGTGTGCTGCTGCAAGTCATCCCGTGGTTTCGACCTGCATAGCTGTGCTAATTTCCTGTCCAAGAAGTAGAGCGGATCCAGTGCTGAACTCAGTGCTGTCGACCCCTGCACAGGGGACACGTAACCATTTGATGGCAGTGTTACCAAGGACCAAGGGTGTGTGTGCGTGCGCATGCACCTATCAATGCACTAGGGTGGCTAGGCTACAATGTACTCTAACTTCAGAAGTTTTAGATATGAGAGCAAAATGCTAGGTTAGGTGAACAGAAATTTCAGGTACAGAGAAGTTGTTCCTGGATGGTGTGTGTGTTGTGTTTGTGTGGCTATTGAGATGGACCAAAAGTACCGAAAAAATGTTAAAGTACATGTACACCAAATTTTGTGAAATTACGTTAGTAATTTTCTTGTGCGTGTTGTGAATTGTACAGGTAGCGAGGAAGTACAGCCGTGTTCAGGAAGCGCAGGTCTGGCGCATTCTCAGCCTGATCTACGCACCCATGGACATGGCAAGCGGCTCTCACCACCCGGGCTCGTTCAGCATCTGCTCGGAGAGTCATGCTGCGGTGGTGCCCGCCAGCAGCGCACGAAGTACCATTGCACCGACGCCAGAGGCAGGGGCCACCGGCGGCGCCATTGGGCGCCAGACCGCCTCGCCAGTCGAGTATGCCGGCAGTGCTAACGAGTCAGCCATGTCGGACGGAGCTCACAACGGCAGAAACTCCACCAGCTCCCATAGCGGTAAGCATCTACTGCCATATCCATGGTAACTGCCGTATGCATGGTACCAATCCTAGAGCATTGGGGTTTTCAAGTTTGGTAGGTTAATTTTTCAACCACTGTGACTTTGCCTGTTGTGTGCCAGGTTGGCTGAAATGGTCATATGGAGGTGGCTTGAGATACAAAATCTTTTCAGACATTGTTCATTACTTCTGTTGCTCCCCAAGCTGTCCGTTGATTCATCTGCGTATTGACTGAGCAAGGCATATTCCTGATTTGCTGTAGATGCTGAAGATAACGGGTCGGACACGGGTCACGAGTACGATGTCGGTCCCGATTTGGAAGAACTGAATAACATCGCCAGTGGAGGTGAGTAATGCTACGGTCAACTTCGCTAATAACGACTGCGGATATAACGACAATTCGCGAATAGTGACAGAATTTCCATGCCCAGAGCAAAGTCCCATCCAACTGGAATACATACAATGAGACTTCGGGTATAACGACACTTCGCGAATAAGAACACTTTTCTGATGCCCCGCCGAGTGTCGTTATAAGCGAAGTTGACTGTACATGCCTGAGCATGTGCAGTGGTGGGGAATGACATCTGACCTTACAGATATATGCATGTATCGGAGCCGTGTGCACTGCACCACCCAGTACTCATATTGGAAATGCGTTGCATACCGAGTAAGCCTACACTGAATATGAAACAGTGTGTTGCTGTGGGGCACAGTAACAGCAGTGATATCTTAATTCCTCATTGTTGGAATTTCTTTGAACGGACACAGCAGGCAGGGGAGTGGGTTTTACGCAGACTTACAGGTACAGGCACCATGATTTGTACTGGACTGAGAGTAGTTTACCAGTACTAGGCAGTAGTACAGATGCTCTGTTTGGAGATGATCTGATAAGTGATCTGATTGGTGATCTGATAGGTGATCTGATTGGTGATCTGATAGGTGATCTGATAGGTGATCTGATTGGTGATCTGATAGGTGATCTGATAAGTGATCTGATTGGACTCGCGCTGTGCTGTGAATGGTTTGTACATGTACTGTGTGTGCATTTGCAACAGGACGTCTTTGGTTGAATGCAAACTGTTGTGCACGTGTGTGTGTGTGTGTGTGTGTGTGTGTGTGTGTGTGTCGCACGTGTGCGTGTGTGAATATGCGTTTGTTTGTTCTAGGCTACCTTGACGAGGGTACAGATGATCTAACATTTGGCTTTGCTGACCCAATAGGGAGCGATGATGCACTGCGAAACTTGGAGCTGCCTAGCGTAAGAAATTTCATTCTGTGAAAAACTGAAAATGTGTTCGCTTTTAGTATTGCAGTACGTGTCTCCCACTTTGTGTCAAGGAGCACGCTTACTATGATGGTGTCTAAGTGGCTTCAGGCAATCAGGGGCATCGGAACCAGTTCGGCAGGTGCGGCCAAAGCCGCACCAATAATTGTATCCTGTGATTTCTGGAGCAATGAAATTTGGGCCCAAGTTTCCTAAAATTTTCCCCCGGGGGACGACCCCCAGGACCTCTGCCTTTTCATGACTGCACCAATGTTGAATACCGTATTTTCGGGGGTATAAGCCGCACCGGGGTATAAGCCGCACCCCCCTTTTTGAGGCAAAATATTGACTAAAAGTTGGTATTCGGAGTATAAGCCGCACCCACAAACCAAGATTTTTCACACTCATTGACAAATGGCCTTTCTACAAATTTATTATGGTTATGGAGTACCCTGTTCACAACAGGGAAAGATTCCAGCCGACACTATTTATACACAAAAAGTAGTATTATCGTATCGCTGTATACTAGGATGTGTGGAAACCGGTACTTGCAGTACGCAAAATAGAGTCCCCGTATACGCGTACCGTATGGTGTAGCCCGCGCACTATAAAACTAGTAAAAGTGCCAGGATAGCAACACAGGCGCAAAGCTGAGTCGAATGACATGTCACATGACGTCAGCATGCATACTGATGTATGCTAAGCATTCATTCGCGCAAGCATATTCGGTGTATAAGCCGCAGGGGCGATTTTGGTCCGATTTTTAGCGGAAAAAAAGTGCGGCTTATACCCCGGAAAATACGGTACCTTCCAAAGTCCCTGGGCTTTGTCACGACCTGTTGCTAGAACTTGCTACTGCTTGTACCTTTGAATAATCTACTAAGTGTCTGGTGGAGCTGTGAGTTGGTTATCCGACCACCTTCAACGTTTGGGTAATCAAAATGTTGGTGTGCCGCATCCTTGCATGGCTTTAGGGGCCATCCGTAATAATCGATCTTTTTCACGAAACGAAAAAGTTTAGTTATGACCCACCCCCACCAATCCACCCTCCTGAAACGAAAAAATTAATTGACTTGAGGCTTTGGGCAGAAAATGATCTTGATTGGTTGTTGTTGTTTTTTGTTTGTTTCAAGTAGGGCTGAAACAATTATACCGATAACTCGCATATCGATCGTTAAGAGTGCAATCGATAATCGTTAAGAGTGCAATTGATAATCGTTAGTGTTCAAAACGAGTGCTAACGATTTATTATGCTTACATATCAGTGACAGTATTCTAGCCCTTGCACTCCATCCGATAGTGAATACGAGTACAATCATGTACTTCCAAGCGCGGTAAAATTAATTTGTGGCTTTGAAAGAGATCGGGAGAGAAGACTTTGCCTTTTGGGTTCATTTCTGTGAGAGGTTGGAGATCAGAGCAGTTGCCAGAGGGTGATGACAAGATTCTTTGCAACATGAAATTCTCTAGTTCATGTTGATAAAACCAGCCAGATTTCCACAGATGTCAACATTGCGGTGCCACAAATTTCTAATGTACCAAAGGTATCATGGAATTTCTTCATAAACTGGTGTGCGAGGTACACGAGTAGAGCCGACAAGAATCGATAAAACCAATATATCGATCGTTAATGATATTGGTTGATCGTTAAGAGTTATTGGATGATCGTTTCAGCCCTATAAAATTGTTTGTATTCTTTATTTAGAGTGGGAAGTCCAAAACGGGTCCTAGCCTAATAACAATGGTCCCACTAGTGAGGGAATGCTGTATATCTGTGCATAAGGATCAGAGAGTGTAACAGCAACTATTAGGGAAAGAAAAAGAGAGAAGAAAAACAACTCAAAACAGGAGTTGCGACTTGCATAGGAAGAAAATAACGGAAAGAGCAGTGCATACAGCATTTGTAAAGAGGCTTATTTATCTGGTAAGCAAAAAGGCAAGAGCCATTGACTTAAAGCGATTGCGTTTTCTTTCTTGCCTGACCACAGCGGGGAGCTGGCTCCATAAGATGTTACAACATGCAAATATCCTTTGCATGCAAGCACTATGAAAGCAACATCTACTCTTTTTTTAAATTGTTTTTTAAAAGGCCCAACCCTGCCCTGCCAGTTATGTGGACTTACGGGAGTCGCCATTGCAAATAATTGTGGAAAACCAAGATCAAACATGGAAAAGAAAAAGACCCAGCCCTGCCCTTCCAGTTACGTGGACTTAAGGGGGTCGCCGTGGCGAATAATAGTAATACGAACTAAAGAGTACAAATGAGGGGAAGTGTTTTTTGCTAATTTTTTGGGCGGGCGACCTCGCTTCAGCTGGTGCCCCTCGGCCTTTTCGGGCTGTTGAAGACGGTAGTTGCTGGTAAATGCCATGTCGCAGCCATCAAACTTGCAACAATGGCACGCTCGTTTTGCTGCTGGTGGTTCTGCTGCTGATGTCCCGGTCGTCTATGCTGTGGTAGCTGAAGCATTGGCAGCTGACGATACTGTGGGTTTCTCATTTAAGGCCTTCCTGTATTGTTTCCAGTTGGCCGGATGAACTAAACATACATGACGGTCAGCATCACGGACAGGCATAAATATGTAGCTGCAACCAAACAGGCAGCGATCTGGCTCACCAGACGGTAACCCGGAATCAAGTAGCAGCTGTGCTTTACCCAGAGAATGGTAAGTGCGGCATTCAAGGTATGTGGAATAATGGCCAGCAAGATGCGCACTGGGTGTGGGGGTGAACATATGGTCACCGAGAGAACGAAGAAGGGCAACAGCTTTGACAGCCTCAACAGGATGGGCAACGCAATGTTCACAGCTATCATCGTCACACTTCGGAAACGTTGTCTGGTACGTGGAGCGTGAAACATGCAGAGAAATTATAGCAGTGACCGAGTCTCCTGCATTGCTGCATCTTGTTCAATGACACGTCGTGACGACTTCACAAAAGTAGCCAGGTCCTCGTGGTCTTCATAACGTTCCTCACAGTCCGTGCACGGCACACCACTGGGTATGACTGCATGGCTATCAAATGTAAGCTTATCCCAGTATCCACTGAGGATGTCAATTGCCTGATCCAATACAACGGCTTCCGGCCTGGCTGTGTCCTCCTTAGATAATCGCTGCTGATTTGGTGGAAGCTGTCCCTCCAAGTGATTTGGCAGTGTGACTCCCACCAGTGCCTTGGATAGCTGCGACCCTGCATGCTCAATGTCATTGTGTGCCGATGAGTGCATTCAGACAGCGGTCTTTCCAGAGGCGGCCATACGTCAGCAGGTTCACCACATGCTTTGGACCGAAATCTGGTCCACCGTCAACCAGCAGCGAGATAATCTTTCTCTGCGCAGCCGGCACTTGACACAATAGGTTGGTGAGGTCGGACGCATGGGCACTACTAATAGCAGAGTGAAATTTGCTTGCTCTGGCCACTACATGCAATGGTCCTGTATGTGGAACCACCTAGTGCAACCGCCCATGCTTGTCAAGCTTGAAGTCTTTGTTTGATTGTGATGACATTGTTGAAGGCGACCAACTGACAGATCTGGTGCCATGTCGAGCGACAGGTTGACGACTCCTGCTGCGGCTTCTGACTCTCGATGTTGAAGGTGATAACGAGCCTTTGTCTTCCAGAATCATGTACCCTGATGGTATAAGCTTTGAAGTTCGGAATCGAAAATCATGGTCCGGATAGCGTGGAGCATCGTCTTCCGGGAAGAAGCGGCCGATCTGGTGATAATATCACATACTTTTTCTTGTTTTTATTCAATGGATTATTGTTTTTGAGAGTGGGCAATGTTCTTCGAGATAAAGCGTCCTTTCTTCTTGTTGTCTACGTGTGCTTGTATGTTCTGCATGTTCAGGAAGCGTTTCAGCCTCGTGACGACATAGAGGACCCAGGGTTAGTGGGTGCTGCACACTTTGATGTCTGTGATGAGGGAGACTGATTTGAGCACGCGAGAGAATTCCAACACAATTGTCTATGTGCATGGTTTACTGTGTGTCCACACATTGCTTTGTCTGCTGTCTGTAGTGATGTAATGAACGGCAAATTCCGCAATTCAGGAAATGAATTAATAGTCAACAATACCTCGTTTAGATTAGAAGTGATACACTTTAACAATCGAATCTGTGTTTTGACGAGCCGTTCCCATCCTCCAGAATGTCCTTGTCGAGACACTTCAACCTGGGTTGGGGAAACCTCAAAGCAGCCGGAAGTGATCTTTCCTGGAAATACTGCTGGTTCTATTAGATTCTAATCATCGTCCTTACATCCCTAGTTGTATATAATGCGTTGGTGTTGACTTGTTGATTTTCTGACCGCTTGTTTCACTGGCATACATGTAATGTTATGTGAACTTGTTGCTGGTCCCATGTACAGGTCACCGTCGTATTTGTCAGACAATGATGACATGCTGAAGGAGTAAGTACGTGTATGATGCTGCTGGCACCGCGCACCGTGTTGTTGAATTTGTGTTCAACCTTGAAGCGTTCTCCTTGGCAAAACCGTTTTGTAGTTTTGGTGCACACGACCGTCAGTGCTTTTCCTGATCTCTTTCTGGCTTCCGCTGCCAGTGCTGCTGACTTGAAGAACCAATTTAGTTATGAACGACCTTTACTGTCACTACCAGCGAGAATGCACGCACACACGCACGCGCGCGCGCGCGCACACACACACACACCACACACACACATGCACACACACACACACACACACACACACACACACACACACACACACACACACACGCGCGCATGCACATGCACGCACACGTATACACACACGCACACACACACACACACACACACACACACACATACACGCACGTGTACACACGCACACATGCACTTCCTGTCATGCGCGGGGTTTGTCGTGCCTCCGGCACAGGACTGCCAAAGCTGGACAGGCTAGTATCATTGGTGTCGACTTGTTCCTCCAGGAAGACAGCTATGATGTGATGCATTATTGTGTGGGAGCATTCCTTCTTTCGCTCTTGCCGTGCTGACCCGTGTCATGTGCCGTGTGCGTGCTTCTATCTTGCTGCTCTGCAGATCCAGCGAGTTGTTGACTGTTGGTGCATTGCATGCTGCCCAGCGTGGATCATCGGTGACACCCAGTCTATCTGCACTCAGTGATCTCCAGGTACAGTCATCATGACATGCACCGTGTTTCATACTCTGGAAATCAATACAGCATTCATTGCACTGAACTGACTACTCTAACTGTGGAATTTAATCCGAAATATTAGAGATTGTGTACAAATACTTCGAAGTAAGTGTGGCGAAAGAGCTTTTTCTATCCTTTGAATTGGGCGTGAATTACATGTCTTGAATTTTGATGCCGTTGTTCGGTATTTTTGTGTTCTCCTGGTTAGGGTGTCCCACCATGGGATTTCAGCCCTGTCGTCTCGGACATGCTTCACTTTTATGCCTATCAGGTAGGTGTGAGCGTCATGAATTTGTGTGCATATGTGCGTGTGTGTGTGTACGTGTGTGTACGTGTGTGTACGTGCGTGCAGGAATGCACGTCTACATGGTTCATTTTAAACTGCAGCTGTCAGCTTTGTGTGACACTAGTTTGTGCTGGCGGTCAACGTTGTTCTGCTGTGCATACCGGGTGTTGATTTTAGAGTCAAGGTGTGCAGCCTATCATAGGCCTTCGGAGATGTTGACTGTATGCTGTCCAGTCTAATGTCAGTGTATTTGATTGAATAGAGTGGCTTCTCATCTATTACATAGCCATACGGGGCAGTCATGTTGGTTCCAACTCCACTCAACCCCTGCAGCTATGGGTCACATGATGTCGGCCATGTTGGTTCCATTGTCCACATGCCATTATCCCTTTCTGCACAAATTTAGTCACATGACAAAAAGATGTGAAACCACGCTATTGTTGATTCTGTGCTATCAAGCGCAAAGTCTGTATTTAGTGCATTATAATTTTATAATTATGTGGTTGACTTGTTGATTGTGTGCTGCTGTCCAGGGCAATGTCCAGCTGACGGTCAGTATTCTGCTAGTGCTAGGCGAGAAGGGAAAGTCTTTGATCGACACTACACAGCAGGAGCAGTGGTACCAGGCCTATGTCGGTGCGTCAAAACATGCAACCTACATGCTGAAGACCATGGGAAACAAAATGTTTAGGAGTTTGCTGAACTTTGTCCTTCCTTTTAAGCATGAATACATCGGCTAACCATCCGAGTTTGGAAAACCCATACTAAGGAAACGTTATGTGTATGCTGTTGTATTGCAACCACCAGACTGTGCATGCATAGGGGGGCAGCCAAAGAGGTGTAACTGCAACGGTTACCATTCATTCATGATCATGAGCTTTATTTGTAAGGCGATGATCTATGTGTATATACAAATGCATGTACGCGGTACTCATCCAGCGGATGTGATATGACATCATAGCATCTTTGCATTATGTCATGTGAGTAGTGGGTTGCTTGTGGCTTTCTCGAGTGTTTTCTGATTCAGATATTTGAAGTATGTAATGAGCATGATTGGGGACTTAGATCTTTCACGCAGCAAGGGTATAACCGTGTCTTGCTCTGTTGTTAGTCAGAGCTTTGTGTTGATAAAACACTCATCTGAGTGATTGCTGTATTAGAAGAAAAAGCTATCATCCTTGACTAGTAGTACTGGCTCTTGGCAATGGGTAAAAGATGTGCTGGTAGGTTATAGTTCCACGTTTAGTGTGTCTCGATCTAGCATTGTACTTATCGAGAGTCCCCTGTGGCTATGCACCAGCCAATATTCATAGTAGCAAACTGTCGTTAAATTTGTGTGTGGGTATGTGTGTGTGTGTGTGTGTGTGTGTGTGTGTATGTGTGTATGTGTGTGTGTATTATATGTGTGTGTGTGTGTGTGTGCGTGCGTGTGTGTGTGTGTGTGTGTGTGTGTGTGTGTGTGTGCATGTGTGTGCGTGTGCGTGTGTGTGGTACATGGTGTGTGTGTGTGTATGTGTGTATGTGTGTGTGTGTGTGTGTGTGTGTGTGTGTGTGTGTGTGTGTGTGTGTGTGTGTGTGTGTGTGTGTGTGTGTGTGTGTGTGTGTGTGTGTGTGTGTGTGTTAGATCTGCTATCTCGTTACCAACTCTGGACTGTGTCGGCGCTAGTCATCAGACTGTGCCCATTGAAGGCAATCAATCAATTGAACTTGGTGAGTCAGTAGCGTGTGTATTATCGTGTGTACACAACTTCTTGTTGAATGGAGTGGATGTGCACGAGCAGAGTATGAGGATCACATCGCATAGTAGGTCAAAACAAGGTTTACAAGTGAAAACAATATGTTGGACTTTCACACTCGTGCGTAATTTAGACGGAATTTACATGGATATGGATGCAGCGAATGGGTTTTTCGATCCTTTGACCACTTTGTGGTGGATCTGATCTACTCGCCTCCCACCGCTTTGTTAGTTGGATCTGCGCCTTGATCCTTGATGATGGTAGTGGCGTTCCTATGCAATCCATGTGCGAAGAGATTGGCTCTGGGTTCGTGTCATACAGCATCATGGAGAGATCTTTCACTCCCACTCCGCGATGGCACCACAGAAGGGTTGGAAATGAGGGGAGCGCTCTGGTGGGATTTACGGTACTAAACTGTAGGTACATGCATGTGTAGGGCTTGCTGTTTGCCAGTAGCCACCTTTACTGGTGTGCCGGAAGTAGGAGGCTTAGTCTAGTGTGGATGTACGCGTCTTGTTGTTGCTACTTGCAGGAGTCCACAGCTGTGGCTACCCAGTGTGGTATCTGCACCAAGATGGTCATGAAGAAAGGATCATCGTACTGTGACAACTGTCACAAGGTCTCCAGCCTGTGTATTGTGTGGTAAGCTGCCTATGCCGTTGCTAACTGTGCTCAAATCAGTCAGGATTTTCTTGCGTGTCTTTTGCAACTACTTCAAAACTCCCATAATTTCAAAGAATAGGGAGCATGCTCTCTGTTATTATTATGCACTGATGATCTTGTAACGGTGAATGAGAAGCACAGGATAAGTCACATCGGCAATTTGCTTTGAACTACGTCCATAATAGTTCTATTGTATTAGAGAGGTTGTGACAACAGAAATTCGTAAGATTTGGTCATTTCAGCCTCAAGTAACGAAATCATGTGAACTGCCGTCAACTTTCGACGGAGAAAAAGAGCTCAGCAGCGAAATTTATGTTGTGCCAAATGCTAAGAAACATTGTTATGCGCAATCTCTCTAGTCATTGTTATTAGTGGTGAAACGAATATACCGAATATTCGAATATTCGTTCGGTTTGTCAGATTCGAACAAATATTTCTCATGGCGAATATTCGTTAACCCGGTATGCAGAGTTTACTGGGCGACTTCAAACTTCCGTAACTTCGCGAATACTTGACCGAATCACTTTATCGAAAGGTCTATCGGCATTAGAACACTCTCAGCTGTCGTCTCGAAGCAACCCAAACGCGATCCGAGGTCCTGGAATCGAGTTATGGCGGTCGAACGAAAATCACGTCTCAAGCTGGGTTTTTAGCGTGTAACATGCACTTCAGCTGGGGATTTTGTGAAAATTGACCTAGAAATGATGGAAAATATGCGCCTTCCTTTGTCATGCATACAATAGTGACAATATCCAATAAAATGAATGAGAGGAGGGCGTGTGATGTCATCTGTGTTAACGAAAGAATATTCGTACGTTCGTTAAGCCAAAGAATATTCGGCTACTGGGTTTTGATATTCGTTTCACCACTAATTGTTATGTTGACATATCCCCTGGCCTGACTGATGCACTAATCACATCATTTGGACGAGGTTTTCTTACAGTATTTTCACACGGAGGTTTCCATCTTTAGACGAGTCAGACGGGACTGAAACTGTTAATTGTTTTCGTGAGGAATTTCAGCCTGGGTTGAATGGGATTTGCCATTTGAGTTACATGTAAATCATGTCTGAAACGTTAGTCCCGTAGGCTTACCTGTTGGAATATCATTGGGCCTCAGCCTACTTTTAGGGTAGATATTTATTGAGAACTGTACCGTCATATCTACATGTATATCAGCCTTATCAGGTGGATTTACATTACGGGAGTGAGTGTATACGGAACACTTTTAACACTCTACTGTGTGTATGTACCTTTTCTCTGCACTACGAGCCCTGTGTATTGTTCGAGCTACTCTGACCAGGCACAAATGCCAACCAAGTGGAACAGTGTAACGCTACCGTCCACCTTTGATACTGCAGTAGTATATTTGATATTTGATACCCCACACTACGTCGCAGTAGTCAGCAGTGCATGTCTTTGACTCCTGCTTGTTTTATCATGTCGAGCACCGCTACAAGCCACTGTCCCTCTCTGTGTTGCCGTTGTTGTTTTTTTGCAGTCATCAAGCCGTGAGGGGCGTGTATGCCTGGTGCCAGGGCTGTGGCCATGGTGGACATCTTGAGCACATGCGCGAATGGTTTCAGGCGTCCAGTTGGTGTCCAACTGGCTGTGGCCACAAGTGTGAGTTCATGTGAGGATGCCGAGACGTCATTAAGTCTTGTTTTGAACTGCTACGAGTAGCTGCAACGACTCAACCCAGGCAACAAGCTGGGTGCACCCGTCAGGAACTATTAATTCTCGCTGCACTTACTATTTGCTGCAGAGTAACCATGAGTGGTGCTCCATACCGGTCATCATCCGCGCCAGGAACGGATTTCAGTGCCAGCACAGCACACCGTGGTTCCAGAGTGTCATTTTCCAGGCGACGGCGGCTGATGTGACCGGTTTGACAAGTCGCCCTTTCACTGCACAACTCCTGACAGCATGTCTGAGTGTGTCGGTATTGTATGCCTTCATCCGTGTGCCATTTACGCCATTCCTAGCGTTGCGGTGCTTGCCCGACTTCACAGACGCTGCTATTGCTATTTTGCTAATGAATAGAGGAGAAAACATCTTGGTGAAAGTAGCAGTGAATACCACCAGCCTCTGGAAAGATCTCCTCGTTGATGTGCAGTGCATGTGAAAACAGTGGCCATGCATGCACTTTCAGTTGTGCCTTCTTCTTTTTTAAGTACAGTGCTCATATTTTTTGGACCCTTTCCCGCTGTTTTGGACAGTTCACAACACATAACCATCCATGACATGTCACAAGTGCAGTCTACAATGAAGCACATGTGCTTATATAAACAAAGGGAACTATTAAAAAACCCTTTCAGGGTTCGCTGCTCTAAACAGTGGAAGATTTCAATATATATATTTTTAAGACAATGCAAACAGCTAGCGAACTCAGCAATCTCATCCTGTTTGCCAAGCTGGCATGGTGTTATCATTATGTTGCACGTTCTCAGTTCTGTACCGCATTGTATACGGCCCAGAATGACGTGTATACACGGACAGCTCACGAAACACAGTCATGCTATTAATTTTGTGCTCTACGACTCGTAGGATCATGAATTGTGTGTATCACTCGACTCCTCCCCTGTCCATTTTTTATTGTATCTTGTTTTCTGTTTTCTGTCTCACACCGTGTCCCATCCCTTGTTTTATTTGATGTTCTATACTGTTCTGTACTCACTGTCTGCCCGCTTTCGTAAGAACACAGTCTGGTCTACCCACTGGCTAGGAAATTAGCAAAGTGAAGGTTGTTTGGAGAACAATGGCCTGTATGCCCTATTCTTCTTCTTCCACCCGGTCAAAGTCCGACCCTAGCTCCTGACTGTCCCCGGGGAAAATTGCGATTCCGCGGCCGCGTTTTTTTCCGCGTTTTTGCGATTTTTTAAAAGACCGCGTTTTCCGCGATTTTCCCGCGTTTTTTGAACTTTTTTGTTGCACTACACGTACACACAGTGCACTGTTCGGTCAGCAACGTCTCATCGTGGCGGCTTTTTACTCAAATATGACCAGTGCTTACACCAGAGACTTGTAAGAAGTAACTGATTGATTTCACTACATACTCACTGAAAATTGCCGCACATCAATATTATTCACCGCATATTTACCGCAAATTATGCCATATTATGCCGCGTTTTTTTGCGATTTTTTTCCGCAATTTTCTCCGGGGACAGTCCTGAGCATTTCCTGGTTGTCATGCAGGCTTTGGAAAATGTGGCTTGTACTGTCTGGAATACCGGTAGCTATTGTGCGTCGCGTGAATCCTGGAGTACATACATGTTAGTACTTGTTTATGTATTCTTGGTATTGATGCAAGAATAATTATATAAATGAGTGGTTCTTGGTATGTGATAGTTTCAAGCACTGTATGTGGTTTCACGCAATGGATATAGATGATTTGCAACCAGAGGGTACCGGTATATGCAAGAGTAGATGACACTGTACTCTCGGTATATGCTACCCGCACAATGAAACTTTGGTATGAATCAACGTACATGTACCTATAACTCCAAGGGCCACCATGAACAGCTGTACTCGATAGCTGAGGAACTGCGTGTACCGGTATATCCGATCGAGGTCAAATGACGCGTACATGTTACAGGCTGAAGTTCCACCGTACTATCAAAGTCCCCCCCCCCCCCCCCACACACACACACACCCTTGGTAGTACGCCTGGCCATCCGCTCACGCCACATCAATCCGTTCGAACAGTAGAATTCAAATGTCATCGTTCACCGCGTACATGTACAGCACAATCTTAAAACAAAGCAAGAGCAGAGATGCTCAGAGAAAAAAAAACCCACTGGCCCATGACAGCAAACCTGCCCATTGGCAACAAGAATTATCGCCTGCTAAGAAGGCCAATATTACAATGAGCATGCAACCAAGACTTGGGATTAAGCGCACCCAGTGGGAAGCAAATGCGACATGCAGACTAATAACCACCACAAAAGGAGCAAAGAACAGATGCAGCTAGCAGTGAAACGAAAAACATGGTGGGCAGGTCTCGATGCCTAACACTTCTTGACAACAGCGGCAGCAGCAGCACCAGGCAGCAAAGTTACTCAACAACAAAGATAACATGATCCACAGGACCACATGGGAATGGGAGCACAGAGCATAGAAGCAAATTTATACAAGCAATCGGGAGTTTCTTTTGTACAGTCAAATGTTCACAAGACAGAATGTGCCCGTGATATCCATGTATCAAGCAAGAAAGCATGGTCACACACACATTCAGAAACGGGCATGTTCCAAAGCGCCGTGGAAAGAGCCTTCTCTTTCAGGGCACTGTGCATGCATTCATTCTTCGGATTCGCCACATAAACTGGCACATTGCCAGTGACAGAGAAGCACGGGGATCGCACAGCAGGGCTGCACCGAATATCCACAAACAGCTGTGCTGGTAGCAACACTACTACTGCCCGGCTTGTTTCCGCAGCATGATATAGATCTCCTCCTTCACCCAGTCCTTGTTGCAAGGCATGTACGTGTTAGTCTTTGAAGAAAATCTGTTATCAAACCATTGTCAAGGAAGCCCAAACGAGTCAACACTCCTATCACTACTTGTTGTGCATGTGACTGTTATAACTTGTAGGCACAGAACATCTCAAAACAAGAATGCAGGTAGGCAGAAAAGAATGACACAAAAGGAACTGCAAGGCTGGAAGTCCAACCAAAGACATTATGATTTACCCTGCGGCACGCACTTTGAATGATGGGGGGGGGGGGGGGGGTCTTCATTCACAATAACACCACATTCTCTTTAATGTGAACTGGGCGTATACCAGGAAGCAAAATGACTACAGCTTCCACATCCTATACGCATTGCATTACTGTTCTAAATCCTCTAGAAGACAACGACAATTCTACACAGAACGTGGAGGATACACTAGGCACGATAGATCTGCCAGATGGTCGATGAAGTCAAATAGCTGGCTGATGTCGTACGTGATAGAAGGACTGTTGGGATTCTGTTGCTTCAGATGTTCCTCAAACATCTTGCACACTCCTGAACACAAAGACAGACAACAAAACAGCATACGAACAAACCCCTCCAATTCAGTTTGTGCTCATTGCTCAGCACTGCTGACTAGACGGTTAGTTACATCACAATCTATCTAAGTTTCCAGTAACTTTCTACTGCAAATAATTCAAAATAGGTGGCTGTAGTGAGAAACTACGTTCCAAAGGCAGATAAACGCTGTACACTGCTGTCCTGGTAATTTATGTGTGCGAATTGGCTATACAGGTACTTTCGTGGACCAAACCCCAAATTCGTGGTAGGTGGGCGTTGTTCTCTAGTATTGCATTTCAGTAACTGGGCATGAAAGTTAGTTGAGTACATGTAATGCAGCGAGATGTGTGAGTAATAGGTAAGCCGCCATGGGATTTCCTAGGCGCCACTCTATCCCTTACTTCATGAGGTTAACTGGTGCTATATGATATGAAGCTGCCTATTATCAAGCAACAGGTCATTTTAACTCACCCTCTAAACATTCGGTTTTCGAATTGAAATCAGCGTACGTGCGGCTATCTGAACGTCGCGTCGGCTGCAGAAGCAGAATAGTGTGTGATGCGGCCTGAAGACAGAAAAGAGTCCAATATGCGCGTTCAGTACTTCAAACAACATTATATAACGAGCCTGAAGTGAACATACCATTTTGGATTTCAGAAAAATGCTCGCAGGAATAACTCAATTGTTTCTTTGGGAATCGAAAGCGATCTCTGGCTCACCTCATCAGCTCAACTCACCTCAACAATAATATTTTACGGATTTTTTTGTTTTTTTGCTCTCTCGCGACTATACTTCGAAGTCAATGTGGCGAACATCCGTAGTACGGCGATGATGAGTTTCAGTTGCACAGCTTTAGGGAAAACCCCAATGGCAAGGCAGCTCAAGGGGGATAAGCCAGTTTCAAAAACGACAACGGCTTCGCAAATCTACTTGTAGCTAGCTGGAGGAGGATCGCCACGTGGTAGCGCAGAACTGTGCTCACCATTGTTGCTCTCAAGCTCTCTCAGCTCACGCTGGTCATCTAAAAATATTTTAGGAGAATAGTTTGCGTATCCGTAGGCGTACGTTTGCTGTGGGATCAAGCCCTCGAAGAATCGATTTTCCTCGGCATCAAGATCAGTTGTAGGGACTCGCTTTCTTCCCTCGAAAGATGGTGAAATATGTAAGGAAAGGAACTTTGTCAACCGACAGAACCTATCTGGTGCTCAATGTCGAAGTCCCGAAATCTCTCTGTTTTGATGGCTGCAGTTGGTTTCGAGTGACGAAGATTCATCAGATGATGAGCTGGACGGACCCGTGGAGCAAGCCCCAATAGCCGTTGGCTGGTGAGTCACTGAGAGTCGATAAACTATATTGCATGTTGATCATATCAACTGATAATAGCAGAGTATGGACATGTCATATCAGGTACCTGCTAATAGTAATACGAAGAGTAAAATAAGCTTATTTATACCTCACTCCATATACACTTACAGTCTTAGGCATGCTCTCCCTTAGTGGTGTATATATCTCCATATACACCGCTAACGGAAATGAGCAGTACATGTAGTTGTCGGCGAGGAACAAGCCATTAGGAGGTCACACACGGTGAATATGGAGAGGTATAAATATATTATAACAAAGGGACCTCGTGTATATCGAGATTTATCACTCTCTTATTATTGACCGCCACAGAAACTTGTTATCTCTAAGCGGTCAAATATCAGCATATTATATTGACCGCTTATATTGACCACTTACTATTGACCACTTAGGGCCTGGTCAGACTGCGGCAAAAACGAAATATTCCTGTGATTATAATCCGAATCTCCATAGTAACTTGCCGCCAGAGCGGCAAAAGCGGGAGTTGACGCTCCAAAAAAAAGCAAGAACGGACCACGCTTTTCCGCTCCAAACAGGAGTTTGACGCTGATACGGCATTGACGCTGATATTCACTTATTTTTTAATCTCGATATCGAGGAGCTAATTGGCCACAGACAACAACAAAACTCATAAGGATGGTTGCAAGGATTGCACTGAAGGTGTTGGCGATCCCCAAGGTGAAGGAATTTGACGTGGTTCGTGGAGATTACCACTTGACGCTCGAAATGAAGTTTGAATTTTCAATCTCCCCACATGTGCAGTGTGATCGCAATTCGAATCCTGGACGCTTTTCTTTTTTCGTCAGGGACCGAAAATTTGCCACAGTCTGACCATGCGCCTAGGCCCTTGTACCGTATTTCCGCGCATATAAAGCTGGCGTTATAGCGGAAACATCGCTGTTTTGGACCAATTTTTTGGAGAATATAGCCTCTGTTTTAACGCCATGGCGCTAAAAGTGAGAGACGCGTACATGCAAAAAAATCGGCAGAGTATGAACTTCGAGTACTCGTACGGTGCCGTTGCACGTTCATGTCGAGCATCCATGTACAATACTTTCAATTTTCCCTGAAAATTTCAAATTGTGAACCTATTGTGTACACGGTGGCATACAAACTTGTATGAAGGTGTGGTGGCGGTATTGCATGTGACAGTGGGGATGGGTACATGCAGGGAGAATCACGGCTACTGTAGGTTCACTGAAAGAATTGAACTCACCTTTAAAGGGGAACTGTCACCAAAATTTTTCTTTGTCTTATCTTGTAGTTCTTTGGCTCCTGATCACGATGGTGTTATTCGTTTTTCTCTGCGATGACTGGAAGTGGGTGAAAACTTGAAAAGAAGGTGCCCAAAATTGTCCCGAAGTACCGAGTGACGTCACGCCGGACTTGACCTCCACGCGTACATTCATCGTCAAAAACGAAGTCCAGCCCGTGTGCTCGTCGATCGAGCCAACTGTTCGATGTACGGTGCACGCTTGCCTTCTGAACTCGGACACTCGATGTGTACTGTTGTACACAATGAGAACGCCAAAAAGGGACAAAATAAACAAAAGTCGACTGCAGTTTGTCGCACTGGTACTTCCTCCACGACGCTCCAGCTCTTTGTTTTATTTGTGATTACGAAGGAGTGGAAGGATGTTTGTTTGCTGTTAGTGTGACACACATACCTCGTACTTGAAAATTATGTCGTTGTATCGAAGGTGGCGATGTTGCCCACCCGGCTCTGAAATGAAAGACGTCGGAGTTCGTCATCTGCATCTTCAGCAACATCGCCAGATGAATCGCCTTCACGTAACTAAATTGCGTTCCTTTGGGGCTCGGGTTGGTGGTGTTATCGCCGGCCGGAGGAGTATTGTTTTCTGCATACGCACTCATCATCGTGTTGTTCCTCACACGAAAAGTTCAAAACAACGACGTACTTCCGTGCTCACAAAATAAAACTTAGATCTTCGCGGAAGAAGTCAAAAAGGTGAAAGCTCAGCTGCTTTTTATTTTGATTTGGCTGTGTAGCTGCACGTGGGTCTCTGCCTCTTTGGCATTCTCCTTCGGTACGACGTACCCATCTGTGTTACAGTTCAAAAGGCACACGTGCACCGTACATTGGAACAGCTAGCTCAATCGACGAGCACACGGGCTGGACTTCGTTTTTGACGATGAATGTACGCGTGGAGGTCAAGTCCGGCGTGACGTCACTCGGTACTTCGGGACAATTTTGGGCACCTTCTTTTCAAGTTTTCACCCACTTCCAGCCATCGCAGAGAAAAACGGATAACACCATCGTGATCAGGAGCCAAAGAACTACAAGATAAGACAAAGAAAATTTTTGGTGACAGTTCCCCTTTAACACCAGATGCAATTTCCTCCACATTGAATTTTGTTCACTTGTAACGCCATGGCTTTATAAGTGAGGGTGGCCTTATATTCGGATACAACGCCATGGCTTTATATGCGCGGAAACACGGTAAGCCCGAGGACTTACAACATTTTCCTCAACTTAGACAAAAATCAGAGCTGAAAAAAGAAAAATCTGAAGCCAAATGTTGGGATTTGAACCCAAACTGTCAGATTCTCATGCAGTATAAAAACCTCGACTTCGCCTCGGTTTTCATACTGGTGTACAGTGAAACCTGTCTAAGGTGACCCCTCAAGGGACGAGAAAAAGTGGTCGCCGTGGCCAGGTGGTCTTATCCAGGTTCAGTGAGTCACGTGACCATTTCCACATGTGATACATCATTTTAATCAGTGTATCACAGTGTACACACCTATGCTACTCTAGCGCTACTCATGTGCCTGGGGTCCTCAGACCTCTCAAGCGTCGTGCATGCACCATGCACATCTACACTTCCTGCAATGATGTGTAGGTCTACCATGCATGTTGCACCATGCAATGCATACATGTACATGTACTAGCACTGTGCAATGCGGTCGCGGGTGGGTGGTCGTCGGTCGCGTTGAGCGAGTGGTCGCCTTATCCGAGCTGTTTTGAATGTGAATGCGTCCGTGACAAGGAAAAGTGGTCGCCATGGTCGAGTGGTCGCCATATCCAAGTGGTCACCATATCCGAGTGGTCACCATATCCGAGTGGTCACCATATCCGAGTGGTCACCATATCCGAGTGGTCACCATATCCGAGTGGTCACCATATCCGAGTGGTCACCATATCCGAGTGGTCACCATATCCGAGTGGTCACCATATCCGAGTGGTCACCATATCCGAGTGGTCACCATATCCGAGTGGTCACCATATCCGAGTGGTCACCATATCCGAGTGGTCACCATATCCGAGTGGTCACCATATCCGAGTGGTCACCATGGTCGAGTGGTCACCATATCCGAGTGGTCACCATATCCGAGTGGTCACCATATCCGAGTGGTCACCATATCCGAGTGGTCACCATATCCGAGTGGTCACCATATCCGAGTGGTCACCATATCCGAGTGGTCACCATATCCGAGTGGTCACCATATCCGAGTGGTCACCATATCCGAGTGGTCACCATATCCGAGTGGTCACCATATCCGAGTGGTCACCATGGTCGAGTGGTCACCATATCCGAGTGGTCACCATATCCGAGTGGTCACCATATCCGAGTGGTCACCATATCCGAGTGGTCACCATATCCGAGTGGTCACCATATCCGAGTGGTCACCATATCCGAGTGGTCACCATATCCGAGTGGTCACCATATCCGAGTGGTCACCATTACAGGTTTTACTGTACATGTATAAATATGTATATTATAACAAGGAACCGAGTGTATATAGAGATATATACACCAGTATGAAAACCGAGGCGAATTCGCCGAGGTTTTTATAACTGGTGTATATATCTGGATATACACGAGGTCCCTTTGTTATAATAATTATATTTATACCTCGTCGCCTATGACACCCCTCGGAATTTCCCACCTTGCTCCCCCTTATGTTCTGGCTGCCCGTTTTGGATCCATCAGTTGCCTGATGATCGTAGAGATACGTGAAACTCGGAGTTGTGACAAAGCTTCCAAACTCTCTCTTGTATTTATACCTCTCCATATTCACCGTGTGCGACCTCCTAATGGCTTGTTCCTCGCTGACGACCACTGCTAATTTCCCTTAGCGGTGTATATGGAGATATATACACCACTAAGGGAGAGCATGCCTAAGACTGTAAGTGTATATGGAGTAGGGGTGAAAGTTGGCACTGAAATCCCGAGTTCGAGTACTCTGATTTTCTCCGATTGAATATTCGAGTACTGTAGAGGCAGAAAATTTCGTCGGTCAATAATTTCGTCCAACTCCAAAGAAGAGTAGTTCGTCCGGATGAAAATTTCGTCCATGGGTCATAAGAGTGTATAGAAACGCTGGACAAATCGATATTCGTCCTACATTTAATTTAGTCCAAAAGCTCCTTGGACGAAAAAGACGAAATTAAATTCCAGACGAATATTTCTGCTTATACAGTACTCAAGTATTTTTCATCTCCTAAAAATTGCACACCAAGGGCTTTAAAATAACATGATACAACCCTGATTGAACCGAGTAGCAGTCATTTTTCTCGGGTATATGGTTGGTGGGTCATTTGGGCTCTCTCTCTACTCGTGAACAAATGTTCACCACACAGTCTGCACATCACCATCTGCCGACTGCTGCCCTGAGACTGCAGATTTCTGTAGTAAATGCATGTACCATGTATGAACGAGTACTCTGATTTATTCCGAGTGCGATTATTTTTGAAAAAAACCGAGCGAGTACTCGAGTACTCGGTATAATTGTTTCACCCCTAATATGGAGTGAGGTATGATCGAGATTTATACCTCACTCCATATACACTTGCAGTCTTAGGCATGCTCTCCCTTAGTGGTGTATATATCTCCATGTACACCGCTAAGGGGCCTTCCGTAAATACCGATATTTATTTAGAAACTAAAACTAGTCGTTTCTCTTCAACCCCCCCCCCCCTCCCTGAGAAACGAACATATAC